TCCACTGGTATCCAACCCAACCCAGACCCAGACCCAATTTAACAGACGGGTCTGGGTCCAGACCTGAACCTATTAGTTATTTCAAAACAAAAAAGCGCATTTTTTGTTCATAGGTGCTCTTAGAAGTCTTAACAGTCTTGTCACAGAACATTAAAGAGTTGATATAGGTCTAATAAATGCAAGAATCATCATGACCGCTAAGAACTTTATGATAATTAAAGTAGTTTTTCTCAACCATCATATTGAGTGAAGCGTTGTAAATAATGAAAATATTAAACAATTAAAGCATTAACCTATTAGAAATTCCTTCGTATAATGTATGGAGGGGTGATATCTATATGCATAAGGTCTTTGAAGGACTTTGGAGCTTAAATTTATACCGGCGTGATCATACACCCAAAGCAGAAGTTCTTAAGAGTTTTTTAAAAGAGCAAGAAAATAACGTATGTCTTCTGACGCTATGGAATTAGAAGAGAAACCTTTATGCGTTAGAGTGTCTGAAGGCTTTCGTTGCTTACTGTTTTTATTTTTGATATTGTCTATATTAATTTGAGAAGACCCTGCTTCATGAAAAAATACCTCATGCAAGAAGCTTTTCCAGTGTTGCTCGTACTCAAAAATACAAAAAATATTGTTATACAATTATTTATTTGTTTTTTATTTTTCCTTTTTTAATAAAGATGACTTTCAAAAAACTAATAATCCTGAGAAAAATTAACTTTTAAAAATAAACCACGTTGAATGAACCACGTTAATATATTTCTTATATTTACAGTAAACATTTTTGTTTTTCTCTGAAAATTTTATTTACATTAAAATCAAGCGTGGGTCTAAAACTGAAAGCCTTAGAATGGTAAGACCCTAAGTTATGCGAGCTCTTCCATTGTAAGCCTTAAAATATGGCATTCACACCTAAAGACGAAGGAATTTAGTCAATAATTGAGACTCACATTCCAACAATCAAAAAGCCTTGTTTATTACCAATGTATGCACTTTTTTTATGATTAATGTATGTACCAAACCTCTCCAATATTGTAACTATTACAAAAGCTAAAAACCAGGACCCAACCACGTTCAAAGACTTTTAACACTCTTTTTTCTTATACTAAATCAAAATCAAAAACTTGATTTTGTTAGAGAAATACTTTTAACGTGATTGGGATCCTAATACAAAATTAGTAAATAAATTAAAGTAAATTAAAATTAAAAGATACAGAATAAAATACTTCGCAGGGCCGACGACATGGATTTCGAAGTAGGGGGGGGGGGGGGGCACAACTGTCAATTCTTAAAAAAAGTTGTCTATATCTAGAATTTTCTTATATTTAAAAAAAAAGTCCTTTAGGGAAAAAGTGGGGAGGAGGGGGGGAGCACGTACCCCCTTGACCCCCCCTGGTGTCATCGGCCCTGCCTCGAAGTTCAGATTTTATCCAATATCTTGTGAGCATACAATGGCTTTCAATGTGCATGGAATCATAGAACTACAATATTTATCAAGAACTTTACCACCTGTGCTAAAGACTGACTCAGAAGCAACAGTAGACAAAGGAATCGACTGAATATCTCGGTCGATGCTATTCGCACGGCCGCCGTGTTCTAATTCTAAAAAGGCTATTTGCACGGCCGCAAAACCAAAATATTGCAATCAATTTTTGAGTCACTTCCTGGTAATAGATTTGCAGAAAATTTTGCACACATATTCTTGCTTGATGACAATACAATATTCAATAATTAGTTTTGCAATAAGTCAGTTAATTTAGTTAATTTTAATTAAATTTATTTTTTATATGGAAAGAAGAATTTAAAATTTATAAATAACTATACTAATTATTTTAAAACTTAAATGCACGTTTAGCTTATTTGGTAAAGTCGTCGATTTCGTAATCTGAAGGTTACAGGTTCGAGTCTTGCCTCTTCCTGAATAATTTTTGTTTTTTTACACACGCATACAGCCGAATGTCAATAAAATAAAATCAGGTTATTAGAAGAAACTTATTACAAAACTTGTGTTTTTAAAACATATAAAAGCACTAGGTTTTAAAAATTAGTCTTTAAATTTACTTGTTCTTTTCGCGTTTTTTTTAAGAATGGCAAAGAATTACGAAAATAATTACGAAAACTGTCATTTTCTTTCAGATCTTCCTTTTCAGCTTTTAATTTGTTTTATTGTACCTATTAATTAATTCTAAAGTTACGGTGCAGTCCAATTTCAAATTTTGCCAATTTGACCGTACAACCTTTTCTTAATTGTTTATATGGCAGCCGTGCCAATAGAAGTTGTACACGGCGGCCATGCCAATAGACACTATCGAATATCTCTTACTACATTGTATAACTGGAAACATTGTATAACTGGAAATCTGACTCCACCATTCCAGTATGTCGAATCCTTCTTGATCAATAATTAATGGCTCATCTAAGTACAACTGAAATTCATTTTTTAATTTCAAAGAAGAAGATTTTAAGGCTACATGCTTTTTGAATTTCTCAATCCTTTTTGAATATAAAAAAGAAGCAGACAAAGTAGATTGATTTGAAATACTTTCTTTTAGCACTTGAGTGTTTACCGTGTTGAAATATTAAGTAGCGTACTCATTATACAACCTTTTTAACTTCCGTTCACTTGCGGCACCATAAATTTCTCTAAAGTAGTACTCAACGCTGATCATTTTGTAACGCGGATCCAACACAGATGCAATGGATTGTGTATCAGAACTAATTTTCCAATATTTTGAAAATTTTGCCATCATTTTCTTCCCTATTTTACAGATAAACTGAATATGATTGCTGCACATATCAGTTATTTGTAAATAAATTTCACAAATATGATAAAATAGTAGTTTGCTGTTGGATTTATAGAGAAAACGTTTGTTACTTCGTAAAAAAATTTTAAACAGTCATAACAATTTTTAACATTTGTCCATTCCTCTTCATTTAGCGAATGCGTGTAACCTAAATCAAATTGTTTTAGACGGATAAAGGTATCTTTGAATTTCAATGCGGTATCCAACATTATATATGTGGAGTTTCATCTTGTTTTTACATCTAAAACAACATGATTACCAGGAGCTTGTATTTGGGATGTTACTTCTTTAAACTGCTGCCATTTCAAAGTTGGCAATTTGACATATTTCACGCTTTGTCTAACTTTTACAATTATTTGCTGAATGCTTTCAATTGCTTTTTGAGAATTCTAACCATTGTGTCATTTGTTGAACAGTTATCTAGAACAACAACATTATTTTTTTTATCAACGTTCCATTTGTTTAAATTCTCAATGTAGATATTGCCGATAAAAAATGCAAACAATAGTTGGAATTGGCTTTACGTTAGTTCCAATAATTGGAATTGGCTTTACCATCGATAAAAACCTTTTTAAATGATGCCCACACTTTTGAGGTGCATTTTCTCTTTTTAGTTTTAGGTATAACTCTCAACTCAGATGAAAGTAGCAGTTCGATATCAATAATTGGAGTGATAGCATTTGTGTTTTCTACTTCTGAAATATCTGTTAAAAACAGATGAAATAAAAAATAGTTATCAAAAAACAAATATTGGTTTTGAACCTTTTATAAATTACATACTTTTTTAGTCTTTTTTTTTGAAATAATGAATTTTTTGAAAATAAAAATAAAGCTTTTATTAAAAGATTTTTTGATGAGACTACTTTTTTTAAACGATCGGTTTTATATATTTTTCGTAAGCCATCATTAAATGAGAATTTTTGGCAGATGTCTCTTTGTGAAATGATAAAACAAAAAGAAATCCATTAAATATAAAACTTACAATGTTAGAATTCTCGTTACAAAAAACACTCCATAAAACTTGTTTTTTACTTGTTTTATTTGTTAAAGAAAAATCGAATTTTAATTTAACTTAAAAGGTTTTTTTTAAAAAAAAAAAAAAAAAAAATCGGTTTTTATAATGTGGTTTATGAAACTATTTAAATATTTCAGAAATCATAGTTTTCATCGGCACCTAATATTAAGTAAGATATAATGAAAGTTTATAAGAAAATTATCATAATTAAAACATTAAGAAAATGCTAGTCGGGTCTAATATTATAAGATCTGGCGGGTTTTGGGTCCAAAAATTGAGACCCAGACCCGGTTCCAACGGGTCGGGCCTGGGTCTAGACCCGACCCATTACTAGCCCTACTTGTGCCAGTTTTTGCAACTGCTTCAATGTTTGCTAATTCTTTTGGCGCACTTGTACCAGTTTGCACTTGTGCCAGTTTTTGTAACTACTTTGCACTTATGCCAGTTCTCACTTAAGAAATTCGCGCTTATTCAGTTGTCCTGAATAATGTTCAATACTTTATAACTTCTTATTGTAAACTTCTATATATATAAAAAAAAAAAAAAAAACAGGGATGGGCTAATTGATTTTTTTTTTCTTGTTATGTTATTAAAAATATCTATAGAACTTTAAAAAGTATTTTAGAAAAATGAAAAAGATTAAAAAAGAACAAAAATAAATGTGTAAGCGAAAGCATTAAAAATAAATGCTAAATCAAAATTAAGGAGAGCATTGTCGCAATGGAATTTTCAAGTAAAAGTTAAACTGTAAAAACTTAATATAATTTTTAACATTACGTAATTTAAGTTGGATATATGCATACACTTTCGTTCACATTTTCTTATTATTTAAAATTCAGCAGCTCTTTTTCGTCTCGGCTTTAATGTTGACATGAGTTTTGTGCAAACATGCACAAACGAGTAAAGGCAGCAGCATTGAAATAAAGAGATATTAAGAGATGATAACAACATTAAAAACTTATCTGAAAACTTCTTTTTACTTAAGATATTTTAGTAACATACAATTTAAATATATATAACATACAATATTCCTTTATACAGTGTGTGTGTGTGTGTGTGTGTGTGTGTGTGTGTGTGTGTGTGTGTGTGTATGTTTATATATATATATATATATATATATATATATATATATATATATATATATATATATATATATATATATATATATATATATATATATATATATATATATATATATATATACACATGATACAGATAGTACCTAATTATCATAATACATTTTCAATTTGGCTTCCAATCTACAAAATACACAGTGCTTTATAGAATCCTGGTCCTGAGCTTGTGAAATTGAGAACTGTTTTCCACATTTATGACACTAAATAAAAATATTTTTTTAAACTTTACAAAAATAATCAACATTATGAAAATAAAAAGCCATAATTTATTGTAACGTTTTTTCTAAAAAAAATTATATGTTTTTATTAAAAAAAAACTTAAATATGTTTATATTTATATTACTGAAAAGTTTTCAAATTTAAACTGTAATATTAACAGTGAATTGTTACAACAAGAAGTTTGCAACAGTGCAATGTTGCAAAAAGAAATATGCAACAGCACGTTACAACATAAAAAACAAAAAATTAAAGATTATATAGTATAAAATCCTATAGGACACCTATACTTAAGTAAGGTACATATGCTTTTTTGTTTGAAATTGTTCAATGCGAGTTTTTTAATGCTAACTTTAAACATTGTTTCTTTAGAGCATTTAACAAAATCAAGATTGTTACTTAGTGCTTTTGTTAAAAAAAAATCTTCATAGTTTACTAAAAATATTCAAACTAGTTAAAAAAAAAAGTCTAAAAGGCAATTAAAAAAAATATATAATAATTTCAGAGTATATAAATGGAAAGAGCTGTGTGATATGCAGTTTTGGCATTGTTGATGAAAGGGTGAGATTTGTACATTTAAGAGTTGAAAATGGTTGTACAAAAATGGTTGCCTGAGGAATAATTAAACTTGCCACAATGCTGCAAAAAAATGAACAAAGTTACCTTCAATATAAATGAAGGTTTCTTTGATATCTTAAAATTATTAAAGTACCTTCACAAAAATGGTTATCTTTGAGATGACTATACCATAGTACACCACTAGAGAGAGTAATAAAGTTATAGATATGAAGTACCTGTAAGAAAATGGTTGTTTAATATCTATAGATTTTTATTATATATATTAATTTATAAAATTATCTATAGATCTGCAACTTGATTTTAAAGCTGCTATTACCACGGGCAACTTGTGAGCTTTGGTTATATATTTGTTTCTATAGCGGCTTAAGGTGCATTCAATTCATGTAAACTTTTACGTAGCAATACCAAGGCTTATACCTGAGTAAGAACATTAACTCATAATAACTAAAAAACTAACTACACCACCTCAAGTATTTATTTAAAGCCATTTATTTCTGCGTCATTAAAAATATCAATTCTATTTCATTTTCTAGTAAAGTTTGCTAATCTTCTTTTTGTTTTTAACTCTCTAAATAAAAATTTACCTTCTATCGCAAATTTTTTTATAGAAAGCAGACTGATTCATACACACTCTACGCGAAATATAAATAATGGAAAACTTATTGTACTATCTTATAAAACTCTAAAGTATGGTAAGAATTCTGTTGTGTATCAGTGCATCTGTGAATGGAACAAGAGTCTTGTGTGCATTGTGAATGAGTTCAATAAACTCCAACTCCAAACTCCTTTGTCATCTTTTCTTAATCTTAATCAAAATCAATTTAAAAAAATTATGAAAAATATTTTGTTATAATTTTTTTCTATTACTATAATAATTGTCCTTATTTTTTGTTTGTTTTTCTTTTCTTTTTTATTATTACCTACATATATGATTTTTAAAAAGTTTACTTAATGTGTGTCTATGTTTTATGTCTATATGTTTATTATTAGTCATATTATTTTGAAAAATGGTGTCACTCCTTTGATCAGACTTCTGTATGAGTGACACCATCCATATTAATCATTAACTTATTATAATAAGAAATAACATATCATTTTACGTATTATTACAGTAATTATTATTATTTTTAATTTTTTTTTTGTTATTATTATTATTATAATTTTTTTTAAATTATTACTATTGCTTATTATTTTATAATTATTGTTATTATTATTTACCTTATTATTGTAAAAATGATTTTAAAATGGAAAATAAATAGCTTGTTGTTGTTATTTATATAATTTTAACTTGATATATTAATACTGCAACAAAAAACATTTTCATAACTTAATTTGGTATGATACCAGTTCTAAAAGAAGTAAAGCTTTTTTTGAAAAACACACACTTTTTTTAATACCTTGAATTAATTCTATAATTTAAATTTTTAAAGTCTATAATTTTAAAAGCTCTTAATTTTTCCAAGTTATAAACATAAATATGAGCAAAGGAATAAAAAACTTGACTAATAACCAAAATAATAACCAATATTTTTTTTTTTTTTTTTTTGCATCTTTCAATATTTTTATAATTTTTTTTTTCATAGAATGCAATAACTAACTTGTAATGATAACAATCCAATATTTTTCTTATTTTGTATGATGACAGGTATTTCATCACTATTTTCAAGGTTCCAATAACGTATTGAACCATCCTAAAATTATGTTTTCAAATTTTATGAAAAGCTTACATATATAAACTGTATAGAAAAAATAAAAATATATAGATATTAAAAATAAAAATATATAGATATTAAAAATAAAAATATATAGATATTAAAAATAAAAATATATAGATATTAAAAATAAAAATATATAGATATTAAAAATAAAAATATATAGATATTAAAAATAAAAATATATAGATATTAAAAATAAAATTATATAGATAAAAAAAAATTAAGAAATACCTTTGATGAAGATATAACGCATTGCTCATTTTCTGAAAAATCACAATCTGTTACCCATCCTGTGTGACCCTAAAATTAAATATAAAATCTTTAAAAAGTTATGATCAACTAATTTTTGAAATAAAATATTATTATAAATCAACTTCAAACTTCCAGGTCAGCATTGAAGGAATGAAAATATCATATTCTTTGTGACAAGTAACCAGGACTACTTCCAATGTATACCACTACAACTTGTCCATAAAAAAATTTTGTGTAGCTATTTCAACAATGCAGACATAATTGTTAAACTTTGATTAGTTAAGGTTAAACATGCTAGGATTAAATCACCAAGCTCATACTATAGCCTCTCTCAAATTTGTTATTGAGCTTGGGTTTTGTTTAGAAACTTTTGCTTTTAATTTTATCTAACATATTGTGATGGGTTGAACTGCTCTGCAACAGGACCAGAACAATAATTAAGTTTCTTGGAAGCATATCTTGATATTTTTAGATTGATGACCCATCAAGCATGAAAATATAAAATTTTCTTAATCAAAACCGATTAGAGACATGGTATTTCAAAATTTCCAAATAATTTGTGGAATCAACAGTCTCACCTTTTTATTATAATATTGTTATTTAAATATATAATTTGTTATTAGAAAAAAAAATATTAAAAAATATTTCACTAAAATTCAATAAATCGTTTATTAGAGTGAATATTAAACTTTACTAAGAGATGAGCCTACAAATATTTTTATTTAGATGAATATTAATTAGTACTTTAATTTTGAAAGACTTTTTTTTTGTATGTACACAAATTTAATTACAAACATATAATATAGAAAAAAAACATAAACAGATTTATTTCTTCTTCTTTCTAACTACATTAGCAACATTGTTTTATATTGTAAAAAAACAGCTATTTATCAAAAAAAAAAAATCAATTATTTTATGTTTCCAGAACTTTTATTTTTAGGCAGTTTTGGTTTAATTCAATATATTTCAAGTAATATTAAAAGCTCAAATTTTTATTGCATATTAATAATCAGATCTTTTAAATTGAAAGTTGAGCGCTAATTTTCATTTTTTGTAAAACTTAAAAGAGGTAAGTTTTCTATAAGTTTTTCTTCTTTAACTTAGTCCTTAGTCTAGTAACTTTAGAAATTTGATTACTAACAATAAAAGTGTTTTAGAAGACTTTTTATTTGTAGTAATGCAAATGCAGCTTCAAACACTTTGTTAAAATGATTAAGGTGCATGGATCTGTAAAATACAGAATAATCCTCTATATTTTAAGACTCATAAAATACAGGAAAATAATATAAACTCATAATGCATTACTTTAAACAGATGTTACACTTAATTTTTTTCAGATATAATTACATCTAGAGGGAATTCTTCCAGATGTTATTGGACTTGGCAGAAATTTCCCAGATGCTTTAAAGGTAAGGGGCCTCCTTGCCAAATACTCCCCTCTCTCTGGTGAGGCCCAGTTATGATGCATTATGCAGTACGCATTTTACGTAAAAAATGGTAAGCGTACTGCAATTGATGTTTAACAAAATCTTTAATCATTCGAAAGATTTAAATTGTTTTTTTGATTTTGTTTATGTAAGATTTATTTACATTTTTTTTACAATTAACAATTGTAAAAAAAATGTTAACCGCATTAATTTTTTGATTAAAAAACAGACAGTCAAATAAATTTTCTTTTTGATAAAAAACATTAACTGAATATGGCTTTAAATAATAATAAATTTTAATTAAACTTTGAAGGAATGTAAAATGGTTTGCAATACTTTTTAAGTAAATAATTATTTCTATTTTATTTATTTGCAAACTAATTCATTACACAAAAACATTAAGATTTTACAAGTCTCTTTCATAGATTTAATTGTGTAAAAGCAACCATAAAACATCATCATTTGTTGTAAGAAAGAAGAATTGATTTTGTTCAAAAGAATTTTTTTCACTAATGAAATTAAATCTTTAGATTTTTATCTATGAACACAAATCACATTGAGTTTTATTTATGAACACAAATCACGTTATGTTTTATTTATGAACACAAATCACATTGAGTTTTATTTATGAACACAAATCACGTTATGTTTTATTTATGAACACAAATCAAATTGAGTTTTATTTATGAACACAAATCAAGTTATGTTTTATTTATGAACACAAATCATATTAAGCTTTATTTATGAACACAAATTATGTTTTTTAAATATAGTTTGTTTACAAATATAGTTTATTTATGAACACAAATCATATTAAGCTTTATTTATGAACAAAAATTATGTTTTTTAAATATAGTTTGTTTACATATATATAAAAAAACAACAACAACAAAAAACTAAATTGTAAATAATAAAGAAATAATCTTTTTCAATGAACAAACTTTGATTTCATTAGTAACTTTTGCTATAATTATTGTTTAAAAGATCGTAACAGAGTGTATTAATGAGGCAATTTAAATTTTAACAATATAAAAATCATTCCTTGAATTCACTTAAACAAAATAACATATATAAAAAATATAATTTGTTGATAAAGTTTTACACTATAATTATTGTTATAAAAAACATAATGCAAGGCTAACAAATATATCAATTTTTTAAACGTGTTTATTTACTTTAATTTATTAATATTGGACTTTATTAACATTGAAAATTATAACTTAATGAACTTTTATTTGGGCGCATTGTTTTGGGTGTTCATACCAGTCAAATAGTATGAAATTATGTCTGGGTGTGGTACTGCAAACATCACATTCGTTTGAAAAAAGACCTGTCACTATTCTTAAAATTGTTTATTAGTGCTCAAAAGTAACTCTTCAAACCACTCTAAATTCAAATTTTTCAAAAATGTAATTAGATTTAGAGGGGCCACCTCAAGCCAGAACTTTGCAAAGAGACCCTAAATGCCAAAATGAATTTTTTTTTATAAGTATGTCATGTTGGGTCTCAAAAGAAGCAAAATTTTATTTTTTTATACAAAAAAAAACAAAAACATAATATGTTATACATACATAATATATATACATAATGTAAGCAATATATTATGGTCATTAACTAATATATTTAATTACATAATTTAAACTTTTTCATACTTTTAACATAAGAGTTATAAAAAAAATTACCCCTAAAGAAAATTTTTTGCAAGCATTGTTGACATCCCAAACAATGAGTGATTCATCATATGATGCGCTAACAACTGTTGACCCTATAAAATGATTTTTTTAGTTTATAAATAAATTTAAAACTATTATAATCATCTTCTGTCAGCAAAAGATATAAATAAAAAAAAGAAGAACTAAGTTTATTTCAGAAAATTTAATGTAAAAAAAACAACAACAAAAAAATAAACTAACTAAATTTCTATAGTGTCTATATCTAAAGTAACACTATTTGCTGACAACTTAACTTTATACTCCTATCCTGATTAAAAGTCTATTCTTTTTGATTGCTTAAAACAGGTGATCTGGAATCTGATCTCACTTCTGTAACAGTTTGGGGTTTGCAGTGGCTCGTGAATTTTAACTCCAACAAAACTCAGTTATAAAACAACTATCATAATATGGTCTACATTCCTATATTAATAAATAGCAATGCTCTCACTGAGCCCTCTTTACATCTTTTTAGATTACTGCTCACAACTGATCTCTCATGGAAACCATATACACAATTGAATGCAAAGTTTGCATTGTGTGTGTATGTATGTATGTATATATATATATATGTATGTATGTATGTATGTATGTATGTATGTATGTATGTATGTATGTATGTATGTAGTATGTATGTATGTAGTATGTATGTATGTATGTATGTATGTATGTATGTATGTATGTATGTGTATATATATATATATATATATATATATATATATATATATATATATATATATATCTTTATAGTGTAGTCGAAAGAGACTTTTAATGTAAAAAAAGTCTCTTTCAACTACAATTTTGCTACCTCGACAATTAAGCTACATTTTATTGTCGTCGAAATGTCAAAGCAATTAAATTAATGCGGAAGTACATTAAATTTTTTTGTTTTTTAAAAAAACCGCAATAATAATGACTAGAAAGTTTTTTTTATATAATAGTGTTTTTGCTGTTGTTTTATTAAAATATATTTTTAAAGCATGCGCAGAGTGTTGCTACATTGACTATCTTATAGCCTGCTGCTACAAATGAGTGTTGCTACATCGACTATCTTATAGCCTGACTTGCAATGGAGTGCTGCTACATTGACTGACAAATAGCCTGACTCACAAGGGAGTGCTGCCACATTGACTCAGGGTTTGGTTAGGGCAGGCAGTCTATTATTTAATAAATAAAAATATTATTTAAGTCTTTAAACTATTTCTGGTCTGGTTTATTAGCGCTTCCTTTAAAACTACAGTTTATGGGAAAAACTTTTCAACTACCATGCAAGATATATTAGGGTGTTAACCAGGAATAAACGATTACGTGGCCATGAAGAATACCAATAGTTATTTTTTCATTCTTAGTTATGAAATGTTATGGCTATGTTTATTTAAAATGTAACATTTCAAATTCAAGCAAGCGGTGAATCTTGTTTTCTGCTATTTAAATTTCTAGTACCAGCTTGTTGTGATAAAAAAAAAAACTTTCTTGTTATTAAACATATTTAATTTACGTTTTAATATACGTATTTGCGTGTTAAATACAAGCAAGCTGTTTAGTAAAGAAATCTATTTTGCTTGTTCAATAAATTTGTAGTTCACTTTTTTTTTAATCATTAAACATTTTTTGTAGGTAACTTACATTGGTTTTTTAAAAGTTATTGAATTAATTAATTAATTATTCGATAAGTGAAGAAAGATTTTAATCGATGTGATCACATAATTCAGTTGATATAAAATACTAAACAAAAAAATGAAAAACCATAACTAAAAGACTTAGAAATTGTCCATTAATTAAATAATGAAAACTTTCACAATAAACAAAACAAAAAAACGTTTTCCCACGTAGGGTCTTAATTTAAATAAAAAATCATAATAGCCGATTCAGTTTAATGAAAACCGCAGCATAAAAGAGCTTAAGATTTGCGACTTATGTTTTTTAAAATTTTTTTGTGTTGCGTAATTTATGGACGACTCCTTTCCGTAATATCAGTAATTGATCAAAATTTCGAAAGTATCTGACATAAAAGGCTTGTCAATATTTTTGTTGACGAAGCACATGTACTACTTGAAGTTGAGTTTGCGGTAAGACTTAATAAGTAATTTAACTTTTCAGCCAAAAATGTCAAAACTTTTAAAGAAATAGCATTTGTGGGTTCTAAACTGAACAAATTTATTGTTTTAAATTTTTTTAGATTAGTGCTTTTTTTCTTGCTGACCTTTTTATATAATGTTTACTGATGTTGGAATGCATTGCAACAATTTTTTGCAAAATATGAGAAATTACAGGGGTGGGACCGCAAAATGTGAACGTTTTTGTTTTATTATAACTATTTTCTCGTTAGATGTAGTTGTACTCTCTCACTCATCAGAAAGTGTCTAAAGAGTTGGTCTAAACGTAGTAAAATGATCTACGAGAATCAAGGAGGTCAAATTGAACATTTAAAATAGTTCATATTTAACAGAAAATTAATTATTACAATCAGAAAAGTGTTTACATTTTGCGGTCCCACCCCTGTAATTTCACAAGCAAGTTACAGGGAAAATCCCTAAAATCGCTTGGAAAATCCCAATTCTCAAGAAGTTTTGTCGAAGAGACATTTTCAGAGCTCAATCGGGTAAATGTACCAAAAATGGCAATTTTATTTCAAGTTTTATGCAATTATTAAATTAGAATTTTTTTTTTTTAATTAGTTTTTCATATTTAATTTTCAATAATTTTCAGAACTATTATTAAACTTTAATTTGGCAAAATTTATTTCGAGTATGGGATTTTTTCACCTTTAAATTAAGAATTTTAATTTTATGAGCATTTGGGAATACCTCATTTGACGGGGCGCCACAGGGCTAGTTAATATATATATATATATATATATATATATATATATATATATATATATATATATATATATATATATATATATATATATATATATATATAATGAGCTCACCATCTCTTGAAATTCTGCATGCACTCACTGAACCTTCATGGCCATTAGAAAGATATGTTGGACCATGTTTTCTAAAAATTATAATCTTAAACAGGTCTGAAACAAAAAAAAAAAAAAGAAAATTGTAAGTATTGAAAACAACCTGTAAGTTCCAGCATTCACATCCCATAAGCAAATTGTTTTATCCCAAGATGACGTACAAACTCTTCGTTCATCTGCAGAAATATCACAGGAAGAAACCATATTTAAATGACCTCTGAAAATTTTTTTTTTTTCAAATTTAACAAGATATAAATAAGTATAACTAAAATTAAAATTAGAATTTTAAATTTTTTATTTTGAATATTTTCTAATATTTTTTTATACCACAGTGAACCTCAATAACCACAATAATAATAAACAATTTTATATTTGATTAAAATCTTTCATGCTATTAAAATACTTTAGAGACAACAATTTTGAAATAGTTGCAGGTTTACAATATATTAAATTGAATAATTAGCTATTTATTAAATGTTGAAAATTCAACAACACTTGACAATTATTTATCATAATCTGGGTGGCTTTGTCGTCTCTTATACATAATCCATGTCTTTTTAAACTCATGATGAGCAAATTCATCTGCTTACTCCAAGTCCATTATCAGTATTGGTACTTTTTAGAAATGGTACAGCATGGTTAACTGCAATATGAACTTTCCACGGTATATTCAAAGAAATATTATTAATGTAAATATTAATATATTCCATTAAATTAGCATGAGACATCTTGAACTTGAAAACAACAAATTCAATACCACCAATAACTTTTCTTCAAAGGTAGCTTGCTTCATTGATTGAAACTTTCTTAAATATTCAATTACTGGCAATAATTCAAGCTTTCCTAGATCAGCAATATCAAGAGTAAGAACATCTAACTTATCTAAAAGTCTTTTGATAAAATGGCATCGTTGCCATCAAATTCAATGCCATGGTAACCTCTGAAAAATATGATATTTGAGTTTAACCACTTTTCAAAGCCAGGCCATAGTTTTGATAATTTTGATAATTTTCCAAAAGTTGTATATATTCAGAGTTGTAACTATTCTATTGCAAGTTTCAAAGCCAGGCCAGAGTTTTGATAATAGTTTTCCAAAAGTTGAATTGTAAGTTGCAACTCAGTTACTGGAACTAAACATTCTATAATTGTGTCTGGATCCTCTTCAAGATATAATACTCTTGGATTAATAACATTTTTATAATCAGCCATCTTTGATTTTGGTTTTCCAGCTTCTGTGTATTTACTGGAATGATAATCGAGGGAATGAAGAGCTCGTTTTTCTCCGCCATCCAAAAGACTCTCCTTCTCACCACAAACAACTATATTCTCCAGCATGGCTTGTAATGCCAAACATTGAGTTGCACACTCTGCACACTTTAAATCAAATGCAACAGAATACTTATTATTTTGAAGATTAAGAGTATCAGCTAATTTTCTTAGATTTCTATTGTGTTCAGACACTCCTTCTACAATAGCAACAATAAAACAACGCTTAACTCAGCATCATCAAGGTCAGGTTGGTTGCTAGTTTTATCATGCGGATTAAAAACACTCATAGTGACCTTTAAAAAACCTTGACCAGAATCCACAGCAACTCTTTGTAGAAGTAATTGTAGAAAGAGGGTCAACATTCCTTTTCGTGATTATATTATGTATAAATTCATCAATATCGTTCATATAAATCATTGATTTATTTACTATATCACCAGTTTCAAAAAATTCTTCTTTTTTACAAGAAAAATATTCATTCATTTCTGCTTTTAAAGCCTCTAATTTTTTAATAATATTTCCTTCTATGCTACTTTAAAAGTAAAGACTTTTTCTAAATATTGAACACATTTTTTTGGTTTAATACTGAGATAGCTCTAAATATTTTATAAGCTCAATGATTGTTCCGAAAGACACTTGACTAAAATTAGCACATCACATTTATTGTTTAGCGTTATAATTTACGTTAGCCATTTTAGGTATTTATTTTAGGTATTACTTTAGGTATTTTGTATTGATCTTTTCCAAACAAAAAAGGTTTTTATAACAATTGTTAAAAATAACTTCAGGATGGTTAGCTAAATTTTGATCATAGCAATCCCAAATAAAAGTTTTTATTTTTTCTTCAATAGGTTTAGTTATTTTATGAAGTTTTGCTGACTTTTTACCAAAGGTTTTAAAACAAACAGCACATAAATTGTTGACCACCATTTAGTAAAGCTCAAGTTGTTGTGCACCAGAGTAGGTTTAAAATCAAAAAACCCTAGTATTTAATTAGCAAACTATAGCTATTTTGTTGAAAATGGCAGATGTTTTTAACTAAAAACTATACTTTTTTTTTTTTTTTTGATTAAAATACATTTTTCCATTCCCCTAGAGGTTATTACTAACTAAATATTTATTTTCATATATACAACTAAGTATATATAAAAAAAATCTGATGTGCGGAGACTTCAAACCTGGCAGTCACTGTGGTTCATTGTGATACCTATGTTTAATGTTTTCATTCAACAAACAAATTTTGAAGTTTATTTATCATTAAATATTTGAAGTACATCAGAAACATAAGAGTACTCAAAAAAAAACATGGAGTACATTAGAAACATAAGAGTATTTAGAAGAAATATGGAGTACATGAGAAACATTAGAATACTCAGAAGTAATTACTTTAAAACAATTATTGAATATTATTTTGAGTAACTAAGTAAAAAATTTAATTTTTTAAAAAAAGAACAAAACTTATTGAATGAAATTAGATATAATATTGACCTTTAAAATATTGTCTCAAAGAGTTTTACTTAAGTTATAAAGGCAGTTAAACATAGTAAATAATTATGTTATTGCTGTATATGCATTGTATGGAATACTGTTGCCATATTGCCATATCTAGGGCAGATCTTCTAATGATGCCCTTTCTCTTTAAGACAAGGTGCAAAAACGAATTGTAAACATATTGGGACCTGCTTTTGCAGTCAAACTTCAACCATTATCACATCATCATAATGTTGCTTCTCTTTCTCTTTTCTACAAATACTATAATGGGCACTGCTCTTAAGTGCCAGCACCTCTTGTGCCATCTATTAAAATTCATTCTCATGTTACTCGCCATTCAATTAAGTCTCATCCTTTTTCTGTGACTGTTCCTAAGTGCTCCAAAAACTCTTATTCGTCTAGTTTTTTTCCTTAAACATCAGTTCTTTGGAATTTACTTCCTTCATCTTGATTTCCTGATTCATATAATTTGCAATCTTTTAAGTTGTCTGTCAATCATTATCTTGCTCTACAATCTTCATCTTTTCTGTTCCAGTAACTTCCAACTCTAATTACTGGTTGCTTGCAGCCTTGTTGGAAGCGAATATGTTAAAAAAAAAAAATGTAAATGTTAATATTTTTACTTTTTTAATGTTTTTATTCTCATAATTAGTTTTAAAGTATTATTAGCAGTAGTTTAAAAAAAATCACAAATAACAGTAATTTGAGTATAATTAGCTTCTCAAAAAACGATTTTAATAGTTTTCATTGACTTCTTCTAGTATCCGCTGTGAGCTAATTATGCTATTGATTCCATTATTTATTGTGTCTGATTTTCCACTAATTGTGAAATAACTGCTCCATAATTCCAAAAACAGCAAACTAAATTATAAGTTTTCTAGAACTCATATACCAAAACCAAACAAAAATCTTCAAAAGCTTGACCTTGCAACTAAAACCAGTATCTTTTAAAACATATCTTTTAAAGTCATTAGGGCATTGTTGAAGATACATGGCCTGGTTCCAAAGGCATATTTCTGTAGATATTCATTTCAGCTATAAAGTTTATAAGTAAATATCTACAGAAATATACCTTTGGAACCTAACCATGTATCTTCAACAATACCCTGAACCATTCTTCAATACTCAATAAATTATACATTATTATTAGATAATAATCATTTAAATCTTGTTTTCCTGTCTGCTGGAAAAGAGCATGTGATTTTAAGTTCCAATTTTTAAAAACTCCCTCTGACCTCTCTAACTAGTGTAACCAGTCTTCTTACACATCTAACCAGTCTTTTTACTACAATTAGGAAAGTCTCAAATTAAATCTTTAATTAGGAAAATTTTATTAACTTTAAAAGTCCAGCTATTTACTTTCTGACAATCAATACTAATTTTAATTCTTTTATTATACTGATCACTTACAAATAACAGAAAAGTTATATTGTGGATTCAAAGTGTTAAAGCAAGTGTTATTTCTCTTACAAGATCGATGAATTTAAAAGTCTAATATGTTGGTTATATTATTCTAATATGCTAGCCATAAGACCTTATAGTTGATGTTGAGAAAGTTTTTAAAACAATTATATCCTTAATTAATTAAATCCTTTCTAATCACAATATTAGGGTTTTCATTGATTGAAAACTCTCTCCCTCATTACCAGCAACCTCTGAGTACTACAAGGTTCTTAGAGGAACCTTGTGGTAACCCAGTTTGTGGAACCAGTTCTAAAATCTTTTTTTTTGTATGGAATACAAAAATACAAATACTGTTGTCACACTTGGATGGTTTTTTTTTTAATGATTTTTTCCTTTTAGGCAAAACCTTAAAAAATGAAATTGAACCTACATTAGCTGCAAAATTTGAGCTGTCCCATTGTTGTTGCAATACCAATGCATTAGTCGCATCTCATTCTTTTTCTACAAATATGTATACATAAATACACACATAAGTTATATTGTATGTTTAGATAAGCAGTCTAAAATCATACTGAAATAGCCAGCTGCTGGGGTCTTCAGTACATATGCCAATTGATTAAATAGGGATCACATGCAATCATAGGAGTGCTGCTACATTGACTAAGGGGTCGTCCATAAAGTACGTACACTCATAGGGGGAAGGGGGGAGGTCTTCAAAAAGCGTACGAAACTTAACTTGACCACGGCTGTTAATATGTTTTGAAAGCTCGTATATGTTTTAAAATCGCGCTAAAAAAATTATCTTGACTATAAAAAAAACTAATCATAAAAGAAGCAAATAAATATTGGTAAAAAAAAGAAAAAAAAGAAAAATAACTTAACTAAAACAGCAGAAATAAAATTAAAACTAAACTAAATTAAATAATAAACTATAACAATAAGATTATCTAAATTACGTTTAGAGTAAATAACTTTAGACCGTTTATCTTTACTAATGCTTTTTTAATATAATTATGCGAATTATGCAAAACTTTTTAAATAAAGTAACAACTAACAATTGATGATTGTTTATTAAATGCGCACATTAAAAAGTTTAAAAAAAGATTCAAAATTCTTCGCACTAATGAAAAAATAATTAAATCATTTATTCAAAATTTTGATTTAATTTTTTTTTATTTAAAAACATTTATAATAAAAAATAAATACTTTTAAAAAAATATATTTTTTTTATAAAAAAAATCATTTGCAGTGACTTGTTACTTTATTTAAATTCAATAAAATAAAAACGTAAGTAAAGATCGAAGTTAGTTAATTCAAACGGCTTTCAAAAAAGTTTTTTTTTTCTTCTCAAAAACAACTTCAATTATTCTTGTATGAAGTTTATTAGAGACCATTGCTTATTAAAGTCTAAATTTAAAAAAAAAAATTTTAATTACTTTTACTTTTTTTATTTTTACTTATAAAAAAATCTTATATAATTAAATAATATAAATAAAGAAATATATAACTTTCAATGATAATTAAAATCTTTATTTAAAAGCGTTTTGCTAATATAAAAATGTTAGTAAAGATAAACGCGTCCAATTTATTCATTTTCAACGTAATTAAAAAAACTTTTCTTTTTAGCGCATTTGTTAAAAGCTGTGGTTAAATCATCATAACAAAATATTATTTGTGTGGTCAATTGCAAAGAAATCGCACGCCTTCCTGGCCAAGCCTGTGTATCTATATGTACGTTTGTATTTATATGCACATACAAACATAGTCACTGTTCAAATCACCTTTTATTTCATCAACCAAAACTCAATCTTATACAATTCCTTGTTCAGCAAGGTTGCATTCACTTGATGTAACTCTTCTTGCTCAAAAAACTTTTACTCATACTATAGTTTTTTTCTTTGCAAATCAATGCTTTGGATTTCTTGATTATTTTTCTGACTTATACATTTTGCATTTTTTTTTAAATTTGCTGTCTACATTTTTCTTGCTCTTCTTTTGAATACTTCTTTTACTTTTTTAATTTAGTAAAGAATTCTAACTTCTAACTGGAATCTCTAACTTCTGTCTAACTTCTAACTGGAATCTCTAACTTCTGTCTAACTTCTAACTGGAATCTCTAACTTCTGTCTAACTTCAAACTGGAATCTCTAACTTCTGTCTAACTTCTAATTGGAATCTCTAACTTATGTCTAACTTGTAACTGGAATCTCTAACTTATGTCTAACTTGTAACTGGAATCTCTAACTTCTGTCTAACTTGTAACTGGAATCTCTAACTTCTGTCTAACTTCTAACTGGAATCTCTAACCTCTGTCTAACTTTTAACTGGAATCTCTAACATATGTCTAATTTCTAACTGGAATCTCTAACTTATGTCTAACTTCTAACTGGAATCTCTAACTTCTGTCTAATTTCTAACTGGAATCTCTAACTTCTGTAACTGGAATAGTGATTGCTTGCAGGTTTGTAAGAAAAAAACTTCTTAAAAAATGTAAAAAATTAAAACAAAATATTTTAGAAAAAATTACTTTAATTTTAACACCGGGTGAGGGTCAATATTATTTCTATAATCCAACATGTCAACAACAAAAGCAGTTTGGTCCATTGATGTAGTGCAAAAACGGTAAGAAGAATGAGAAAAACAGCAACTTAGTACAGTATTTGCATGATCTATGAAGAAACAGATATCAAATTTAAAATTTGAAAAAAGAGTTTATTGAATTTTTTGTTAAATACCTGTTAAAACTCTGTAAAAAAATTGTTAAAATTGGATTCTAGCTCTAATCTGTATTTTAAAAAAACATTTCTAAATTTTACAAAATTGTAAAATGTGTAAATAAAAATACATTTTAACTAAAAAACATTTTAACTTACAGTTCAATGTTGCAATACTTTTCTTTTGACGCAGATCCCACACAACAACAACATTATCAAGATCAGTGGTAGAAATCATATACTTACCATCAAACGATATGTCACAGGACATAGCCATACCTTCATGAAGAAATCCAAGCTATTACAAAAATCCAAAATTTTATAAAAAAAAATAAAAATAAAAAAAAAAAAAAATTTATGTTTTATTTAAGCAATACAATATAATATTTACGTATAACAATGTCAATTTTATCACAACTAATTAAAACGAATAACTGTTTGAATTAAATATCATTTGAAATTTGTTTGAAATGAAACATTCTTTTTATTATTTATAATTTTAATTTTATCAAGCTTATTATCTCAGTTATAAAAAATTAAAAAAAAAAATAATATGGAAAAAAAACCTTTTATACATATATAAAAAATATTCAAACTAAAATAAGATTAGCAATTACCAAAAAAATTATCAAAGGATAATATTTACAAATAATAAACATGGAATAGATTTTCGATTTATGTAACTAAAACAATTTATCGTAACTAAATAAAATTTATGGTAAAAATGATTTATTTACAATTTGAAATGAAATCAGCAAACACTTCATATGTTTTGATCCTTGTTAGAGTTTATGTCTATAGGTACCCAAAATAACATTTAACAACTATATATCTTATTATAAAACTTATACATAAAACACCTATATATCATATTATAAAACTTTTACCAGACATACCGAATCATTTACCTTCTCTACTCTTGTTTCTGATCCTAGTGCTCAGTTTCTCCACATTTATCCTTAGATTTCTTGTTAAATTAATTTTTAGTTATAAGTTTATATTATGTGTTAACAACATATAAGATGTATACACATAAAAATACATCTAAGAATAGAAACATTTGTATAGCTAATTTTTGTAAGTCTTTAAGTATATCAAATAAATTTAATAGTTTAGTTACTGTAGTAACTGGTTGTTTTGATTTAGTTACAGGTAAATTTACTGTGATGTACTTTATACATTACGTAAATCAAACAAAATATGACTTTAAAATATTATTGGTACGCAGAGATGTAAAGTAATTTGAATTCGAAAGCGCTTTATGTTGAATAAAAATTTCAGCGAGAGAAAGCAGATGTTAATAGTCCTATTTAAAAAATAACTTTAGCATGACATACTTTATGACAACAAAAAAACTTGGATAAATACATTATTTTAAGAATGAACAAAAAAAAAATGTTACATCAGAAAAGATTAAAAAAATAAAAAGCATAAACTAATCACAGAAATATTTCTTTAAGAAAAAACTAATCGCGAATGTGTGAAAACCAATCGCAAATCGGAAAGCCCTTATACATACATACATACATACATACATACATACATACATATATATACACACACACACACTCACACGCACGCACGCACACACACAAACAAACACAATTATTTATAAGCAATATTAAAAAAAAAAAAAAAACTTTTATTATTTAAATTAAACATTTGTTTAATAACTTTGACTTTATTTTTATAAATTATTTTTAATCTAAAAAGAGGTTAATCTATAAACAAATTAATTTTGAAAAAAAAAATCTGAAATTAGATAAATAAAAATTTATTAGATTTTATTTTCATAATGGAATAACAAGAGATAAATGTCAACTATATTTGTAATGAAGTTAAAACAAAGCTATTTAAAAAGTGTTTGCAATCAATAATTGAAAGATACATAAATAAAATGAGAATCTTTTTCTCCCTAGCTTTAAAGAGGTGAAAATAAAAAACCAATTTCTAATAATTTTGCAATAACCTTTAATTTTTTTCTAGGTAATAAATTATTAAATACATTTATCAGACAACAAGAACTAAAGCTGTTTTATTGTAAAGGAATTAACAAAACAAAAAAGTGCATAAAAAATAAAACAAAAAAGTGCGTAAAAAACAAAACAAAAAAACAAAAGATTACTAACTGTAGCCTGACCAGTAGTTGTATCCCATAAAATCAAATACTTATCTAAACCTGTAGAAACAATCCTAAAAACAAACATAAATATCTTATGCTTTAACATTTATTTCAATAAATTTAATACAAAACAACTTAAAAAAATACAATAAGAATCACAAATAGACAACTATATAAAGTTAACTAGTATAGACAAATAATATAGACAACTTATAAAAAATATGTATATAACAACTTATAATAGACTTATAAAAAATGCTTAAGTATTTGCAGAGCTATTTACTAAACTTTGATTTGTTTTTAAGCAAATAATTCAGAAAAAAAAAAGTCCAGTTAATTTCATATGCTTTGAATAATGTAGCAGATAAAATTGAGTTTGGAAGAACATTCAAGCGATGCATAAAGGCACCATTTTCAGATCAAGTTTGAGTTGAGGCAAGTTGAAGTAAAAAATGACAGAGCAATATTCTGATAGAAAGGCATTGTATTGGCTGACTGCCAGGTTAACAAATTCCAAAAAAAGCAAATGTTCTAAAACAACCTAACCGCTTGACTTATCCACAAAGAATGCTTTGAACATTATGACGAACAATGAAGAGAAATAATTCCTAACTATGCAGAGAGAAGTTGTCACCAGTTCAAGCAAGGCTGGAGTGGATTGCAATCTTGCAGAGAAAGAGACAAAAAAGAGAGATTTTATAGAAGCTAATGAAAATTGAAGACTTGAGGAGATAAAAAAGCTTCAGCAAATAGAAACATTTGGTACTGCTTTGGATATCTGTTCTTCTTCTAAGTCTGAAGACGAGGATGACATTGACGATGAAGATTTCCAAGTTCCATCATCATCTGCTCAAACTCCATCTACCTCAAAACCTAAACGACTGAAAAACATGATAGTAACTCCAGAAGTCGCAGGGGCTTTGAATAGAATGAATCTTTCTAATCGTGAAGCTATGTATTTTGTTACATCAGTAGCAAAGGCCTAACACCATCCTCTTGAAGATATGACACTGTCAAGGAGCACCATCAGAAAGTCTTGGATGGCTACCTGAAAACAAGTAGCTGAAGCAGAGAAGGGTTCTTTTTCAATCGATTTTCCTCTTCTTCTCTACCTCTTCTCTGGGATAGAAAACTGCTTCCAAACATAGCTGGTGCAAAAGAAACAGTTAAGTGAATTGCTGTGATCGCAACAGGGAATGGATTTGAAAAGTTGCTAATAGTTCCAAAAATTGGAAGAGGAACTGGAGAAGAACTGGCTGCTGCATAGTTAAAAGTACTAGATGACTGGTATATACGAGAAAATGTTCAAGGTCTGGTATTTGATACAACATCCAGCAATGCAGGCATCCATAAAGAAGCATACATTCTTATTGAGAAAGCCATTGACCTTGAACTTGTATATATATAGCTTTCTTTGATTATTGGGTCTTTCTAGATGTCAAAAGAGCCATGACAGCTTCCAAAGACTCAGACAGCTCTGAAGAGAATAAACATGAGTTGTGCAGACTTTAACAGTCTTGAAAGGTTTGTGACTCAAAGAACATTTTGTCTTTTCAATGATAAAATGTTCAAGGACAAAGAACATTTTGTCTTAGTATCACAGGAAAAGAGAAAGCCAAGAGTTTCCTGTTGAAAAATTTAAAAAGCCGGTGTATAAGATGCTTGGTATCAAAATTTGAAGGATCAAGTCAACAAGATGAAGGTCGTCAAATATATAATGAAACCCTCACCAAAGACGAGGATAAAAAACAGTTTCATGTTTTGTTCATCAACATAACCAGATTTACCTATCCTCCTTTAAGACAATCATGATGATAGGAGATGTTTTTGAGCAAGATTTTGCCCAGTTATAATAAACTTTTTAGTTTTACATTGTCGTACATTATGTCATACTTTTGAAATCAGTATTATAACAAAAACAACCAGTATTTTTTGAATAAATTATCATTACAACTATCATTATTATATCAACAGGATTATAATTATTAATCATCTTAGATGTTTCATTTCCTCGATTAATTGACAGATAGTGTTACATATTTTATTTAAAATTTTATATATTAAAATATCAATGAAACTTTTACTCATTCGACTTAAAAAGTCAAAAAGTTTTATTGACCCCTAATACTGTCTGATTTGCTTCCAATTTTTTTTTGAAAAAACTGAAAGTTTAAGAGGAAATAAAAAAAAACTGAAAGTTTAAGAGGAAATAAAAATGTAGTAGATCAATCAAAAGTAAGTAGTGACCGATAAAAATCAAATAGTAAGACCAGTAGAGACCAATCAAAATCAAATAGTGACTAATCAATGCAACCAGTTTTTATAAATCTACTAAATAGAAATCGAAACAGGTTTCCTGTTGCTCAAAATAAATTTAAATCATGTTCACAACATTTAGCTATCTCATGTTATAAAAATATTAATTAGTATTAAACACATAATTCAGTCATCCACATGTATATCGCATGTGCATTTGATGATTCCCTATTTCCTTCTCTTTCTATTTTTCAACGTGTCTGGTTTTTAACCTCCTTAAACCAAGACAGCAGTATACAGCTCCCCCCCCCCCCAAAAAAAAAAAAATAAAATAAAAAATAAAAAAAATAATAATAAATAAATAAACAAAACTTTGGGACTAAAATGAAGACCATGGCACCTTATCTGTACTAATCATGTACAGATTGTTACCAGTACTTATCAGTAATTGAGATATGGTCCTGGAATGAGCAGCTTAGAACAATGTTTTTAGTATACAAAAAGTGTGATTGGGGATGTTTAATGGAATCGATAGAGAACTTAGACACAAAAAAACTTGTGCCAATTAAAACAAGACTTAAATAACTTTTGAAAAATAATCATCGATCTAAATCAATATTTTTTCATCAACTAACTCAAATAAATTAACACACAACTACATGCACATAAAAAAACTTTAAAAATTCCAATAAAATTAGCAACAGTATTAAAAATAGTAGTTCTAATTGAACATTTTTTAATGATTATTTAAAATTAATTATATTACTTATTCATATATTTATTAAAATTAATTATATTACTTATTATTAATTATATTATTTATTCTCTGTACTTTTTTTGTTTAATAAATTTTGTACTTTTATATTATAGTACTGTATTTCAATTTTTGATAAAACAATAAGCTTTTCAAAAACTTTAAAAATTCCAATAAAATTAGCAATAGTATTAAAAATAGTAGTTCTAATTGAAAATTTTTTAATGATTATTTAAAATTAATTATATTACATTATTTATTCTCTGTACTTTTTTTGTTTAATAAATTTTGTACTTTTATATTATAGTACTGTATTAAAATTTTTGATAAAACAATAAGCTTTCAAAACATCCAAGCAAACAAAACTAAATCTACTAAAAAGTAAACCTTTGCCTATCAGGAGAAACCCGACAACATGTCACTTCATCTTTATGACCAGTAAGCATTAGTTTTTCTAAACCTAGTTCAATATCCTACAAATAAATTGTTTTATAATGTACATACATCTACGCAAGGCTACTTTATATACATCTTACACAAGGACATAATACCAAAAAGTAATATTTCTAGATACATTTCCAACATGACTTTTTTCAGCTGATTTAAAATAAAATTGTTTGGAGCTCATTGAGTTATAACTATATAGGAATCGCCAGGGATGCAGAGTCTTAAAAGGACTACGACTTGAAAATCTTCATTTTTATATGGTCATGTTGAGTAACTTATGATCTGCAATTAATTAAATAATCACAATTTAACAACTTTGAACCTATTGTTTTTTGGTCCCAAGCATTTGCAGCTAGTAAGTGAACGGGGTAAAGGTCCAGGCCCCAGTTAAAAATGAGACTTTTAACAAACCCAGCCCCAGCAAAATTATAATATTTAGCGGAGGTTGATAGCTGGGGCTTGGAAAAATCTATAACACTTTATACATTACAATTTTATGCATACATTTACTATTTATTAAATACTGGCATAAATATAACTTTATAGCAGGAAGGAACAGGTGCAGTAAAAGAATGCAACTTTGCTGAATGACAAGCCAAGCAACAATGAGTTTTTGTTGATTGAACTTTGGATAAAAGCTCGATTGAGCAGCAACTATGATAATATGTGTAGAAAAAGAAAAAGATGCAACCTTGCAACGATTGCAGAGTGGCTCAAGTTATAGATAAAGCAGGTCCAGCTATAATTACAATGAGCTTTCAGACCTTGTCTGGGAGTGAGAGAATTGTTATTCATCAATTTAGGAATGTCAACAATATTGTGATACAGTTAATTTTTGGTAAGTCTAATACTGGTTAATCGTCTAATTGATTACTAATAACCATCTCCAATTAAGTTGAACCTCTGATAACTCCAACTTTGTTTAGTTATTTGTCCCAATTCAGGAAATTTCTTCAGTTAACTCAAACTTTTCATATGGGAAATTAAGAAATCAAAATAACTTTATAATTTTTTTTTTCAAAAGTCATTATATATAAAATATAAATAACAGTAGCCCAATATTTTTTGAATTTTTTTGTTGTATTTAGATCTGAATATAATAGATTGTTAATAGGTGTAAAATAGTGCAAAACTAAAATTGTTACAAAATAAATCAAAATAAAATAACATTAAAAAAGCAATTATTTAAGAGTATAAAGGTGAGTTGTCAGCAAATAAAGTCACTTTAGGTGAAATATATATATATACATATATTATAGATAGAACATTGCACTTATTCTATCTCTTTAATTATTCTAACCATTCTCATTTCCAGTAACTTTTAAAGTTACTCTTAATTATTTTTGATTAACCCTAAAAGTTATTGGAAGAAGATTATTGTTGAAGATGAGTGGAGGCTTTTGAGAATGACTTAAACACTGTGGCTAGAAAGAAATGATATAGTAATCTAAAAACCTTTATATAAAAAAATTAGTAATAGAGAGAAGACTAGTTGTAGGATAGTTAAGGAGTCAGTTTGTTTTCTAGAGTTTTTAAAAATTGAAACCACTTAACACTTATTAACAGTTAATCAAGAATTGAAGAGAGATCTAGAGAACAATTTTGTAAGGCTACGATGGAAATGTTGTGTGAACCACAAACCGTAGAAGTGTTTAAATGCGAAATAACTTTAACATCGGAAGCCAAAGTGACTTGGATATCTAAAAATGAGTTAATCTGTATAACAGGAATGGCAAAAAGAATATGGTCATTATATTTAATAGTCACACTATAGGAAAAGCTTATTACAAATAACTAGAGAAGAGAAGTAATAAGATCATACCCATGAATTAAAGATGGAATGTTAGACTTTAGTTAATGACACTGTTAAAGATTTGTGATCAGATCGATGTGTGGTCTAACAACTCTAACATAACTCTAACATAACTCTAACAAGACAAAAGAAGCCATAATCTTTGACAGAAAAAAAATAAATTGTATCAAACAATGTTTTTCAGAGAAGATTAAATTAATTTGGGTATCAACATGTAGTGAGGTAGCAGCTTCAGGAGAAAATGGTAGAAGTAAGAAAACTTATAGAGAATGCATCACATATGGTATGAACAAGTTTTAGTTATAGAAAGAAGATACTTGAGATTTGTTTATATTAGAGAAAGGGAAAGGGAAGGGAAAGGCTAAACCTTAATGATAATGATGATTATGACGATCATGTTGATCATGATGCTTATATATAAATATACATGAAATTACATATAAAAGATAACATAAATTTCAAATAAAAAAAAAAATTAGGATGTATTAAAGTTTATGCAGCCCTAAAATTTATCACAAACCCATCCATGGCTGTTTTTAATAAAGCTGGCCCTGGCCCTGGTCAAATTTCGACCCCGGTCATTTACTCCTTGCCACCATTATACAAAAGGATTCAAAATTAATTTTTCCTTTAACCTAAAAATCTTAATTTTTTTCCAAAAAGTATTCTATATGCCTCTTTACATTTTTGGAGAATCTGGATATCAAAAACTAGAAGAAATAATCATTTTGTAACTTTCAAATTCAGAGTCCTTGGAGACTCTGTACCCTTGGCTCTAGCTAACAGAGTTTCTCATGAACATGCCTGCAACTATTTTAATTTTTCTTATATTGACATCTGATTAAATATATAGTTCAATGGAGATGTACCTTAAAAAACACCTATACTGTATATAGAAAAAACATAATTTATGCTTTAACATAATATTAACTTAATTTATTATTACTGTGAATGAATGAATGAAATGAATGCAAATAATTCCTAATAATATAATGTAAATGAATGTAAAGTATAAATATAATGTAAGTATAATGTAAATAATGCAAAGCATTTGCAAATGATGCAAGATTTTGTGAATGTAAATGAATGCAAGTGATTCCAAAGGATGAGAATAGATATTATTGATAAAATCAAAAATAACAGTCAAAGGGTTGCAATTATATAACAACAGTAATATTAGGCATTCTTAGCAAACTAAGCTGTGCTTAGTCCAACTTAGCAAGTGTAATAATTAATAAATTATAATGAAATGCAAAATTGTAGTGTGCACATTTAAAATAAAAAAGTTACACGGAATATAATTTAATTTACAATGAAAAAAAAGCAACTTGTAAAATCAATTTAAACAAATATCAATTTAATGTGCATACAAGTTTTTGACATTTTTGGAATGAGAAACAATTAAATGATTTTGAAACTAAAAATACGAGAGGCTTGATGATGGTGTTTGAAAGTACAAGCAACTTGATGTTGGTGTTTGAAAGTAGGAGCGACTTGATGTTGGTGTTTGAAAGTACAAGTGGCTTGATGTTGGTGTTTGAAAGTAGGAGCGACTTGAAGATGTTGGTGTTTGAAAATAGGAGTGACTTGAAAATGTTGGTGTTTGAAAGTTTGAAAGATTTTTATGATTTTGTCAATACGAGAGATTTAGAATCTAAAACAATTAATAATACTATTTTGAGAGCTAAAAGGATTTTAAGTGTAACTGCTGTTAAATTGACATTATTAATTAAAAGGTGAAAGAGGATTCAGCACAATGATTTATGTGCTGAATCCTTTTTGAGCTTTGCCTAATTTATGACATAAAAATATAATTGAGCAAAAAATTTATGACATATAATTGAACAAAAAGAATTAAATAAAAATATAATGAACAAAAGTTTTAAAAAACTTAACTTTTAAATTTATTAAAAAAAAGACTAAATAAATTTTAAATAAAAAATTTACCCAGATCCTAACTGTAAAGTCATCACCCCCTGAAACTATTAAATTAGTTCCATTTAAAAATCGACACGTATTTACACCACTCTTGTGTCCTCGCAGGCTTTTCATTTTAACCTAAATTTCAAACGAGTAAACAAAAAATAAACTCTTGATTAAAGTATTTGATAATCAACATTCAATAAATATCAATAAAAAATGAAATACTTTAGCAAGTTCTTCATGTTCCCAACCTTCTGATCCAGATTTTTTCCCTTTTTCTTTGTTCATTATATCAAAATTGCCTTGCGTACAACAACTCTGACTCGAAAAATTTTTAAAATAAAGACAAAATGAAAAATTATTAGTTTCTTTTTTAAAATATTAAAAGTAAATTCTTTTCAATTAAACCAGCTCAGATTTAAACTTATGACCATTGGAAAAGGGTTACTGTTCATTGAAGCCCTCAAATAAATTTTTTCATCACAGCTGGAAAAGCTTTATGCGGTAGTGGTGTAGTGGTAGAGCGCTCGCTTCATAAACGAGTGGTTCCGAGTTCGATCCCCACCACGTCCCTGGTAGTACCGCGCTCAACTCGTTTCTCCGCGCAGCGGCCTTGTTCTTCAAGGTTCGTGTTTCGGAGTTATAGAGTTGAGAGAGGGTTATAGCCACAAAATAAGTAGCCTCCTCGTCTGTAGTGGCCTTCTCGGCCTTGAGGAGGTGAAGTAAAATAAAAAAAAAAAAAAAAAAAAAAAAAAAATGCGGACCTCAATAGATGAAAAATTTAAAATTTTATTTTCATAATTACTTTTATTTATATTTTAAAAATAAAAATAACTTTTGTTAATTCAAGTTTGAATATTCTATCATTTTTGCATACTTATTTATTTTATTTACTTATTTATAACGTTCACTATTACTTCCACATACAAATTTATTTATAACATACTCTATTAATTTTATAATTATAACATACTCTATTAACTTATTTATAACATACTTTATTAATTTTTCATAAATTTATAACCTTTTGTTATAAATTCACAAATTTATAACAAATTTATAACATATAACATTCCTACAACATTTTCATAAACTAATTTTTGTACTATACATTTAGTATAATTAAGATGATTTAGCAAATATGTAAATTACATACTAATCACTTATAACTACAAATACACTAACAAGAAACTTTAAACGTTAAACTAATATATAAAGTAAATATTACAACAAAATATAAAACTAATTTGTAAAACTAATTCAGCATAAATATTATGAAACCGAAACAGGAAAACTTATGTAAAATATTTAACATATTTGGCATCTACATAAAATACTTATAAACTACAATTAACAAAATTATCTAAAAAAGATTTCTCATAAAATAAAATTTTTTGTATAAAACTTCTACACTTTGTAACTATTTTGTTTAAACATAAAATTTAAATTGATCAAATTATAAACTAAGTGTTTTAATTGAAATAGATAATAACAGTAGAACTTTATGAAAGTCTTGCAAAATGTCGGAAAACACTGGAAAAGTGTACAGTTTATATACAATAATTAACAAGACAAACTGTTGTTTTACAGTTATTAGACAATTGGTGATGAAGTAGTATACATAGCGCTCTTAATTTTTTAGCTTAGAAAATGTAAATTGGAAAGGCAGCATTATGGGAAATGTCTAACAATGCAAGAGCTAAAACAAGGATACTAAGCTGATGATGATGCGGTGTGTTATAAAAATATAAAAATTGAAGAGAAAAAGGTTTGACAAGGCTCTAACTGATTTTTTTAATATTAGGAGAATAGCAAATAAATCTTTTTTTCCTTTTTTTTAAATGTCTAAAAATATTTATATGATTATTTTTTATTTATGTATTTTTAAAGGTCAACCAAAAAAAAAAAAAAAAAAAAAAAAAAAAAAAAATATATATATATATATATATATATATATATATATGAATTTGATTTAGAATCAATAAATTTAAGTTCTAATTATAATATAAACAAATAAAAAAATAATTTCAATTAAACAGAAAAAATTAAAAGATTTTTTACTAAATTTTCCTAATACAAAAAATTTCAGTTAGAACCTTGTCAAACCAACGCGACAAACTCTTATTGAACATTTTTTTAAATAGATAATTTTTTTTAGTTGTTTATTTATAGTTTAATTGTTCATTATTTTAATCATGATTTTATCACATAACTTATGACAACTTTAGATGATTAAAGAAAAACTTTTCTGGAAAATAATGTTTCATGTAAATCTATAAACTGATTTAATAATACTAATCTGAGAGTTAGTATTATTTGATACCAGTTTGACAGTCCTAACTGAATTGGTGTTAACAGTCTGAAAGTTCTAATTGATCATTTAATAAAAAAAATAAATTTAAAAGTAAAAATAAATTTATTCAAAAATTACAATAAGTTATACAGTCAAAAAAAAATTCTAAACACTACTTTTAAATAAAGAAAAATTTTGAAACTTTTTGTTACAGTAATTGTTGCTTCAAAAACATCTTTGATCAATTCAAAGTGAATTGCACATAATTCATGTACAATGATATTATTTATTGCAGTCATCTGTATATTTTAGTTCGATTTAAAAAACTTTGAATTTCCATGCAAATTCTTTCTTTATTCGAATTCTAAACAAAAAATTTAATTTTTTAACAGAATCCTTAAGTTGTGAGACAAGTTGTGTTTATTTCATATATAAACAGAAAATAAGTTTATAAAAATTACTTATCAAGATATTAACAAAAAATAATTGAACTTTTTGTTCGTTTGCTATCTTACTTCCGTTTATAAGTCTAATTTTAGACTAAAAAATTCTGCATACTTTATTGGTTATAAAAATATCTAATTTTAATGTGCGCATTCATTGTATTTTCTATTTAATTAATTTAATTTATGCGCAAATTTAGGTTTCCCCCTTTTTTTTTGTCTTTAGTGTAATAAAATGTTTGCCAAGTTATTTTTTTTCCAGTTTATAAAATGTTCCAGTAAAATGATATCACTGGATAGTTTTGTAATTAAAAGTTATATACATAAGATTTTTTCTGGCAACTCATTTTAACTTTTAGTTAGAGATGCATTAAAATTTAATGTTAAGTTTAAATAGTAAAAATAAAATTACGGGTGGGTAAACAATTTGCATTTTAAATTGCTTGCACAATTTATGGGAACTCAAAGAGCTCTAAAATGATCTAATACACAATGGCATGCAAATTGAACTAGAATTTTGTTGATAAAGAAACTATTAAATGAACTAAGGAGACTAAGTTTGAAAATATTTTAATTGTGTAAGTTAACAAATGTTCACTAAGTTTTTGCACAAACTTGAAATAAGTTTTGTCTCTTTATTTTGAATTCAAATTCCCATGTGAAAGACTTGAAATCTGCATGATATGAGCTTTTTTAAAACCAAGCATGATTCAGAAAATTTCCATATTTTTATTTTTTAAAATAAAAAAATAAAATAAAAAAATAAGCATTGAGAAATCAAGTGTACTGGTACAATAAAAAATAAATACACAAACATTAGCTAATGTTGATGTTGTGGTAAAATGTCATCAGTAGATGATCTTAACTATGGTACTAGATTTGCTTCAGATGCAATTGGTTATTACCAATTGGTTTAAATTGTAAGTTTGCAATTTTGTTCAATAAACATGTCTACGCTGGTCATTATATATATTCAATAAATGTCTATGCTGGTGGTATGACAATAAGTGTAAAATAGCATTTGTTGTTGCAGTTTATTTATAAGAGTTTGCTAAACAACATTTGTGCTTACAATTTATCTATAAGAGTTTGCAAACCAACATTTGTAGTTGCAGTTCATCTATAAGAGTTTACAAACCAACATTTAAAGTGTAATATTTTCATAAAAGCCGCACTTGATTAGATGCAATAGAAGCCAAATTTTTGAGAACAACCATTGCACTGTTAAATCTTTCCATTTAGTTTACTTTAAGCTTTTCAAAGATTGCTTGACTCACTGTAACAGAAGCAGCTATATTGATAAGCTGATAGATGTTGCCTGTTATTTTCACTGTATAAGATTCAGTGAAAATAACGGACAACATCTCTCTTTTCCATTTATAAAAAAATGCACAGAAGTTGAAGCTTTTAATAACATTGAAATATAAAATTACAGCTTATACAAGTATATATCTGTATAATTCTTATAAAGAGATGTTGCCCAGTATTTCCACTGAGTCTTCTATTGAGTTATACAGTTGTTTCTTCCTTCTATACAGCTTTTTCTTCTCTATATACAATTGTTTCTTCTGCTTCTGTTATAGTGACACAAGCAATCTATTAATAGAAAAACAAAAATTAAAAAACAATCAAAGTTGTTTATAGCTATACATACCTAGAAGAAACTAAAAGCAGTTGAAAAAATTGTTAAAAGATTCGTTGTTGAACTTCCATACAGCAAATAGATGACAGCACAGAATTCCTACACGTGTTAGCATTTTTACAAGAACATATAAAATTTTCCAGAGGTAAGTTTTTGTGATTATTTGTTTATTACTGTCCAATTGTTGTTTGTTTTAACAATGTTATACTTTTTGAATTTGAAATCCATTTCTTTAGAAATTATATCTGCAGAATAATCTGTGTGTTATTTTTAGTATTTGACAACATTTGGTTGAGTATTTATCAGCAGCCTTCAAGGCTTGGAAATTACAAATGTTAATATGAATACTTAAAAAATTGTCCTGATAGCTAAATCTTTATCATCAATAAAAAATTGAGCCCTAGTTACATAGTTACCTAGTTACATAGTTCAATTAAAAAAACAAATGAAGAAAGTTTTCTATATGAAGTTAGTTTTCTTTAGCAAGAGTACCAAACTAAACTGGTTGTCCCAATCCTTCTATAATGTCTTCTGTAAGTTTTGTAAGTTGCATTCATTTGATAACTTTTTTGAACTTTGAAAATAACAACTGATGTTGTTATTTTGAGTTGTTAAAAGTTTAATTTGTTCTAAAATTTATTTAAAAACTGTAAGTTGGGTGAGTACACTCTGAATTACTTCATTGACTGATCTAAGACTTTTTAATAGTTTTCACTTTCTATTATACAAATCATTAACATGTATTCCACCTTCACAGTGTTATAGATTAGCTACAAGCATTGGATTGACATGTGCTACAAACAAACTATTGATTTCAGTTTGACATTCAGGATTTAGTTTGTGGTGATCATGATAGAGAGCATATAACACAGAAGACAGTTCAAGATTTTTTTGCTTTATATCAGCTTTTGTAATAAAAAAATTTCAAGAAACAAGCTATATATAACTGATATTTTAAAGGAACATTCATTTGCATTCACATGATGAATTTTTCCCTATTTCTTTTACACTGGTTTTAAAATCACTGAAATGATTACTCCCAATTTAGTTGCCAATATTTTATCTCCTGGGGTAGCTGACTGTTGAATGTAACCTGTGAAAAGATGATAATTAAATATCATTTTAAAATTTTATATTGAAAACTATGTTGCAATATATATATATATATATATATATATATATATATATATATATAATATATATATATATATATATATATATATGTATGTATATACATTATAAAAACAAACTGATGACAGGGGCTCAAAGAACAATTTTTACCATTATAGCCTTTTTATAGATACCCTGAATTTACTTATGCTATTTTGAATTAATTAAACTCAAAGATTTTTAAAGATTTTTTTAACTCCCATTAGTTTATTATGACTGCTTATTATAAGTTGAACAAAAGGTTGGTTTCCAATAGTTGCCGAAGTTTTGTACGATACTTCAGCAACAATTGGAAACCAACCTTAAGTTCAACTTATAATATTTATAATAAAAAATTGCTGTTTTTGTTTTATGAATGTGAATAGTAAACTGGTAAAAAATAGTAAACTTATTTAAATTGTTTTTGTACTAGACATTTTACAAATGTTAATATGAATACCTAAAAAATTGTCCTGATAGCATAAATTCAGCTAAATTTTATCAACAACAAAAGATTGAGCCCTAGTAACATTGTTACTTAATTACAACGTTCAACTCAAAAAACAAATGAAGAAAGTTTTCTATATGAAGTTAGTCTTCTATAGCAAGAATACAAAACTAAACTGGTTGTCCCAATCTTTTCATGATGTCTTACACTAACAAAGTGTATAGTGAATTATGTATGGAAAATTAATAACCTCTGGTTCATGTGCTGCAAAAGAGTTCTTTTAAAAAGTTAAAAAGTTATACACATATTATAAGCATAATAAGAAACCAGTATTAAATAAATGTTTATTGTGGCATGTTTAAACAGTTGAAAATTGATGAAGCATAATGAGAAGTGGTCAAAATGTGATTTTGAACAATTTTATAACAAAAATTAAATTCAAAATACCAAATTAACTTTTATTAACAATTTTTTTTAAGTGCATTTTTAATGCTATTTCATTTTTGCATGTATACAATCTACCTTGAATTGTTGTTCCACATTTCAGCATTTTACATTTTTTCTCATATGCTATTAGTGAGGGTCGAAATATACAAATTTGACAAATGAAATCAGATGGCCTTTATTTAGAGATAAAATATTATTATTGGTTAGCATTCCTTAATGTAGGAAAAAATAAGTGACAGGTAATTTAACATAGTGTTAAAACAACAATCTACCTTGTGATTAATTTCTTTATTAGAAAAACACACATATGACTAGGGTTGTTAACCAGAGGATTTCGTGCAATTCCGGAAAAACAACATTCTTTCGTAAGGAGATTGAGAACGAGGAATTACATTTTTTCGTACCGAATGTTACAAAACATTTAAAATCGCAGATGTTCATTTCGCAAAAGCCACTTCCGAAATTTAGCATTTCGCAAGTTGACATACGAAACAAAATTATTTTGCAACATACGAAAGTAGCGGTTTCAGAAGTCGCACTTGCGAAACAAACATTTTCGCCAAACGACGTTTTGAAGTCTATAAAGAAAATTTGTTTGCCAGACTGATTTTAATTGTAAAAAGTAACATCTTTAAATCCCAAAATGTTTATAATGAATTTTTATTGTCAGTATAATAACTATTAAATTTTTATGGTTTTATTTTTAGAAATATTGATAAAAAAATAAAATTTCTTTCGAAACGAAAGTATTTTAGATCACAACATACGAAAGAATTCTTAACGGAAATAAACTTACGAAACGTGCCATAATAAATATATACAACGATGTTTTTTGAACTCATTACGTATATTAAAAATAAGAATGATGGGTAGGAACAAACATGTTTTTTTTTTAAAGCATATGAAATTTTTGAAACAGGTTCGAATATGCTTAAGCAAATAGTAAAAAGAGGCTCAAAAATATGCTTTAGCTTAAGCATATTTCTGATAAAATATACCTATTTCAATATTTTCTAAAAGTGTGCACGTTACTAAAGTTCTAGCATATTTTAAAGGTATGTAGAGTCCTGTTTGAATGCGCTTTTCGAAGTATAGATCTTAGAAAATATTGTTTTTTAATTTTAATAAGATATAAATTTGAGTATAAGATTGTATAGTTCAATCAGTTAGATACGTGATAATTCGCCGCAGAAATCCGGGTTCGCATCCCGCAGCCATTGTAACTTTTGTTCATCAAACTCTTTTTACTTGAGATAGCATTTTTTGACCTCCATGTTCTATATTACAGATCTTTTGTCACCTTCACAATAGTGACAACCTCTCTTCTGTTAGTTATTCTTTTAAGATTGAGTTCATTGTGCTTAATTCAACACGTTTCCCTTGCTTTACTAAGTTCTACTTAAATTATGATGAAATGTACATAAAACAACTTTTTCAAATATAAGTCATTTTGCTTTAAATCTTTTGCTTTTTGTACTAGACATCTGTCCTAAATACTTTGTAATAATTTCTAGCTAACTCTGAGTCTAATATAACCATTTCTGAATATAATTTCCCTGAGTCCAGATATTAATTATAAGCATCTAAAGGTTCACATTACTATTCATTTTCCTGATATATACAATCATATTTGCATACGTATCTCTTTCTGTAAATTCTGTTATATATAGTTTCTTAATTATATATTAAATATTACTATTCACTTAGTTGAATGAACCTATAGCTCATTCAGTTAAGACATTTGGCCGCGTAGACCCAGGTTCACATCCCGCTGTTTCACATATATTTCTTCTCTTTTTACTCTTTCTGATATCATTTACCTTTAGAGAGATCTTTCGTTCTTTATAATAAAGTATTTAATTGTTTATCACACATCCTCTTTATACTTTTTAAAAAGAAAGGCATACTGTTTATCTGTTCTTTGAGAGTCCAACTTAACGGGATTTTACTGTATATATATGTGTATATATATATATATATATATATATATATATATATATATATATAAATATATAAATATATATACAGTAAAATCCCGTTAATGTATATATATATATATATACATACATACATATATATATACAGTAAAATCCCGTTAATGTGTGTGTGTGTATATATATATATATATATATATATATATATATATATATATATATATATATATATATATTAGGTATATTTATATAAACATTTGAAGAATCATTTGACAACATTTTTTTATAATTTTATTATTTATTATTTAAACTGTTAACAGTTAATATCTTAAATAAATCGTAACATTAAATCTTTTGCGTCTTTTTCATAACTGCACATTCCAGAATGCTTTTTCCATAAGGAACTATTTCGTAAGTATTCTTACGAAATGATTTGTTTCGCAAGTTTTCTTTCGCAATGCTTTATTACGGAATTTTATTTATTTATATTTTCGTATAGCACGTTACGGAATGTGCATTTTTGCATGTGCAACTTCCGCAATAACAATTCTATTACGGTAGATAAAGATGCAACATTTTCGCAAGTTTTGTTTTTGCGAACAACCCTACATATGACACACATAAGTACATGCAAACTATAGGTCCTAGATACAAAACATAAACTCCTCATAAAAAATATGATCTATTAACAAAGCCTGATTAAAAGGAAACTTATTGAACACTGCATTTAGCACTTAAGTAACAAACAATATAGTATACAAGAACTTATAAAAAAGCATTTTTTCTAGGATTGTAAAACAATATAAGATGATCAAAACATGCTGTAGCAAAGCTCTCTGAGAATTAAAATAGGATTAAAATCAAAATTTTTATAACTAATCACCTAACTAAAAAGCATAATTTAACACTTTATGGTTTTCAAATAAAGTGGGGTGGCCCTGGGTACAGGGTGGCCCTAGGTACCCTGTACCCAGGTCTTCCTCAAGAGGTCAGGAAAAAATTGCTAACCTTATATCTATGTTTTATGTTAAGACCTTTGTATAAATTTTTTTTTTGCCGACCTGATGCTGACCTCTAAAAGATTGAGGTTGGCAAATTATTGTCCAAGGGTTGTATATATAATTCCGAGGGTTGTATATATAGTTTCCATGAGAGGTCAGTAGTGAACAATAACCAAAGAAGACATAAAGAAGAGGACTCAGTGAGAGGGTTGCCATTCATCAATATAAGAATGTGAATAATATTAAGATAGTTGTTTGCAGTAAATAACTGAGTTTGGTTGAAGTAAAGATTATTAACAACAATAATGATTTGATCTTATTTGGTGAAATTTTGTTTATTTAGATATGAATAAAAATTATATTAGCGTGATATTACTTAAAAACTCAATTTCACTTTTCACTATGTCTAATTTTTATTTTTTATTGTTTTTTTTTATTGTTTTTTTTTTTGTTTTTTTACTTAACATGAACGAAAACACTAAAATGAAAATATAATTTAAATTTTACAATAATTTTTATTGTTGTCAACAATAAATGAATTGGTTTGACTAGATTATTTTAATTTACATAATAAATAATATGGCATTAAAAAAGCTTTTGTTAATAACTTGATAAATAACTTGTTGTTTATAACAGTAAATTAATGCAAAAAAAAAACAACATAGTAAATTAAAACCATAAACCAATGCAGCAAAATAAAGCACCTACTGTGACTGTAAGAAATATGTAAAAAAATATATATATTTTAAATACCTTTAATCAGTAGGAACTGCAGTTGTTATTCTTAATCCATGCATATTTTTAACTTGCTCTTTTAAAACCTATAAACATAAAAATATAAAGTTTTATTTTTATAGGAACTCCTCTAACAATGTTTGAGAAATCGTTATATACAATGTGGACGTAATGAAAGTGTATCGGAGGTGTGACAAAGGTTTAAAATTTACTACAATTACAAAGGTTTAAAATTTACTATAATTATAATTTAGCAAAATATACATATGTTAAAGAAGTAACAGAGCTTCTCCGAAGAATAATTTGGAATAAAATACTTATTGAGACTTATGTTGAGAATATGTGACTTATGTTGAGATTATGTGAAGACTCTGTATGATCTTATCACAGTGTTTAAAATACAAATAAAATGTAAAATACGAAAATACATCTGTAACTATTCTATGTTGTTGAACCATTCTTTTCCCTCGAAATTCATTTGCACATATAAATATTTGATACATGGATCCACAGCCCCCTAAAAAGAAAAATACCCAAGAAGACAATTTTATTGTAACAGAAAGCTATACACAAGTGACAACTAAACTTAATCTCCAAACCTTTCAACAGCTCAATATTATAACAAGAATAAAAAAAGTTATTAATTGGAAGTTTTTAAATTTGTTTGTTAAACTACTTTGTTTTGTTTTCATTGTTATACTTGATTTTTTTTTTTTAAAAAACTAGGTGTTCTTTCAAATTATCAATCAATTTTATTTTCCAAATAGAAGTGTAGAACGAAATTTTTTAAAAATAAAATGAAGTTTCTTAAGGAACTAAAAAAATTTTTTATTTAAAAATATTTAAATACAATTTAAAACTCTCTACAAGCCTCCCCCCCCCCCCACTTTAAAAATGTAAAAAATAAAATGTTGTTCATACAAATAAGTAGCTACGATATTACTTTCACTTAGAAAGTGATCAGGGTTGATATTTGACTGGGGCCGGGTTTGATAAAATATAGCTAAGGCTGGGGCTGTGACCGGGGCTGCATGAACAAAATATAACATGAATTTTGAATAAAAAAATAATTTTTTTATTCAAAATTCATGTTATATTTTGTATATATATGCATATATAAACATCATTATGATCAACGTAATTATTATGATGTTTATATATGCATATATATAAACAAAATCATGATAATTATGATTGACATGATCATAATCATCATGATCAACATCATAAACAGTATAAAAGAGGAATGCTAAAACCTGATGACAATGACAATGATGATGATGATCATCATCAGGCCTTTCTCTTTTATGCTATTTCTCTAGTATAAACATTCTAGAGCATTTTTTTTTAATAACTAAAGCTCATTCATACAATATGTAAATTTTCTTACTTCTACCACTGCCATTTTCTACAGAAGCTGCTACTTCTCTATATGATGATACCTAAATTTTTTTAATCTTTTCTAACAAACGAAGTTACAACATTTTTTTAATCTTTTCTAACAAACGAAGTTACAACATTTTTTTAATCTTTTCTAACAAACAAAGTTACAACATTTTTTAAAATCTGTATAAGATTATGCCACCTTTTCTTGTCTTGCGAGAGTCACACCTCACATCCACACCAAACATCCATCTGATCATCTTTCTTGTCTTGCGAGAGTCACACCTCACATCCACACCAAACATCCACCTGATCATCTTTCTTGTCTTGCGAGAGTCACACCTAACATCCACACCAAACATCCATCTGATCAACTTTCCTGTCTTGCGAGAGTCACACCTAACATCCACACCAAACATCCATCTGATTAACTTTCTTGTCTTGCGAGAGTCACACTTTATACACACCAAACATCCATCTGATCATCTCTTTTGGCAAATACTACATCATTTAAAGACCAAAGTTTTTGTAACAATGAAAAGATATTGTATGCTAGCATCTAAATAAATAGAAAACAGATATGTTTATATCCATAATTTGTATGCCTAAAGTGCATCTTGAATGCTTTTATTCCTTCTGGAACAAAATTTTGGAAGCTTTTATTACTTTTTTTTTATTACTTCTCTTCAACTTTAAGTCAAGCCTAGTTCTTCTCCACATTTTTCAACATAAATCATTTTTTTAATCTTTTTTAAAAAAGAACATCTCTCTTAAGAAAAAGTGTCTTTTTATTATTGCAAGAAGCCAATATAAAAAAGTCCTGTCTGATATTAAGCTCTGTTATTCTCAGTTAACTAAATCTTATATCTTATCTCAGATGTTAGGTTCTAGAGTCTTTTGGTTAGACTTCAACGCTATCATTAACTAAAGTAAATCTAACATTTAATCTCTAATTCATGAGCGTGATCTTTTTACTTCTCCCCAGAATAAAGTAGAGTTATTTGCAGAGAAATCTTACTCTAATTTGACTCTTGAATATAATGGCTATACTCTTCCTGACAGTTAAATAAATTAACCCATTGCTAAACATTGGAATCACTCTGGCTTCCAATATAAAAATTAACTTTCAATTAAACACTTCTACAGTTTGTGCTCCAGACAAGATTTCCATCATAATCTTAAAAAAGTGTTCTCCAGAACTATCTTCAATTTTTGCTCAACTTTTAAAAAGTGCTAAATAAGTGGTTACAATTTTTCCAAACTCTAGAAAACTCTTTGACCTTTCTAACTATCCTACGATTAGTCTTGACTCTATTATTAGTTTCTTTATATAAAGGTTCTGAGGTTATTAAACTATTTCTTTCTAACTGCAGTAGTAAAGTTATTCATGAAGGCCTAACCTCTTCTTTATTTCAAGTAACTTGAAGGGTACCACAAGGTTCTATATTTGCTCCTGTATTGCTTCTTATCTACAATAACAATCTTCATTAAAATCTAAAGTGGCTCTATTTGCTACAAATCAACTTTATACTCTTGTTTTGAAAAAATCTTCACTTTTTAAATGCTTAGAACAAGCAGCCAATTTTTAATTAGATCTCTCTTCTGTAACAGTCTAAGGCTTGCAATGGCTAATGGATTTTAGTTCTGGACTTAAAATCCACAATTTTTGTTAGACAAAAAAACCCATTTATTTACTGCAAAAATATATTTCAATACTGTTGGCATTTCTTATTTAGATTGTTATGATTTAGATTGTTATGTTTTTAAACTGAGTTTGTCTGTTATTGACAAATAACAACTCTCTTACTCTCAGACAAAGTCTTAAAGCACATTGTAAATTTAATTAGACCTACTTTATCTGCCAAGCTTGAGCTACTCTCTCATTTTTGTAAGATTTTATTTCTTTCTTTTTTTGTACAAATACAATCATGGTCAATTCTCATTCAAGAAATCATCTCTGTAACGATAAACCAAAACTCATTCTTGCTTGGCTATTTATTCAACAAGTTGTATCCTTTACCGTATCTGTCCCTTCATGCTATAAAAACTTAAATGAATCCATTTTTTTTCCTTGAACATAAAAAAAAACCTTACAACTCTTATCCATTTTCAGGTTTTCCTTTTTTATATAACTTACAACTTTATAAGTCTCCATTTATATGTTTCCTAATATTTTTACTTACACTCTATTTTAAAGTAACTTATACGTAATAGTGGTTTCTTGCAATCTTGTTGGAAGTAAATTAAAGTTTATAAATATATAAATGCATGCTAGGCTAGGGCTGTCCAAAAAAAATTTTTTTTTCAGATTTGATTGCATAGTTGTTTATTTTGTGCCATTTGACATATTAATTGACTGTGCAAAAAATCTTTCCGATCAGATAATGTTTAGGGGGTGCTCAATGACCATAAAGTTTTACGAAAAATGTGAAAAACATGAAAAAAAGTAACAAAGTTCCACAAATTTCTAAAACCCGGTTAATTAGATTTTTCAGATTTGATCAGTTTTAATTATCTCTAAATATTAAATTCTGAATACAAATTACAATCCACATCCACTTTATACTGGTTTATTAGCAGAGAAATTAATGAAATAAAATACTGCAATACGACTAAAGTTCTGCGGTTTTTGTTATATCAGAATTTTTCCAAAATAAAACACTAAGATTTTTGACTCTTTGTCATTGATTAAAATACGAATTATAAACAAAAAAAAATATTGTAAAGGAGTAACAGTTTCTCAAACGGTTATCAACTACTAAGTAGGTCAACTCAAAAACATATGAGCAATTAACATTTAATTATCGTAATGTTATAGTTCGTGCAATGTTAATGCTAGCGAGGACTATAACTCTTCAGAGTACACTTTCTGGCATCTGGCACTCGCTTTCTGTGATCCTCAACCACCTGAATTAACCTCTGCATTTCAGATTCATTCCTTGTAATCGATTCATTAAACATCGACATTAAAGCCACAGATCGTTCGGCAGCATCATTTACTACTTTCAATGAATATACTAAATTTTTTCCTTCTTGGTATTCTGGGGAATCATTCCAGGTAGCTGGATCGTTGTTGAACAGAAAATCAATATCAACCTTCATTGACCGCAACGCACTTGCTGAAACTGATGTCACCAGCATGTCCAGAGATTTCTTCTCTAGACTTTCAATGTTCTTTAATTTGATCAACCTTTCAGACCAGTTCTCACCGTGAAAATTCATGTTGGAAATCATTTTTCGCTTCTCTTCCGTTTTAAGTTTGTTTGAAAACAAAGCTAGTGGGACCAATTCTGGTGAAAGGTACCACAAATGGTTTTGAAATTTCTTGACTGCTGCTTCGGAAATCGTTTTATTCACAACTGCAAACTGCTTAAGTTGCTGAAACAGAAACAAGTCATTAACTGGAGCATCGCTGGCATTTGGGCATGATATCCAAGATTTTACATAAACCAGACTAGCAAATAAGCAAAATTCACAGAGATTTTTTTCCTCTTTTGTGGTCAACTTGAACTCTTCACGAAATAAATAAATCTTAAAACAATAAATAACCTTGGCCATCCAGCGAGCCATGTGATAAGCACCAGGGATCTTGAAATGATAATTTTTCTCTTCTTGATCAGGCAGTTTTCCAAGTATTAACAGACAGAGATCCATGATTTCTTTGTAGTCATCCCTTGGCATTTTAACATGCAGGTTTTCTTTGAGGAATGCCATCACTTCATTTTGTAGTTCTTGCACCAGGGGTATTTTCATTCGAATGTCATCCAGAGGTTTAAAATTTCCTTGATTAACTTTGGGCAAATATTGCTGAAATCTCTGGAAAAGAGGTATGTTGGGACCAGATGATGGTCCAAATAGTGATCCAAACACTCCTGCTACTATGATCTCATGAACATGGTGTCTGCAAGCAAAATATAACAAATTTCTACCTATATGTTTCTCTAGAACTACACATGCACCATTTTCGGAGCCAGTGTTAGAGGCTGTAGTATCAAAACTCATTCCAATAACATCACTAATTATGTCCCAGAAATTAAGCAGATGAATAACTGCTTTTGCTTGGGCTTCTCCAGTTCCAGCTGATAGTTTTGCTATTCCAAGTATTTTGTCAACATTGTGACCTGTCACACCTACAGATAGCCGGTCAACATTTGCTTTAGGGTCTGCAGAATTTGTACGATCTATCATCAGTTTGCCATCCCAGTGGACGATTAATGGTGGTTTGTCCAAATCGCAGAATTCAGTTCGAACAGTGGCTTCAATGTTTGATCGATGATAGGTTCGTTTTCTACGGACTGTAGAACATGGCAATGATCCATCATCGAGGTTCTGTCCACCAGCCCTTGCAATTGCTGCTGCTAGTATAGTAAATTTTGTGTCAGATAGATTAATTCTGTCTAATGTTGATGAAACATCAGGCGAGTCAAGAATTGTATCTAAGATACATTGTCGTTTTGGAGTACTTGCTAAACTTGATTCAGCTGACCCTGAAGAACTTGCTTTACTGACTTGTTGTCTGTAATAAACAGGGATTTCTATCTCAAAATCTCTATCAACCATTTTGTCATTATCAACAGCATCGTTATCGTTGTCATCACTATAACTTTCGTCATGTAAAGGTTCAATAACAGGAACTATTGCACTCGCACCAGATTGTCTTTGCTCTTCTTTAAGCTTTCGTTCTCTCTCTGCTTGTTTCCTTGCTTCATTTCTTGCTTCTAATTTTGAAAGTTCTTTGTCCTCTCCAAACATCACCATTTTTCTCTGACATCTCTGATCCAATAAAAATTCTTTATCTTCTTCAATTCTGATCATGGTTTCAGCATCCTCGTGGGCAATGTCAAAAAGTAGGCCAATGGTGTCTGTAAATGATTTCTCTCTTGATTTCTGAGAATCTGACAATCTGGATTTTTTTTTTTTTATTAATTTAAATTCCTGGACTAAAGTTTTCAACTTTAAGACTACATTCGGATGAAATGCTGTCGGAATACGGGCTTTATTCCAAATAATAATCAGTTCATCAACAGTTGTTTTAAGACTTTCAGGCACTGACTTTTTGGTTGAATTAAGATGATAAAAAAATGTTTTTAAAACATCAGATGTTAAGGGAAGAACTTTATCTGGAAGATTTGGCTCTGGTTGTCCAATTAAAAAGATTTCGGTTTGAAGTTGTGTAGAGATAGCAACACGAGATGATGCTGCCATTTCAATCATAACTGAAAAATTATGAGAAAATCAAAACTCAATACCATATTATACAAACTTATCATTCAGTTGTTGGTTTATGCAGCTGCAGCAATATATAATAATAATTATTACTAAAGAAATTAAATAAATATTTTCAAATTAGAAATTATTATTATCTGCACTTAATAACAAACAATACACTACCAGACTACCATGCTAGTTTTCTGTAATAGGTTACTAAGGTTAGGTACTATCAAAATATTAATACATTTGTTGTCAAACTGAAATTCCAAATAAAAATAATATTTATACTTGTAAACCTTTTTATTCTGTTTGAACAAATTCTAAATTGAGTTAAATAATAGTATTAAAATTATGAATACAAATTTTAACAAAATGATATAAACACAGTTGTTTTAAACACTAGCAGACATTTTTTAGTCTGGTGCCCTGATGACAGTTAATCTGCTGCACTTTAATTAATCTATATAGCACGCAATCAGACAATATTTCAGTGGAAAAAATCTAACTAACCAGGTTCTAGAAATTTTTGGAACTTTAGAACTTTTTCCACGTTTTTGACGTTTTTCGTAAAACTTTATGGTCATTGAGCACCCCCTAAACATTATCTGATTGGAAAGATTTTTTACACAGTCAATTGCTATGTCAAATGGCACAAAATAAACAACTATGCATTCAAATCCGAGAAAAATTTTTTTTTCCTGTGTTCACATGAACAGCCCTAATGCTAGCATTTAATAAATAGTAAATGTAAGCATAAAATTATAATACAATAAGTATTATAAATTTGCAAAAAGTCTCATTTTTAGCCAGGGCCAGGGCCCCGGTCACTTACTACTTTCACTTGTTTTTTTTTTTTATTATTTATTTGCAATCTCTAACGACACAGAGAAAGCCTTTACCATCTCTTCCAACACTTTGTCAGACCTGTAGACATAAAACGTGTTGTACATGTTGTAGCTTTTTTTATATAAGATAAAGCTTACCTGATATATCTTGTACCTCAATTTCTTTGACATCCAAATTTTTTCGCAAAATATTTTCCAAGTCTATTTCACCCTGATTATATGTTCTTTGGGCTGCAAATGCATTTTTAAGAACCACAGGTGGCTGAAAAAAAAAAAAAATTCATGTTTTGTTTTTTGTTTTTTTATAACTATCATTAGTTTTGTTGCTTGTCATAAAATTTATTATTCTAACAGTATTTCAATTTCAATAGTAATAAAATCTATTGCTACATACAAAAGTTCAAAACTTATAACCTACCAGCTATTACCATAAAGATTTGAGAAAAGTGTTTACTGTCATTACAGATGAAGTGTTTACTATCATCGCAGATGAAGTGTTTACTGTCATCGCAGATATAACTTTATTACTCTATTTCAGTAAGGTATTACCCAGATCAAATAAAAATGTCAGAGTGTTATTTTTAATTCTCATGCAAATTTCAAGAAATGCTTTTTTAAACATAGAAATGAAGCCTTGTAAATTTCTTCACTCCACAATATCTTATCACTATATCAATATCTTATCAACAGGCATGATCTTACATGTACTTATCAACAGACATAGTCTTACAAGCATCTTATCAACAGACATGGGTGCAGTACTAAGTTTACAGCTCTAAATCTTTGCTAATCTTGATTGGATTGGGTAACCTAGTAAAATTAACATTTGTGCTAGTTACTTCAGCTCTTTTATCAGATTGTTTGATTTAATTTTATTATTTAATGTTGATCTACATTTTGTTGCTTTTTCTATTTACTATCTCTGCCAACACTGTCAAACCTGTAGACATAAAACATTAACAACCTTATGTCAAATCTGTAGACATAAAACAACATATTGCAGTTGTACTTTTACATGTAGTAACATGTAAAAGGAAATTTGATTGTAGGGCGGATAGCATTCATTTATTTAAAATTGGTGTTGATTCCTCTGGAGGCCTCTGGTTGGTCCATTACAACAAGAAACAATAGGTCTGAATAGAATATTAGTTTTATGAATTTTAGGAAAACCATAAAATAGAGACATGGTTAGATATTTTTTTTATCAATCATAAGATGAAGAGTCAAATAGCCAATAAGGTTGTTTACATCTCTCATTGTACTTTTTGTTGGCACTTCTGAGAGTGGTAGGTATGTGTTTTTATCTGATAAAAAGTTCATCTTTTCATAGTCGGTTTAATCTAAATACAAATATCACTCTCAAATATATAAAATCAATATCTCTCTCTGTGCCTTTTTTATAGTAATTGCAGGATTATACATAAGGGAGTCAAATGCATTGGTAAGTTTAGGAGAGTAACTTTTTTCTGTAAGTATCTTTTGGTAATTGAGAAAAAGTTAGCAAGATTATATCTGATTTCATCAAGTTAAGATAACTTATCATAGTTCTGTTTTTCGTTATTGAGGGAATCGATTTGATTTTTTGTGAAAAGGTCTCATAAAATAAAGTTGTTGGAGATTGTTCTGAATCTTTCAAAAACTGTGAACATTAATAAACTTATTTGTAATTAAAGGCATATAACTTAATCCAAAACTTAAAAGCTCTCTTGGTTTGTTAGGATGTGTTTTGATATATTGGTTATTAGTTTATTATGCAATTGTTGTAAGAATGACTCGGCTTGAATGATTTCTTTGTTGTATTACTTTAATTTGCTATGTGGTGCTGACAAAAACAACTTAGCCAGAGTAAATGATTAAACGACTCTTGGTTCATTAGATGGAGTGAATAGTTTTCTTTGCTGATCCTAGAGAAAAATATTTTCATAAAATATGCATCTAATAAAATGTTACAGTCTTTAGTAAAAGACAAGGTATGTGTGTGAAATAGCATTTAAATAGGGGCTGTTCATAATATAATAAATAGAAATGATAGAAACCATTAACAATGAAGTTAAAGGTGTGGTAAACATGGAATAGCCAAACTAAAAGAAACCTACACATTAAATATAACTTAATAAATGTAAGAAAAGTAAACATGAATAAAATTGTAAGTAGGAGAAAACAAAACAAACAGTCTCCCTCAAACAATAAGTCAAAATAATAAGAAATAGCCAGTGATTCTGATTGATTTGTGTCATACAGTTAAGCCTTGCATTGTTAGTGATAAGAGCAAAAGATTAATCTCTGAACTTACGCCAACCCAGCCCAGTCATACTCTAGAATGCCGTGACAAATATAACACTAATCTATGGATTAATAACTGACTTCTGATTTTTAAAAACTAGACTGAATGTATTCTATTGATAAACATTCTTATTCCAAAATACACCAAAATTAGTACTTAAAAATGTAGTTGGTACTTGGTCCTTAAAAATTTAATAACAGTTTTTTTTTCCATATTTTCTATATGTTCATAAAAAAATATGCTAAAATAACAACTTTTCTAGAATTTATACTCAAAAAATTATACTTATCTGAATATTTTTTTTAAATGTATTTATATATCTTATATTTACCTTCTGATAATGGATGTCTTTGATTAAGCATTATTACTTGTATTTTATAGTGGAGTGCTTGTATTAGCACTTGTTTCTAATCTTTGGTGGCTGTTTTTCCTACATGCCTGTCTGCTTATTAATGCCATTTATTATTTTGTAAAGTTTAATTAGGTCACACTTTCAATCTAGAGCTTATTTGCTTTCAATCAAGATCTGAATTTAATAATCTTTATTCACAGCATATATTTATTAGTTCAGGCACAGGCTATGATCATTGTCTTTAAATTTTCTTTAAAACTTACCTGGGTTCTATTCATCAGTTAGATCTTACCTACCAGTCATATTAACAAAGGCTAAAATTAACAAAATTTTAAAAAATTGCAAATAAGACTCTTTTTTGCCCTATATTTTTCATGACTGATCATGATAAATAATTGAATGATCTTTCACAAGTAGTAAGATAATAATCATAACAAGATAATAACAATCCCCCACAGCGGTCTCATTTTCTTATCAACTGCTAAACATGCTGAGAGCATAGGATTTGACTATGATTTGAAAATTATTTAAGAAGGACCTGAAGTGCCTTCTTTAAAAACTAGGTAGAGTTTGAAAGAATATCCTGCAACATTCAAAAGCTCAAGAGCTAAAATGTTGCCCAAGAGCAATATCTTAAATATGTTGGTAAAAAAATTTTTGTCTTGTTTCATGCTGGGGTTTTGTCAGACATGAAAAACTTTTTAAAAACTTTTCGATATCTAATAAAAATAGGTTCTATAGAATTCAATTGTGTTTTTTGTATTACACTTTGTGCTTCAGTTATTCCAGCAAAATACAATTTTTAAATTCCTCCTACAAGACATAAATAAAAACTTTACATTTGTTCATAGTTTAGGCCTTATAGAAAAATATAATAGCTAAGCTGTGGATAAATCTGGTTTATAAAAAAGGAACAAGAAAGCAACCCATGGAAATAGAATCAACATTTTGCTAAGCTAACTCGAACTGCTCATCTAAAATTGTCTGAGATCAGCAACTTTCTGCCTCGCTTCTATGTTGTTATGGTGAAACCTTTATGTTTAAAATTTTGTGGAAACTAATAATAGCTTAAGATTGGTAATAAAATGCTGACCTTATTTTTTCTAATTGCAAGAACGAAGGAAAGACTAACCTTGAATTAGTAAGCTTTCAAGGTTTAGTAGTGAATAAGAGAGTTAAACATTTTTGTTTTTCTTTTTAAAAAAAAAACAAAAAACTTTTGGATATCTTTTATATTAGTGTGACATTTTTCAGAAAAAAAAACAAGATGTTTGCCAACTTCAATAGTAATTCATCAACTTTTTATCCAGATGGTGATGTTTTTAGTCAAAAAATAATCAAACATAATTATTTATTTTCCTTGTATTAGTTTTAATTTATTTAATGTTTTATATATTTATCCAGATGGTGATGTTTTTAGTCGATGTTGAGAAAATGTTGAGAAAAGTAGGGTACATCAATTATTCAAGTCATAAAAATTAAATAAAAAAATTCAAAGTATTAGCTTTAATAAGCTCAACAAAATTATCAAAGGACAGATGGACAATTACTTGAATGGTAATCTATCAAATTAATCTAAAGAAACTACATATTTTGCAAGCTGAAAGGGTTTTATGCTTACTTTCTTTTTTCATGACCTTAATGCTACTGTTGTCTTTCTATATTCAAAAACAAATGTAAACAAACTATTAACATGACTTGAAAGAGGTTAAGTTACTTCTTTGCTAACTAAAAAAGCGTCAGCCTGTATAGCCTCTAAATATATTATTCACCTGTTAAATAAAGAAATAGGAAAAAGCTCTGCCATAGATAATCTGAAAAAGGTGTTGCAAAAGATGTAGCTTGTAATGCTAAAACCACTAAATCTATTTACAAAAAAATTGATGAGCAACAAAAACAATTTTTGAAAATAATTTTCAAGAATAGAAATTTAATAGGGTGGCTCTTAAGATCTTAATAATACATAAAAGTACATTATATATGGTAACCAGATGACAGCAATATACATTTATTTTTCAGAAAAATTATTAATTAGAGAGAATCAATCAAGTAAAAATCTTTTATATACATTATAGCATATTAGAAAGTCAATGAAGATAAGGCTGAAGCGTTTTAGCTAATCTAATACTTAAAGATCTAAAATTTTACATTTTTACTATTTCATCCTGAAAAATTAAAAAAAATTTGATTTATGAAACAGAGCAGGAATGGATTGAAAAGCAGTGGCTCTTAGAATGAAAGTGACAAAAAATAATTTATTAATTTTATTTTAATTATTTATACTCATTGTTCTATGATTGCTTGAATTCTAATAGTGCTTTAAAATGTGCCTAAAAAACACAATGTTTTTTTATTAACTTAAAGTTGGAAGTAAGAAACATTTTTGTTATATATAATATATTAAGTATATATTTTTATTGCTATTGTTTAAAGTTTTATTTTTGAAATCATTTCTCTCTGTATCTTTGTTAAAATGTCTAATATATTTTTTCACCCAAATTTAATCACATATTGCTAATTCTAGTTGACCAAGAATTATAAATTTAGTATCTAATTAATTATTTAATAACTTATATATGTTATAACAAACCAATTCCATTATATAATATAATGGAAATTGGTTTAGTTAAAAAAATCAAACGCTAAACTTATTTTGATTTTTTTTACTTAAACTAACTAGTTTTAAAGTATAACATTATTATATTTTTTCAAATTGCACTTACAATTAAAATTTTGGATTTGGCAGTCTTCAAGATTGCAAGCATTATCAAAATCGTTGTACAAATAAAAAAATACTCATGGAAAAAAATGCGGTAAACTCATGACCATGGATTCACTCCGAAACTCTGTTTTTTAATGAACGTAGCAGAATTCCCACTTAATAAGCGGAAGTTCAGCTAAGTTCCTCTATATTTTGGGAGAAATTTTCGTTTCCTGTGGATTTTTATTAATTTTATGAAATTTGTTGATAATTCTTTACAACAGGAAGGAGGACGTCAAAAAAAGTTTAGGTCAAGTTAAGTTACATTTTTAGATAAATTTAATTACTTAAAAAAAAAAAGAAAATTAGGCAGCGTTTTTAGTCATGTGTTACACACACACCTTCATTGTTAAATGAAACCAGAGCCGTGGCCAAGCTACGTCACACAGGAGGGGCAGTAAATTTAGGGGACCATTTGCAAAATTATTAGGCATTTGCAAATTTTAAAAATGTAAGGTTTTTTATGTCATAACTTAAAAGTTAATTTGTAACATAATTAATGGACAACCCCTAAGAATTGACAATTTTAACTTAAGGAACATAGCTCAGTAAAATTAGCAAAAAATATCATGTCACCCCAAAAAAATTAAGATAGAATACATAATATTTAAAAATTAAGTATTTATAAATTCAAAATATGAAAAAATTATTATTATTTTTTTTTTTATGGAAAAAATTTAGTTTAATAAAAAAAAAAAATTGTCATTAAATTGTGCTATAAAATGATATTGGCCTCATGAGATTTCTCATTTGCATAAAGAGGCAACATTGCGTGTTTTGAAGGCAGTGGCGTATCGAGGAATTTCGCGCCTGGGACTAAGACATTTGCAACTTAGTCATTCAAGACATATCCTATTGACATTTGCAACTAAGTCATTTAAGCCAATAACGCAACTTTAGATATAGAAGTTTCAAATATAGAAAGCTTACTTTCACAATTAGTAGTTATTCGTGAAAGTTGGAAGCAATGTGGAATGAAGCTAAGCTGGTTGCATCTAGTCTTGATATAGAAACAAAATTGCTTAGGAACGATAGCAGAAAAAAATTCCACGATAAAAATGTAGTAAATTAAGTAAGGCAGGCATATCGCTATCGGAATCCCAATTCCGAAAGCAAATATTATATTTAGTATTAGATAATGTTATTGGAAGACTTACAGTTCGTTTTAGCACCGTAAAACAGATTTTGGAAACCAATATAAAAGTCTATATATTTTGCAATGCCAGACTCAATACTTAGCTGGGCTAAGTATTGAGTCTGAAAACAATTCAGACTCAATAAAAAGAATTATTACAAAGCTCTTGATAACGTGGCTGAAACGATAACAACTTGTTTCTATCAGTCAGATTGGGTTTTTACTGAAATATGCAACAAATTTTTATGAATGCAATTAACGGCGAATTCTATAACAAGAACTCGATATCGTTTTTGAAGTATTTGAAAATGATTTTAGAAAAGATTGCTCAATAGCAAAATTTTAGGTTCTGCTTGAAAGAACGTAAATGCAAGCGAGACAAATAGCATTGAAAGTTAAATCACATGTTCTATAAATATTACATACCTTTACAATCGTATAATTAATTTTTTTTGAAACAACACACATATAAATATTTACCCACAATATAAATATCTTTATAAATATTTTTTCATTTGCAAAATTGCTTTTTTATAAAAAATTAATTTATATATTTATATATATTTAACATTAAAAATATATACACATTTATTATTCAAACTTACTTACAATAAAAAAACAAACATGGTAGTTTATATAAATTATAATTTTTTATAGATCAATACTAACGAAAACATTTTTATCTCCGTTAAATTTTTTACGACACTTTACCGTCGCTCCTTTTTAAACTTACTGGAAGATCGTTTACAGAACTTGAAGTGGCACTCGAATGAGTGTTACTTTGAGTTTTTAAATGATTGCTATTAGATAAATGACTTTTACTCTTTTCTTGTTCATTAAGTTTTTCTGGATTATTGGATAAAGTTTTCTGGAAATAAAAAACGGAATTTTTGTTTTGATTATCGATTTCTAAATTATTTGGGCTAATAATATTTCGAATATTTTCTTTTTCTAAAGAACGTTGAGAATAACTTTGTTTATCGTTGTTTGGTTTATCACGGATTAATTCATTCCTTCCTAGAACTGAAGTCTTTTTTTCGTCCAAAGCATAAAGGTCGTTAGTGACATGGCCACCTGTTTGGTTTCTTCTTAACTTGTCATTTAATTTATCGTCAGTCTTAAATTTATTGGATGAACTAAAATTGACCTCAAATATTTCTTCATCGCTGTACATTCGATTCAAACTCTTTACTTCTTTTTTAGACTTTAATTTTCGAAATATATCACGTCTCTCCTTTTTTACAGCTTCCCTAAATGATAATAAATTGATAACAAACCTGCCATCAACAACAAAAAAGTAATTACTTTTCATAAGCATACCTTATTTGAGTAGCAGCATTTGTTCGCATGCTTTTAATATGTTCCATTACGTCAAAGTTTATTTGCTCGACTGCTCGTAAGTAAAACGCACGCATATTTTCTACTCCTTCGTTTGGCTTAGAATAAGATATTTGAGTTTAAACACGTTCAAATAAAAAATTTGGGTGCATGCTAGTAAAAGCAATACAAGTGTAACACGCGCATAGTAAAGAATGCTACAGTAAAAGCTAAGTAAAATTATCTCATAAAATCACTTACTGTATTATCTATAACCCTTTTTTCATTTGTTTCTTTGGAACGATCATCCATTTTTAGCTCATTGATATGTTTAACATATTCTTGTTCTTTTAGTCCGTCTCTTTGCCTCATAGTTTTATAGTGTTCTATAATAAAACGCTCTTTATCAAGCCGCGATTGCCATTCTGCATCAAGAGCTGACATTTCTTGTTTATGAAGAGAAGTCATACTTGCAATAACCTTTTTAAAAAGAGTATTACACAAGATAACAAGATAATCTACTTCTATTGAAGAGGAGATAATCTACCTCTATTGAAGAGGAGATAATCTACTTATATTGAAGAGGAGATAATCTACTTCTATTGAAGAGGAGATAATCTACTTCTATTGAAAAGGAGATAATATACATATATTGAAAAGGAGATAATCTACTTATATTGAAGACGAGATAATCTACTTCTATTGAAGAGGAGATAATCTACTTCTATTGAAGAAAAGATTATTGTAAAAATATAAAAGTAGACTATTAAAAAGTTCAGAGAATGTATTCTCAAGGTTTTTGCAGATAAAAGTTCTGCAAAGATGATAATAACTGGTAAAATAGCAAAGATGGGGGAGATTGGGGAGAAAATTATTATGGAAAAGATTGGGAAAATTAGTATTTATATTTGAGCAAAATATACTATATATAATCAAGGTTCAAGATTTAATATCAAGGGGAGTGAAAGGTTTTTTTTGGTGATATTTGTTACCTCTTCCATTTTTGATTTCTCAATTTGAAATGTTTTAATTTCCTTATTTTTCTCTTCTTTTACTTTAGCCAAAGACTCTTCAAGTTCTGCCAAGATATTTTCATATTTCAGCCTTTGTTGAACAAATAACTCATTGTGTTTGTCCTGCAGATTCTTTTTATTAATTGAAAACTGTTCTTTAAAATTTTTCTAAATCAATAAATAATTCAATATATATGCTTAATAAATAAAATTACTTTTTTTCACAATAAATAAAAGGATTTATTTATAAACCTTAAAAATTTATAAACTATAAATCTTGGATGGTATTATTGCTAGTGTTAGTATCACAATAAAACAGACCTGATCTAAAAAAACACACGTATTAAATATCTCAAAACACAAAAGTTGGAAACATACCAAAACAAAAAAGTTTAAAACCACGGAGGTAAACAATATAAAGAACAAAAAACGAAATAAAAGATAATTATTAAAATTAAAGGTATATCATTTAAAAAACTTACAGGATCACAGAGTTTGAAGAAATGACATTATAAAAAACAACAACATTAAACTCATGCAAATAGGTTTTTAAATTAGAAAAAATAAATTCAATATTTAAATGTATCCATGAGAATATTAATAACTACCGACTGATTAGTTTTTTATTAAAACTATCAAAAAAGAAAAATATTTTCATTTTCAATTGGTGAATTATTTAAAAAAGGTTCTAGGAAAAAATCCCCCGAAATAATCCCCCCGGAAAATATCTCCCCCAAAAAAAATTTTTTTTTTTACTTAAAAATTATCAATATGTAGTTATGTTTATTTCTTTATTTATTTTAAATATTTATATAAAATATTTTATATTTCATCAAAATGTCAAGTTATGCGCTATTCCTCGAAGGTAGCGAATGTGAAACCCTAACTCTAACCCTGACGAACTGCGAACTGGTAAAGTGTGACCTTTTTTGCGAACCATCGTAGTTAATTTAGCTGTATATTTTAAGGACTTTTAAGCGAAAAAATTATTTAAAAAATATAATAAAAAGGAAATTAACTGAAACTGGACGAATACAATATGAAAATGTATATATATATATATATATTTTTTAATTATTTGATAGACTGCCTGCCCAAACCAAACCCTTAGTCGATGAAACAGCACTCCGTTGTGAGTCAGGCTATTTGTTAGTCGGTGTAGCAGCACTCCGTTGCGAGTCAGGCTATAAAATAGTCGATGTAGCAACACTCCGCGTATGTTTTACAGTTAAAAAATAAATATTTTATTTTAAATAAAGCTTTAAAATAGATAATTAAGAATTGGAGAGTTTTTTTTATTATTATTTTTATCATAAAAATAATGGTCTTTAAAATATAATGTTTTGTTTCACAAAAAACTTACTAGCATTTTACCGTTTCACAGTTCGCAGTTCACAGGAATAGCAGATATCTTGACATTTTGATGAAAAATGAAGTATTTTATAAAACTATTTAAAATAAATATAACTGTTTTATTGATAATTTTTAATTAAAAAAAATTTTTTTTTTTTTTTTTTGGGGGGGGGGGGGGATTTTTTCCTGCTACCTTTAAAATAACTCTTAAAATTTTAAAAATGTATATATTGTTTCATAAAGCTCTATTAAAAACCTCTTCTGCACTACTTTTTTCAAATGCTAGAAAAATAGTTTAATGCTAGTAAACATCCGGACATATTTTGAACATCCGGACCATATTTTGAAAATCCAGAAAATTTTTAGGGTTAAATATCCGGAAAAATCCAGAATATATTTTCATTTTAATTTTGCTTAGAGCTGAGATGTTTCTGACTTTTTATTCAAACTTTCTCAATTTTGCATGAGTGCTGAGTGAAAAATTAAAAAAAAAAAATACATTACAAAAATATATTCCTAAACTTGTATATATGGAATAAGTTTTGTATATCCGGAAAAACTAAAAATTGAGATAAAATATCAGAAATTCCGGAAATATCCTTAAAAAGATAATCCTTGTATTAAACACATCTTTTGCTCTGTTAGAAGTAATTAATGTTAGATGTGAAACTTTGGTTTCTACATAAGATTTACATTTGCTTTTTCAATTTTTTTCAATTAAAACAAGTATCTTCAAAATCAACTTTTTCGAATCAAGAAAAATCTTTAGAAGTTGGAACTTAATTGCTAAATAGATGTGTGAATTTCCAGATGCTGCTCACTAGATCCATTTTTAGCAACTGTAAGGATTATCATGGCTTTATGGACATCAGCTGTGTATTAATAATTGAAACCCAAATGCGGTGTACATTCTTTTTCATGGTCTCTTGTTAGTCCAACCCTAGTTTTATGGGAATGCATCGGCATTTGTTCAATCATCTGACCATAATTCAGCCATATTTACTTAATTTTTATACAGCGTGTTGACTAGGATGATAACATTTTGGTATTCCTATTGAAAAAAGTAACTTTATTGCATTAAGTCAGACAAAAATACATTCTGCATTCTCAATAATGAATTCAAGAGTTTTGCTTTAAATCAAAAATTACTTATTCAAACCTTCCATGCACTTATAAATATATCATAATCATAAAAATTAATTCAAAACAATTATTCTATATTTATCAATAAACCTTTTTACACCATTCTTTTACATCATTCTTAAGATTTCAGACAAATAAAATTTTTGATAAAATTGAAAAAAAAAAAAAAAAAGGTTTCTCAATTTCCACTTTGAGCAGCAAATAATTTTTTTTCCTCAAAAGTTCTTATTTAATATATAAAAATAAAAAACAAAAAAATGTCATCAAAATATTTTCCTTGGTTGTCTTGGTCTTTGACCATTCAATCTATAATACGCAATTATAATATTGCAAAATGTAAATGTCTAAAAACAGTTGTATGATTAATTTGTGATTGTTCATTCTCTTGTAGAGATATTTGTCATAATTCTAACTTGTCTGTCCCAAGTTCCTGAGGCCTACCAGACCATTCCTGATACTCAAGATCCAAATATAATATTTGAATTGAAAATTTTTAATGAATAAAAAAACATTGCTTTTTAAGTACTATACATAGTGTCGGTATTTTCTTATAAAACGTGTATGAAATTAGACTTTTGCACCAATCTAATATAAATAAAATTCGCAACTTTTATACCAACCTAATATAATTCATACACTTTAAAAACTTTGCATAAAGAATATGCTCCATCATCAAATTATTATGCTTTTCAAAACAATTATTCTATATTTATCAATAAACTTTTTTACACCATTCTTTTACATCATTCTTAAGATTTCAGACAAATAAATACATAGTGTTGGTATTTCCTTTTAACATAAATAAATTTCGCGACTTTTATACCAACCTAATATAATTCATACACTTTGAAAACTTTGCATAAAGAATATTTTATTTAGCTTTAATTTATCTTTTAAATTATTTAACCGATTATATGAAAAAAATTATTTTGCCTAAATTTATGTTTGAAAAATAGGTCTAAAATTGCCTGTTCACACAAAAAAAAACAGGTTCACAAAAAAATACTTTTCTTATTCATTGATGGCCTCATAACAAATCTATGTGAAAAAGACTTTTATTGTATTACAAGTTAACTTGTAGTAACAAATGTCAGCACATTGGCACAAAGAATAATTAACATTGTTTACTACTGTTGCCTGGTAGCACAATTACTAAACATTCAAGACCTAACATTATTTCGATTGAGTTTACTGTATGCAACAATGATCATCAACTATTTTGTAAATAATCAAAATTTTTATTGTTTTAAATGTTCCAAAACTTGACTTTTTGAATGAAAATAAAATACAAATGTAACAATTAGTTAACCATTCTATGTTGTCACATGGTTGTTGACCAAAAATCAATAATTTTTTTTTAATGTAAATTGTAATTAAATTGCAAATTATTAAATTTTAAAGATAAAATGAAATAAACAATAACTTAACATGTTACATCAATAAATTTTAGATTCAAATTTAGATTTCATATTTTATTGTAACTAATAAATATCAGCTATTTTAATAAATAAACTTTATATATATAAAAAAAAAATCAGAATTATTTACAATTGAACAATAATTGATAAAGTATTGCAACTTTATTATTTGTAGTCATAGATACCTCTAATATTGATCTTTTTTCTTCCTCTTCTGCAAGCCACTTTTTTTTCATTTCACTAATTTTTTCTAACTTTTCACGAAACCCCTGCTTTAAATTTTTGATTATAACATCGTATTCTGCTTTAACAGTCTCAATATCTTTTATGTCTTTATCTGATTGATTTTGAACTTCGTTGAGCAAACGTTCTTTTAAGAGAAGGCTCTCTGTTTTTAACTGTTCATCTCGAAATTTATCAAACTCTTGTTGGTATTTTTTCTGATAATTTAGTAAAATGAAAAAGGTGAACTTGATAAAATTTTAAAAATATTTTCATTTCATTACAATTATAAAATAATTTGGCATTTTAATTTTAATTTGACATATTAAAACAAAATATAACAAATAAAAGACCCACCTTTTCAGCCAAAACAGCAGAATGAATTTTTCCCTCAATTGTTGCTTGAAGGCTATCAAATTCTTCTTTTGCTATTTCTTTTTCAAGCATTAGTTGTTCTTCTAGCTTCTTTACCACATTTTTAAAATCGGACAATTGTTTTTGATATTGATAGACTTTTTTATCACCTGATTCTTTTAAATCAAGGAAATCTTTACGCAAACTAAATATCTGTTGATCTTTATCAATAATCACACTTTTCATGTTTTTCAATTCTTCCGCAATACTATTAATATCTTTTTTGTAGTTAGTTTCCTTTATATTCCAAACTTTTTCTTTTGATCTTATTATTGTACTAAGTTTTTCTTCTAAGGCAGGTAATGTTTGTTGACCTTCTCTTTCTTCTAATATATCTACATGTGATTTCGCTAGTGCGTTTTGAGTTAAGTCCTTCTTTAATAAAGCATTTTGCTCTTGCATTTCTTTGATTAAAAGAGTTAATTCTTCTTCTCGCTTTTTCCAAGATATCTCTTTTTTTTTCCAAATATCATCTTGGTTTTGAATGCCACCATTTTGAACATTACTTTGAAGAATTTCATCTAAAAGAACAGATGATTGACTTTTGTCAACAGCTGACTTCATATCAGCCATATTTGAGTTAATTTCACTATTTTTTACATTATCATCATTAGGTTTCAGTGCTTTTATGTCATTGTGTTTTTTAAAATCTGCTTGAAAAGATTCTAAAACATTTTCTGTTGATAAAAGTTGTGATTTTAGATACAGAATTTCTTTATTTGCCAAATCTAAATTCTAAAAAAAAGCCTATTCATTAATAATTGTTGTTGTTTATTATTTATTGATATTTATAGTTGTTAATTATTGATTGATATTTATAGTTGTTTATAAAAACTTTTTATTAATAAAATGCAATAAAAAATACAAGAATGCTAGGAACACAAGCTGTGGTTAGGTAAAAGTAATGACAATTATGATTATGGTAACACTGCAGCAGTTTCACCTGTAGACAGCTACATACAAATACAGGTACCTCAACAACAAAGATTACTGCAAACTAAAGGAAACTTTCATCGTATATATACAATACAACACCTCCCTTTTTCAGCAGCTATAGAATGCCATTTTAGGATTGAATAGATCAAAATTTCTTTTTGACTTACAAATTAAAGTATTTGTTAAAAAAAAAAAGTACAGTTAAAAATTATAACATAACATACAATTATAAAAAAATATATATATATATATATATAACTGACATAAATTTAATCATTTAAATTTAATATTTTTTCACATATATTTAATAATTAATAATCATTTTTAAAAAATTAGAAAATGATTTTACCTCTTGTAGTTTTCTAACTTCTGTTTGGTGATTTTTTAGCATGGTATTAAACTCATTTCTTTTACTATGATCCCATTCTGCTTTTGCAGAATTTAGTTTAGCCTGAACAACATCCTAAAACATAAATGAAATAACTAAAATGAATGAATGAATGTGAATAAATAACATCCTGAAAATATCAAACTTTTATATACATAATAAAATTTTGAAAATATATATTAAATTTTTTATAGTTTAACATCTAAGGTTGCAGATCAATCGTTAGACATGTAATCACTTTGACTTCATTTGCTCACCAAAACTCTTAAACAGCTTGTTTCCAAATTCCTAGAAGTCTTACAACAGCTATTTTAAATAACAAGCACTTTAGTGAACTTTTTATGCCTGCTGAAAACTGGTATCTGTGGTTCCTATGGTATCTGGTATCTATGGAAATATATTGTATTGAACTGATATACTTTGATTGAGAATTAAATAAACCAATAATATGATATTAAATTGTAACTATTAGATACTTTATTATTTCTTCTTAGATTGTTTAAATGATATTATTAAGCTAAGGTAAAAACTAATGAAGTAAAGTTGGAACAACAAATAAAATGATAAATAAAAAAATGGAAAATTGCATAAATCTGAAAAGCCTCTGAAATTGAAACAAGTTAATCTATTTAGAAACATCTATCTATAAAACATCTTATACTTTTATATTAAATTTTTCGTGTTGGACATCAAATTGTTTAATTAAAAATGCAAGTATATTATATGATTTTAAGTTTTAATTAAAAATGCAAGTATATTATATGATTATAAGTTTTTTTAATGTGATTTTTTGTCATCTTGTCAAATGATTGGATAAAAGATTGATGCCAATCTTTTATCCAACCATTTTGAAATCATATTCATTTTATAGAGTGTAAAAGTATTACAATAATGAAATATAATACACTAAATATTTTAAGTATAATATTAAACCAAGTTTCTAAATATAAAACTAAACCAGGTTTTTAAGTATAAAACATGTAGATATAAAACACACAATAAAACTACTTTATAATTGAATTGTATTTGATTCAAAACCTGTAAATTATTCTTAGAATTTGAAAAGTGTTTTACTTATAATAAGTGTTCATCGATTGGTTAAAAATATTTATATAAGTATAACTATTATTTTTAAAATTATTTCAAATAAACGGTGACGCAAATTTATCACAATCAACGAGAGTACAATTAATTTTCATTGATCAAACTCATTGTTTGATGTCACTTATCACCTCAAATGACCAACTAATGTTATGTAGAAAACTAGAAGTACAATCAACCATTATTTTATAAGCCTGGACAAGGCAGAAAACAAAAATTATAACTGGTAATAGCAGTTAGAAAATAGTATTGATTGTTTTAAAGTCATTGTTTGATAGGATCAATTGTCTAAAAGATTTCCTAAACATCTGATCTGAAACTTCAACAAGAAAAATTGCAAAGAAATTTATGTGTAATCATTCGCTTATGGCAATTTACATCAAAAAAATTTGAAAAAAATTAGAAACCATTTGTTTTAATTTTTGAAACCGTTTTCCACAAGACAAAATATTTATGCAAAGCGAATTTTTTTCAGCGATAAGCATGTGCAGATAAAACATTTCTAAAGCGTTTTTGCTAAAGCGTTTTTCTGCAGCGAAAAAAAAAAGTTGGATTCATATCGATATTTTGCGAATCGCCTTATACAAAAACCAATCAAGATTTGAATATTATATCACATGATTTCAACAGTAAAAAAAGCGAAAGAACGTTGTTTTTAAAGTAACAAAAAACAAAATATTCAACCTGGCATCCTTATTGATTTTATATGAACTTACTTGCCAAGTTTCAGTTTATATGAAATGAAAATTGGCAAGCATGAGTAAATTCATCAAAGGAGCAAGACTTAAATCAAGAATTTACAGATGTAAATTTTCACACTGTTAATTACGAAAGTTACATTTCATAAGAATGTTTATCTTTAAGTGGCCACACAAAAATAAACCTTTTAGTGAAAAACCCTACATAGAGTTAAACCTGCTGTTCATTCTTGCAGTAACAGTTTTTTAACAGAAATGTTCATATCTGAGTTTAGCATTTATTTTCTTATACTTTCTGGTAAAAACCATGTATTAAATTATTATATTACAAAATGATATCACATCTTACATATTAAGGACAGAAATACTAATATTAATGCATGGAAACAAATCTCCATTTGTTTTAAAGTAGAAAGTATGCTAAAAAAGTAATAAGTCTTTTTAGTTAAACATATAGCGTAAACTTATTGCTGCCATTTTTATTGTTGATAACGAAAAAAAAGTAGCGCAAAAGAGAGAAAGTGGGAATCAAAACAGTGTTTCATCCCGTGAAGCCGGATTTTACTAAAATGAAAGAAAATATGCAAATATGTAAAATATAAGCAAAAAAGTAAATTTGAAAAAAAAAAATTGAAAAGTTACAAAGAAATTTGAAAAAAATTGCTTGTGATGTTTCAACCACTTATCATTATTGCAGGATTTGCAATTAACCAAACTGAGTATAAAAATAACTGTATCATCAAAAAATAAATTGTTATCAACAAATATTTTATGTAATTTAGCTTATCAATTACATTAATTATGTAATTTAGCTTCCTCTTGCTCAAGAAAAGTTGAAAAATACTTTTACAACATATATGCAAAGCATGTGTTAAAAAATATTTGATGCAGTACGTCTTAACGACAAGAAAGCATTATTTCATTCCCAAAAATACAACACAAAGCTTGGAGTAATAGTGTTCTAAAATCAAGAAAATCTTGGAGAACTTATTAGATTGATCACAAAAAAATTTAAATTGCTTTAAAAAATTATGGTGTATTTATAACATAGTGAATCAATGATACAACACACTTTCAGCTCAAGATTTTACATGGATAGGTAAATGGTCAAGCAGAATCATGGATAGGTAAATGGTCAAGCAGAATCATGGATAGGTAAATGGTCAAGCAGAAAAACAGGTAAATGTTCAAGCAGCAAATTTTTCTCACAAAAGTGAAATGGTTATAGTAATAAAACTTTTTTTTTACACAATGTAAATTACAACAAAAACTTAAGTTATTTTAAAACCCTAAACAAAAAATATTGAAATATATTATGTAAAGGAAAAAATAATTACACAATGCTGTATAAAGCATATGCACTAATAAAACACCCTTTTTCTGAAAATAGACTCGAGATGGTGGTGGTAAAAATTTTTGAACAATACTCTATTAGATTTTTTTACATTAACTTGAGTCCTGAATGATTCAGGGCTGAAATTAATGTAAAAACTGTCAGCAATATTATAGCCCTTCTAAAATCAATATATAATTATAAAAAATTATAGTAATTGCAAATGATCACACAAATTGATGGTAATCTGTATACTGCTATAATAAAAATTAAAAACAAAAAATATAAACATAAAAAGCACTTACCTGTTGTTCAGAGGTCCATTCATCTTTTAACTGTTTGATCAATGCATCTGTTTCTGAATGCTGATTTATCAGCCATTCATTTCTTGCTACATCAACTGCTTTATTAATTTCAATAGCTAACTGATTTTTATAATCATTTAAAAAGTCAACCTTTGATGATGAAACTGCATTTTGAATAAGAATCTCTTGCTCCTTATTGTGCTCTTCAAGCCATTTTATTTTTGATGCTTCTATATCTTCCATATGCTGACTATTTAGTTTGTCCTTCAATTGCAAAAGCTTTTCTTGGTGTTCATTTTGTAACTTATTTTCTAACTCAAGTAGCGCAAGTTGTTTTTCTCTACTAAATTCTTCTGCTAAATGGTTTTCAACAGATTTCACATCATCACACAGTTTGTTATACTCCTCTTGGGTAAATAATAGCTCTCCATTCAAGCGATCAATTTCTTTACTTAATGACAATACTTTTTGTTGATGTGCATCTAAAAGTTCTTTTTTTAAATTTTCCTTAGCATCATTAACTAACTGCATTAAAGTATTGTTTTGTTTTTCAAGACAACTCATTTTATCTTTGTCGAAGTTTTTGACCATTTCAACCATGTTTTTTTTAAGTTCTAAATTTTCTTTTTCTAAAGACTCCAACTTTTTATTGAATTCAATAACAATGGATTGAAATTCTTTACTTTGAGCATCCAAATCATTTTGTAAACATTTACAAGTTTCACATAGCTTAGGATCAGCTAGTAATTCTAATGATCTATTTATAGCTTTGCAAGCAAACTCATGTTCTTTTGATGTATTACTATTTTTTTCCAATTTTAACTTGAGTGAAGCTATTTCATCATAAAGCATTTTAATTTCTTGCCGCTTTTCACGATTAGAATTTAATGCCTTGATTAGTTCATTTCGAACATTACTGTCATCATTTGACTTGATATTTAATCTTTTTGTATCTCTAAAAACATTAATTTGTAATAAAAATCATGAAACCATAAAATTTGATAATTTTAGTTACAATAGAAACATTTCAATCATACATACATACATACACAACACATACACGCATAGATACATACATCATACATACACAACAGATACACACTTATTTCTTTTTTAGAAAATTTTGCTTTAAGCAGGAGTACCTTTGTTAGACCTTTAAACTATAATGTGCAAAATTTGAAATTTGCAAGTCTTCCTGATTCTATCTTATATTAATGTAATTTTTTTCCATATAATTCATTATGAAACTAGAGTAAGTTATAACTAATGAACTTTTAAAACAAGTGTTGGAGTATATATATTTGACGAATATTGATTTGAACAAAGACGAGTAAACAATATAATTAGGTAGAAAATTTTATATCTTGATAATTTTTCAAAGTAGAAAAATCTTTGAGTATCATTTTTACTTTGAGTATCATTTTAAGTTTTTAAGCATGACATCTTGTTTGGTAGTAAGAAGGAGCAAATTAAAAAAATAAGAAAAATGTAGATCAACAAGGTTGTTTACAAATTTTATTTTATGGCATTCAAAAGATTTTAGATTAAAAAATTGAGTCTTGAAGAATAATCTTTATAAGGAATGAACCTTTTCTAACTGACATGTATCTTTTAAAAAGATGGGGATTCCACACAGAGGTACAAGATATAATAGGTCAAACATAAACTTTATAGGGTTTAATCGGAAGCTGGGAATTGTTACTGATTAAGGATTTTAAAAGTACAAGAATGCACCATGCTTGCAATGAAAGAAAGCTGATTTGATTAGAAAATGATTAGAAAACTTTATATCCGAAGATACAATACCGATATCTTGAATTGAATTAATAGATTCAATAGGTGTATTAACGTTTATTGAGTATGAATTAAAGGTAAAGAACCGTTTCCATAGAATAGATGAAAATTCTTGACCATTCTAAAAAATTTTTTAGGGTATTGATAAGGTGCATGTTGTTTCTATCATTGTTTGCTTGATATAACTAGTTGTCATCAGTAAACAATATAATGTTGCAATCACCATCAATACATATAATTAGATCTTTTATAAAAACAAAAAACAAAATGGGTCATAAAACAGTCCCTTGAGGCACTCTTGTATGTCCTTCTTTACAAGAATTTTGTTTGAGTACAAGTTACCAGATTGAGAAACAATTGAAATTGAGAACAATTTGATAAAAGGTTTGTAATACAGTTTATCAGTTTATATATCATAACAATGGAATTTGAACAGAGTGAGTCACAGAATCAAAGACTTTCTCAAAGTCTATATACCATCACTGAAACTGAAAAACCTGGTAACAGCCACTTTTGGCCTATTACTGTTTATGATGTAAAATGTTTCTATAAAGTCTATCACTGAAACTGAAAAACCTCGTAACAGCCACTTTTGGGCTATTACTGTTTATGATGTAAAATGTTTCTATAAAGTGATATACATGTACTTGCAAAACCTTGTAACAGTCAGATCAATGAGATAGTCTCAATTTGTCATGTGATAAAAAACACTTAATTGCATTGGATAAGAATATGAAAGCAAAACCAATTATCATCACAATTACAAAAAAATCACATACAAGGTTTTGCAGGTTCAGTGATGATATACAATACCAACTATCTTTTTGTTATTAGCAACAGTGGTCCACTCATTTAAGATTATCAACATCTGTGTACAGGTGGTTAAAAATTCAAATTGATGAGAGGTAATAAGGCTATTAATTAGTAAGTAATTTGTAATGCATTACACATTGTTTGACTAATTAGATAAATAATTACAAAAAATGGTGTCTTTAAAGCAGTTTAGTTATGTTGATTTTCAAACTTAGAGAAACTTCCTTAAAAAAATTTTTTAGTCTTATTTTCTTATAAACTATCTACTCCAGAGTGAAGCAACCTAAAACCAAAAATTGCTGGCACCTAATATATACATACATATAAAACTATAAATGTTAAGATAAGCAGTGTGGCATACTGAAATGATCATGGCCTGCTTGCCATGGGATTTAGTATATACATCAACTATGTTACAGCCTACTTCCGGAAAAAAGTGCCGCTACATCGACCAAGGGTTTGGGCTAGAACATCAATCATTTATTTATTATTCTTTATTTTTTTTCTTCTTTTTCTGAAAAACTCATGTGCTATTGGATAAGAAATGGATAAGAAAAAAGACTAAGCAATCACTGATCTATAAAGTAGATGTAGCAGCAAAACCCTCTCATATATTTTTTTATTTTTCTGAGTCTTTATTGATTAAATATAAGTGATTTTCTGCTAATTTATAAACATACAGGCCTTGGCAAGAATGGCGGATGATCCCACTCTATGCTTAATCAAATATTTAATATTCAGCTGCAACAACTTGACCACAGCTCTTTAGACATTTAATAATGTTATCAAACATTGAAAAGCCTTGGTCAAGCTGTTGCGACTAAATATCTAATGCTTGGTCACGCATAGAGTCAGATCGTCTTTCATTCCTGCCAAGGCCTGTATATATATAATATATAAATATATTTATATATATAAATATATATATATAAATATATATATATATATATACATATATTTATATATATAAATATATTTATATATTATATATATATATATATATATATATATATATATATATATATATATATATATATATATATATATATATATATATATATATATATATATATATATATATATATATATATATATATATATATATATATATATATATATATGGGTGCATCAAATGCCCCATACTTTCAAAATTTAATCTGTCCCTTTTATTAAAACTTTCTATTGGTTCTCACAAGATAGTCTGTTAAATTTTTTCAAAATTGAATGAGATTTAGGGGAGCCACCTCAAGTCTGAAAGTCTTGCAACGAGACCCTAAGCAGAAGAAAAAAAGCTTTTCAAATGTATGCCATGTTGAGTCTCAAAAAAAGCGAAATAAAAAATAATAAAGTTAATTCTTTTAAGATATTCTATTTTAAGATATCTTTTAACATATTCTTTTAAGTTTTATTGCATAAAAATTATTATTTATTAACAAAAAATTAAAAAAAGCCATTTTTTCATGGTTTTTGTCAAATTTTTTTCAAGGTATTTTTAACAAATAATGATAACTATTTTTGAGGATTTGGATAAAGCATAATAATATAATAAATAATATAATAAAGCATGCAATATGTGGTTTTTAAACACCCAACATCAAAACATTCTTGTGTCTGGAACCATTTTCAAAGTCATAGCTTTGCATTTTGCAAAAGAACTTGGTTGTGACAACTTTCAAGCATCTGATGGATGCTTAGATAGATGGAAAAAAAGAAACAATGTATCGTTTAAAACAATATCAGGTATTTTATCATTTTATTATTTCATTGATTTTTACATTTTTTTCAGTCATTTGTCTAAAAAATATTAATAAGCATGGAACTGTTTTTTTTTTTTGATTGAACATTTCTATTCCATCACCCATAAACCAATAAATTTTTAATCCAATTCTTTTGTTTTAAAAAAATGCAAAAATATGCATCAAAGGACTAGACCGAGCTGTCAAGCCCAAGTGAAATAAGGAAAAATTTAGGAAAAGAGAAAGGATAAAAGAATTGAAAATATATATTGAATAGATGTTCAGAACAAAAACAAAGATACTATAGTAAAGCGTGTAGTAAAAAATAATAATAATAATTTAGAAACCGCGTATGCAAAAGAAATGTAATAAAAACAAAACAGGACCCATAAGCAACCATAAATCTACAATAAATACAAATATTTAACATACTTAAAATAAATATGCATATGTATAGATATCTCAGTATTTAAAATGAATAAATATAAATTAATAGGAAGTATAAGATAAAGAAAAAACATTATTGCTTTTGTGTAATCATAAATTATGTAGTGGTGCTAATAAACTTCTCCTCAGAATCGCACTTATTACCGGCGTTTCAAAAAGGTTCAGCACCAATACCTAGTTTATCCCGTCAGATAAACATCATCGCTATTTATGCTTTACCCCGCAATTCATCGATGTTTACATTTCATTGATGTTTACATTTTTTTCAGACATTTGTCTAAAAAATAATGACAAACATGGAACTCTTATTTCTATTCCATATACCAATAAATTATCAATCCAATTCTTTTGTTTTAATTTGTTTAAAGTCATTACCACTTGTTGGCTTATTACCACAAACTGTATGAAAAGAAAATAATGTCCTAAACCATAGCTAATAAAATTTAAGCTGATTTAAAAGTTGCTTTTCTTACTTTCCATAGGTGCAAGTCAAGATGTTACTAATGAAATGACCGCTACTTGGAGGAAAACAACTTTGGAGACAATATTGTCTTGTTATAACTTGCGTGATATATTCAATGCAGATAAGTTTGGTTTGTTTTATAAAGCACTTCCAAAAAAAGTATGCATTTGAAAGGTGAGAAATGTAGTGGAGGTAAGAATTGCAAGATACAACTAACTGGGCTTGCTCTAGCTAACATGTGTGCAGAAAAACTTCCAATGTTTTTTATTGGGGAATCAAACAAACCCCATTGCTTTAAAGGAATTAGAGGCACTCCATGTCGTTACTGCGCACAAAAAAAGAATTGGATGACCTCTGAACTATTTGAGAAGTGGGTAAGAGAAAATGACAGAAAGTTTGCATTAGAAGGTCGTAAGGTATAATGATAATTTTACCGCCCATCCAAATAATGAGAATCTTAAATCGGTCACACTCTACTTTTTCCTCCCAAACTTCATGTTTGCAGCCGATGGATCAAGGAGTTGTTTGATCTTTGAAGTGTAAGTATCGAACTAATTTAATTAACAAGATCATAAATGCTGTTGATAACAGACAACAAATGCTTTCTATCTCCATACTTGATGCTATGAAAATGCTTGTTCATTCTTGGAATAAAGTTTCAGAAACCACTATTATTAATTTAATTACTTCCGCAAAGCAGGAAGAGTAGTAAGAGAAGCAAGTCTTTTTTTAAAGCCTTTTTTTATGGATTCAGTATTTCAGCCAAGTTATTAAAGTTATTTTTGTTGTATAGTTGGTCTGTAAACCAAATTATATATATATACATATATATATATATATATATATATATATATATATATATATATATATATATATATATATATATATATATATATATATATATATATATATATATATAATACATATATATATATATATATATATATATATATATAAATATATATATATATATACATATATATATATATATATATATATATATATATATATATACATATATATATACATATATATATATATATATATATATATATATATATATAATATATATATATATATATATATATATATATATATATATATATATATATATATATATATATATATATATATATATATATGTATGTATATATTTTTATGTACTTACATATATATTTATATGTATTTATATATATAAATATATTATATATATATACAGGCCTTGGCAGGAATGAAAGACGTTCTGACTCTATGTGTGATATTTAGTCGCAACAGCTTGACCAAGGCTTTTCAGATGTTTGATAACATTATTTTGTTGTACAATGGTCTACCCAGCCATACAATATAAATCAACATACTCTCTGCAGAACTGTCCTTGTTGAAAGAATTAAAATGAAGTCCAAGATCGCTAGAATAGCTCTGGAGTTCCTCCTTGCATTGCTGATGTTGGGTATTTTCTGAAACCTGGTCAATAGAAAATATCCCTTTTCATCAAAAAATTGAAACACTCAAGTGAGATAAAACAAAAATTTCATATTATCTCTCTAGCCTGATGTTTTGAGAATTACTCCTGTTCTGTTATCAAACTAAGTTTTCAGTTGTTTGTACTCCTTCAACAGTTAAAATACAAATGGATATTCAATGTTTGGCAATTATGTTTTACTTCCAAGTTCTTCATCCATCACCAAAAAAAGGATTCTACTTCATTGTATTCATATTCACTGTCATCAGCCATAATCACTAATACCAGGATAGTAAGATGATGGTTTGAATGACTCATTAGAAAGTTTTTGTCTTTTAGAGGGATGGATTGTTTCTTTACTGGCTGCTTGGCCTGTAGAGTATCCCACTGTTCCTTTGCTTTCCACTTGGAGATGGTACAATTGCTTGTCCTCAGAAGATAACCATGTTTCATCCATTTAAGCAATATCAAAAATTTCATCAAGAGGCTTGTAGCTTCCCTGCTTGACACATTCATCATAACATTTAAGTATTTTATCAAGCTTTGCTTCTATAACTTGATCAGATACATGAGGAAAATTCAGTTTATTCTTCCACAATTTGATAACTTCTTTGAAATTTTTGCTATTCCCTCCTTTCTTCCTTTGATTTTTGGTCCAAGGAAATGGTTGCGTCCAATAATTTGTTTTTGGAGAGGCATTCTTCCAAAGAGACCATTCTTCTTCTTTTATGAGAGTCTTTAAATTTTACCAGATTATTGGTCCAGACATCCTTGTTCTTCTAAATGCTACTATTGCAAGCAACACATGGTGTCGTACAAGACTATAGTCTTGTACAACACCATGTGTTGCTTCTGTAATAACTATAAAATTAAATGAGCAGCTATATATAGTCTAAAATATTCTAGAATATTCCAGAACATTCTAAATTGTTCTAGAATGTTCCAAAATATTTTAAATTGTTCTAGAATATTCTAAATTGTTCCAGAATGTTTTAAATTGTTCTAGAATGTTCTAAAGTCTTCTAAAATATTATGTTATTTTCCAAAATATTCTAAAGTTCTAAACACTTCTAATCTATACAAGTTTTAAATGATTTGCAGGAAAGCCACACATATTAGTAGTAGTAGTAACAAGATTAAATAAATGGTGAAATGTAATTTGAATTATGGGGTGACCTTTTTTAACAACCAAGAGGAATTGAACAAGTTTTTAATGTTTTCTAATAAAAGTTCATCAATTTATGACACAGAAAATTTTTTTTTAAAGTCAAAAAAACACTATAATATATATATATATATATATATATATATATATATATATATATATATATATATATATATATATATATATATATATATTATATATATATATATATATATATATATATATATATATATATATATATATATATATATATATATATATATATATATATATATATATATATAAAGATTATAACACAATCATATGTAAAAATGGCACACACACTTGACTGTATATATACTTACCTTCTCGGAAAATGTTGCTTAGCCTTTTTGTCAACACTACACAAAAATAACAACAATAACAATAACAAATACATTCCAGATGAAAAGCTGATACCTTGCAATAGGAGATTTATAATCAACCTGGTCTCTCCCCATATGTGCATTTGCAGCATTGTAAGGGGTGGAAGATAAATAACCAAAAGTAGAGTCTGTTTTTAAAGCAACTTCAAACATTTTTAGTTGTTCTTCCAAATCAGTATTATGCTTTGTGAGTAAAGCCAAATCTTTTTCTAGACTAATCACTTTTTTTTCTTCATTAGAAAGACGATTTCTCAGCATTCCAATTTCACTACCCTAATATAAAATTATATCTGTTACTATGTACTGCATCAAATATATATCTTTTTTTTCTTCTGTTATTTCTTTTTTTCAAAAATGAGCATAAATATTATACATAGTTACCATTAGTATGTTTCTATTATTAAAAATTATTAGCTAACAATAAACAATTAAAAAAATAACAAAAATTTGATAAAAAAATAAAAATAAAATAAGAGAAAAATAATAAGAAATAACAAAAATAATAACAATACAGTAAAGTAAATTCCAATACATATATAGTTTTTGTTTACATGGGATCAAAAATCAATTTATAATAAACATTTATGCACAATGTCTTTACTTTACTGTCTAAAAAAATTTATTTTTTGCATTTATAAAAATTTTCAACTTATTCTATCTATGCCATATTTGTAACTTTGAATGCAAAAAGAAAAAACTAATTAAAAAAATTTGAATTTAAATCATTTTTATTTTACACCATGTTTAAGGTTTGCATTAAAGAACCTTTGATGCATCAATGAAAAATTTTGTCGAGCATAAAAACTCTATAAAAGCTTTATTTTATTGGCAGAAACTTTAATAAGCGCGTTTGTTTAACCATGTGCGCAAACATTTAAATTTAATGAAAAAAAAAAAAAAAGAAACCAAATGGATGAGACATTCAAATTTATAAAAAAAAAAAGGAAATAAAAAAACTCAAGTAGGGTTTTTTAGAGACTAAAAAATCTCTCTTGAGTTTTTTTACCCTTACCGAGGAATTTTTTTATCATCATCCTTACCGAGGAATTAGAATCCAAAAGCTCTTTGTATCTATTAAGGTCTTCACTCTGAAAAAAAAATAATTTTAAATAACAAATTTTTATTATTTCATTCTTAAAGTGTTTTCATTTAATTACTAATACTTTTTATATATTTTTATTAAATTAAAAATTATTTTATACTTATATATTACACTTGAAAATCACAGAAAAAAAAGTGAGTAATAATAAGACAATAAAAAAAAAAAAATAAAACAATAAGATATAGTAAATATACAATAGACCTTGATGGTCTATTGTTGGTTTGATAGTGAATAACTGATAAAAAAAGTCAATTACAAGCATGACTTAAAATGTAATGGTAGGTAATGTAATGTTTTGGTGAATACAGAGAAGTCATACAAAATTGATTGAAGCAAATAGTGTTGGAAAGACTAATGCGTTGGTAAGTTTTGTTTCAGGTATAGTGCCCTTAAAAAGACAACAAATTTAAATATGCTTTAGTATTTTTTTTTTTTTTTAATTTTTTAGTTTTTATTTTGTCTAGAGCAATATGATTTCTTCCTGGTGGTTGAAAAAGTTATTTAATTTTATTTTTACTATTTTGCTTGTACTTGAAAGTTGTATATTTTTGGCTAGGTGCCCTTAAAAAGACAATTCTATTTTTGCTAATACCTCCTTAACAACTAACTCAATCATGGAGATATTTTGTAAGGTTATATCTGCCTGATATATGCATCTTATATTATAAAGAAAACTATAATTACTTTATTATTTTTCATAATAATTAGAAAAATCATGTTTTTTGATCCAAATACTTTATCTCTTAATAACCATGAAGAACATCATTTTCTTAAGTAGTTTCAGTATTTTTATGTTTTTTTCTTCTCTTTATGTCCTAAACTTTACTTTGATTTAGTAACAATTCTTATAACAGTATAAATTTCTATGAACAGCTACTTTGTTTAGTGCAACTTGAAGCCAAGCTGTAGAATGGTGCAAAATTAATGGAAAGCAAGGATATGCTGCAATATCAACAGGGCATTATCCATCCATCCAAAATCGTGATTGATAAGCGGTTAGATAATCTAGTTCATACAGGAAATGAGAAAAACCATCTAATGATTCTAACAGCTGGAGAAGAAGATACTATAGTTGAGTATGTACGCTGTAAAAATTGTGTTTATCAAGCTATGAACAGAAAAAACTAACAAACCTCATTTCGAATGTGTTAAAAATTCGAGATCATGCTAACAAAAAGATGAAAGGAGGAAGAAAGTTCATTGTTTTGACTGTAAATGGCAGGAAAGCTCTTTTGAAAAAAAAGTAAAAATTATCTAATTTGTAAGAAATTCTTCTTAAATTAACACAATTCTTTACTACTGTAATGACTTTTTTTATATTTTTTCTATCTAGCCTAAGTAAGTCGTTTTGGAGACAATGGGACGCCAAAAATGTCAATGTTTCTTTAAAAAGACAAGGAATCATCACAATGAATAGAGCAATGAATTGAACTCGTGAAATGGCCTGCTCTCATTTAGGTCAAACAACTTTGAAATTCACAAAAATAAATAGCATATGTTATAAAAATTATAGCATATGTATTTGGCACTTAAAGCCAGAAATAACAAACTCATCCAAATAACTGAGAAATGCTAATATAGAGTTAAAACTCTGAAATCTGTACAATTTGATTTTTAAAAAGTAACTTTAAAGACTATTCCCTTTCAGATGATCTTGCTAAAGAGTTGGAATGTGGCATCATGATTAAAGAAAATCAAGAAGCATCTGGATATTGGACCGGGCAAATTAACTTGTAAAGATCCGAATCTTTAATCATGATGAAACTCCACAATTTGTTTACTTTGGTGTTAATGGTTCAGCAAGCGGTTTAGTATATGGTAGTTGTGGTGAAAGATGTCAAAAAATGATTCTGGATTATCGTGAATGTGTTACAATAAATCCAATGGTGTCGTTATCAGGTAAACCATATTATATATATTTTAAACTTTAAACTTTACTTTTAACTAATTAGTACATATTTATTATATTTTGTATTCTATATAACACCTTGATTTACTATAAACGCTTATTAGTAAAAGTGGATTTTATAAAAGTTAACAAATTTGAAAATTTAAGACAACAAGTATATTTTATTACTAAAAACACATTTTCTATGCTTATTTTATTATTTAGGTGAAAAATGCATCTGTCATGTAATATTTGGTACTCAAGGAATTACTAGTCAGATGGCTCCGCCGAGTGCTGGTCAAAATATTTCAAACTTATTAGTTTCAACAACCAAGAATTGATCACAAGATCACAAAACCTCACTTGCATTTTATAAATTATTTGATCACACTTGATTGAAAAAGTAATACTTCACCCTGTTGTTATACTAAGCGATGTTCACAGTTCTTGCTTCCATTATACCTTACTTCGATTTCTTAGAGAGAAAAAAATACATTTATTAATTTCACCGTCCAGACACTATTGGGGTAACACAACTACTTGATCAAATTAACAAGGCACTTCATGAACACTATGCAAATGCAAAAGAAAATCTGTTCGACCAAAATCAAACAATTAATAGAGAAGCCTTTATGTTGTCTCTTGCAAGTATGTAGGACAAGTGGGCCACGCCAGAATCGATAAAAAAAGCTAAAAAGAAGGTTGGTATTACTAATGAAAGTTTAAATGTTGCATTTTTGCAAAATGAATGTTTGTCATTGCAGGCCATGATCACAGACTTACATGAAAAAAGCATAAATCTTAATTACACACCAGGTCTTTTGACAATCCAAAAAGTCAACTCAAAGTAAAAGTATGCATAAAGAAACTACAAGAATAACTCAAGTTCATGGCTCCATGGAAGGTCAAGATGTGCTAAAACTTGTAGAATCTATTAACAATTCAAAGGAAAAAAAAGTACAAGACAAAGAAGACAGCGAAAGAATAAAGAGTGAAGAAACTGAGTTGTTCTATAGATGCAAGGAAAGATGCATTTCAGACAATGGCATTTGTGAAGCTGCAAAGCTAAAACAATGTCCCATGTGTTGAATTATTATGAAATCAGTATGCAGTTAATATAAGTACATTGTGGATGGTAAAAAACCAATTATGATTTTACTTAAATGTGAAAAAGTGAACTGCTGCAAAGAATTTATTTAGAAAGATGGTGAAGAAGACAGTATTGAAGATTTGGAATCCAATAGATTCCATTATTGAGAATCTTTTTTATTATTCATTAAAAATTAAAAAGTTATTTTTGTTTTTTGAAGTTTTTCTCCTTCAGAAGTATAAAAAGTTCAATAAAAAGTTAATAATATATGGTGCCCTTAAAAAGACAAAAATATTAACATTTTAGCAGTGTTTTTTAAGCAACAAAAACTATATGTTCTTATCAAGCAAGTGAAAAACAATTACTACTTTTATAAGGACCCTATTAATAACTTTGTTTAAGACTCTTGTTTAAGGACTTAAATTCAATATTTTTCATTTTACGTTAAATATTTTCTTAAAAACAATCTTCTGGAACAAAATTAAAAAAAAAAATGAACTTCTGCACAATAACTTGACTTTTTTCTGAAATTTATATGGTCTTATATTTTGAATAAGCACAATTTTTTAAAATGCTTTTAAAGAATAGTTATAGGCAATTTAATTTTTTTGTCTTTTTAAGGGCACAATACCTGTACCTCAAAGATACAAGGCAGGTGGGGTGGAAAAATGTCAAAGTTTTGGAAAGTCAGTTTATGATGATGATAATGATTATAAAAAATAATTAAAGACTATAAAATAGATTTTCCAAAATTAAAAATGGAAATTTTATTTTTAAAAATTGTTAAAGGAAATTAAAAAAAAAAAATAATAATAAAAATACCTTTTTACTAAGAATATTTTAAAACAAATCACAAACCTTCCATGCTAAACTTTGTTGCAGATCATCTACTTTTTCTTTTAATGATAAAATCTCTTCTTCGTGTTTCTCCCTCATTGAAGCTAACATGCTTTCATGATGGGCACGCGCTCTTGATAATGATTCTGTCTGGTTGAGTTCTCGTATTTGCATCTGTAATGCACTAATTGTAGAATCTGAGACAAAAAGCTTTTCATTTGCTTCTTCGATCTGATTAGTTAGCAACCTGCATTGTTCTTGTTCATTTTGAACCAAACCCTGCAGATTATTTATTTCATGCTTATGATCTTGGATTACTGCATTTAGTTGACCAATATTTATTCTTAAACCTTCCATTTCAGCTAAAAAAATAAGTATGCTTTATGGGTATATAATATGGTCTCATGGAATATTGTATATAAATAATGTACATATAAAGTAAACTTAAATGAGTAAGTAATTTAATCACTGAATATTTCAATGAGTAAAAAAAGTTCAAAGCTAAATCTAGTAAATTTTTTTCAACTTTCAAACAATATAAGCAGGACATATGAACACACAAAAAGCTCTAAAACTTGTATTTCATAATTTATAATAAATACAAAAGGTAAAAAAAAGGTAGCATACGTTGTACAGTGCAACCAACATGGTTTTATAACTTTCAATATAAGTATGTTTATAGCTAAAAATTATGGTTTCCAGGATTACAATATGTAAGCAATATAACTATATAAAACTATATACAACCATTATAAATTTTTCTGCGTTATCTGGATAATTCTTTATCAAGAACCTTATCAAAAAAAGATTAACTCTTTGTCATGTTTAGTATTTTTTTAAATGTTTTTTTGATTACTTTATTTATCTCCCCAAGGTCCTGCTACCACTACAGTCAAGGTTGCTACTCTTTATCCCTTTCATTTTTATTGCTAGGTAAATTTACCTTCATATTACTAAAATACTAATGAAGCTAATTTAATTTGTTTAGCAGTCTGTTGAGTTATTATAATTTATATAATTATATTATATAATATTCTAACTTAACAACTTTGAATGAACACATGTACTAACAAGATTTTTTTAATTTTTGTTCAGGGATATCTGCATCTGCAGAACCATTTAAAGCACACTTACCCAGAAATATGTTTAAAATAAAATTACTTTTTCAGACCATTGGATACAAAACTTGATGAGTGAGCACGGTGTTGGTAAGCGCTTTCCACTACAAACACTTTCAAACAATGCTTTCAAAAAACACTTAAATAATGCAGACCAAAAAGAAAGAATATTTGAGTATCTAAAAAATATTTGAACTGTACATTAAGACTTTTGAGTTGACCCACCTGTGCTGAATGGTGACCAAATGCTTTTTCACATAAAAGTTCTAACTAAAATTTCACTAGGATATGTCCATCAAAGAAAATTATTCTCTTTGATGTAAGTATCCAATCAAATTACTGTTTACATTAAAGCTCGCAGCTACCCTAAAGTAAACCAGTTCAGTTTAAACCTCCTCAAGATGAGAAGTTTCTAAAGTTTTCTTATGTTTGAAACATATACTGAGTACAATAGCTAACTTAGGAAAGGGGGGATAATATTTTTGCACATAAAAACTCTAGAATTTGTTTTAGATAACTATAGTGTTCATTATCCCAGAAATCAGCACTTCCTTACTTAAGAAAAGATATATTTTCATTGAAATAGGTAATGATGTTCCAGGAGATATACTAACACATAAACTAACTAATTAAAAAAACAATATAAACATATAAAATAACTAATTAAAAAACTAACAATACAGATTTTTACACCTAAATACCAAGAGATGGAGTAAAAACTAAAGATAGATCACAAAAGATGGAGTAAAAACTAATAATAGATACCAACAGATGGAGTAAAAACTAATGATGGATACCAAGAGGTGAAGTAAAAACTATTGATGGAGCAATTAAAACTTGATCCCAATAAAAATTCCACAACCATTCAAAAAAATCACTTCACTAAGTAAATAATCATTTAATTAAGTTTAAATGAAGCTACAAAACATCTCACCATAAAATGAAAAATAACATCCACTCCTTTCTATTTTATTAGATCTAGATAAAAACCTCCCGCATACCTTTATTCCCACCCCATTTTTATTAAACATGTGCAAGTAGCTGTTCAGTTTAAGACTCATTTTTGTACAAAAACACTTTTCTTTCACTTTTCGACAAGTACATGGTTGCTGCTTAAACAAACCATCTTTTGTTATAAATAATTACAATTAGTTTTTATATTGCAATTAGTTTTTGTAATAATTACCTTCCAATAACAAATAGAAAAAATAACGTTTATAATTTTACAAAAAATATTATATTGACATAATACAAAAATGCTTTACAAAAATGTTTAATCATTGCAGTTTTGTAAGACTTTAATGATTTTTCATCAAAAAATTTTAAATTTATTTTTCATCCTGTAACACAACTAGCACATAGCACATATAAGTAGTGGTTATAGCATGTAACACAACTACCACATAGCACTTACACATATAAATAGTGCTTATATCACATAACAAAACTACCACATAGCACTTGCACATATAAATAGTGCTTATATCATGTAACACAACTACCACATAGCACTTACACATATAAGTAGTGCTTCTATCAAAAATCTTCTTCACCATACTTATTTGATATTTCTATTAAAAATACTTTTATAAAAGCAGTAAAAATATGTTTTTAAATTTGCATTCTTCATAAACCAAAATTTGATGATTTAAAACAGCCATATTTAGCCATATTTTTCAAACATGAAAAATGCAAAGAAGCTAAATAAAGTAATCCCAATGTTTTGAAAAATTTATTAAAAAAAGGAAAGAAAAATCTGAAAATACAGCAATGAGATCAATAAGAAATTAAGTAATAAAATCTTAAAGTTTTTTCAAAAGACAAAAAAATATTAACAACGTTCCTTTAAAAAAATTGAATGTCAATTTTTTAAAAGCAAAAGATAGTAAACAAGACTACATTAGTTTTTTAAAAATATAAAAAGTTTAGGTCCCAATATTATTACCACATTTCTTCTCAAACTTGTTTCCCATATTATCTCTGAGCCTCTTTGTAAAATGATAAATAATTTTTTTGAACCAAACTTTTTTGGACTGTTTACTGATGTATTTAAATTTGTTTTATTTCATTTCATAAAAAAGGCTCTCTAATGGACCACACAAATTATTGTCAACTTTGCTTCCTTTTAACATACAAAAAATATTTGAAAAAGCTATGCATAACAGACTAACTTTCTAAATAAATATCGATTTTTTTATAGAGTTTCACAGCAAGCATTCCACAACTCCTGTATTTATTGAAATCACTAAGGTTGTCAGAAAAGTTCTTAACAATAAACTTTTCTCTTACTGTGTGTTTGTACAGAAAGCATTTTTCCCTTTTGATTATTACATATTAAATAAACTAGAACTAGTGGAAGGTAAATTACAGGTGTACCTTTAGGACCTGTGTAGGGCCATTGGTTTTTTATTGTTTTTATTAATGATCCTAATTTTTTGCTAAAATAATAACTTCCTACCATTTTGCTGATAACAGCAACTAGATTGTTATCAACAAACTATTTAAAAAATACATTAATTTCGATCTGCCAAACTTCTATGGCTTTGGACTAAGAAACTAAATACTAGTAAAACTAAAATTATCATACTTAAATCAATCTAAAATCAATCAAAACTTAAGTTTCAGACTAAAAATGGAGAAAGTCAAAAAACCTATCTGGTCATCTTAAATTTGGAACCAAAATTGATTCAAATTTAGATTTTCTACATCTTAAGGACACAACAATAAAACAATTTTTAGATCAATCGAGCTAAAGCTTGTCACTATGCTAATCTTAGAAATCTTATCAATATATATTAATAAATGTTTAAGATTATCCAATTACAAAACAAGGCTATTAAAACAATATATTTTATTTTCAGCACTTTTTATCTGTTGAAAGTTGTTTAATGGAAAATTTAGAAAATATTGTACACTATTTTTTTAAATAATAAATTTGAGTAAGTTTAATTTTTAGGCTTTTCAAGAGCATGCTTTTTCACCTTCTGTTCTCTTATAATAGTATACAATTGATGGTACAAAACTAAATATTTAGGTTGATGATAAGATGCATATCTATTAGAAAATTTCGATAGTAAAATTAAAAAAGCTTTAACTTGTGAGATAATAAACTTGCTTACAACAAATGCAGCATTTATTACTTATTAACAGTTCTATTTGACTATAATAAATTATAAATTAAATTGGAAAAAAAAAGAGAAACAATCTTACAATATAAGACAATATATATATATATATATATATATATATATATATATATATATATATATATATATACATATATATATATATATATATATATATATATATATATATATATATATATATATATATATATATATATATATATATATATATATATATATATATATATATGTACTGGACAAAACAAGTGCAACTCCACAAAATGTTGACCAAGATGTATTTCGCTATCAATATTTCGTGGCGAATCCTTTGTTATCGATCACAGCCTTGCATCTTCGAGGCATAGATTCAATCAGGTGATCAATGAAACTTTGTGGAATCGCTGCCCAGGCCTTTTGGATTTGTTCAAACAGTTGATCCTTATTACGAATCAATTGTGAACACCTTCACAATTAATTCTGCAGTTGACTATCTCCCACAGGTTCTTGATAGGGTTGAGATCCGGAGATTGAGGCAGCCAATCTATCACCAATTCACCAATAGGTGGTTGTCTTGAAACCACTGCTTGACTACTTTTGCAGTGTGTTTTGGATCATTGTCTTGCTGAAAAACCCATTTTATTGGCATATTCCATTCAGTATGAGGTAACATAACATCTTTCATATTTTTATACATGAAACGGTCCATTATTCCATCGATTCGATGTATTAGACCAAGTATTAGTATTGTATTAGCGGTTTCTTTGCAGAGCGCCGAGAAAACAATCCGGCTTCAACAGTACCTCGTCTGATTGTTCGGTCCGATACAGGCAGCTCTAATTGCTTTTGTATCTTGACTGATGATATCCAGGGATCCTTCTTGATGGATCTGACGATTATAGGATCCTCTCTAGAAGTGGTGGAACGCGGTCTTCTACCTTTGTTATCTGCTGCCAACTTCCTTGTAGAATGATATTTGGAACATAGTCTTGATACGGTCCACGCGATATTTATCACAAATACTTTTTTGTGAAATTCCACTATTGTAATCGTCAATAATTTTCTTTCTTAGGTCCAATCCAAGACTGTCAGGAGCCATTTTTGCACTTGAAGTCATAAAAATAATAAAAATAAATAATCACGCTTCTCAAGGCTTACCGTGTTACATTTACCTTGTGATGATACAATAATACTCTGTGGAACACAAAGTCTTGGTTGGATATGGACTGTATTGATGTAATGAAACACTTGTTGTATTTCACTTTTTGTATTGATGTTCTTCAATAAAACACTTTGATAAAACTCACTTCGATAAATTGTCTTGATAATACTGACTGATTAAATTCCATATACTGACTGAATTACATGTCTCTTATATAGTAAAATGAACCTGTTCTGGAAGAACAGTCATAAAAATAATAAAAATAAATAATCACGCTTCTCAAGGCTTACTGTGTTACATTTACCTTGTGATGATACAATAATGCTCTGTGGAACACAAAGTCTTGGTTGGATATGGGCTGTATTGATGTAATGAAACACTTGTTGTATTTCACTTCTTGTATTGATGTTCTTCGATAAAACACTTTGATAAAACTCACTTCGATAAATTGTCTTGATAATACTGACTGATTAAATTCCATATACTGACTGAATTACATGTCCGTCTACATGTCTCTTATATAGTAAAATGAACCTGTTCTGAAAGATTCTAGATGCTTCTTTTCGATGCTTCTGGATGCGTCTGGATGCTTCTGAATGTTTCTGGATACTTCTGGATGCTTCCAGATGTTTCTTCTGGAAACTTCTGGAAGCATCTGCATGCACATCACATATAAGACATATATAATGTGGAAATTTAGTGTTTATGTTTTTAACTTTAAAATTTTTACTACTACAGGATGCGTATTGATAACAGCTTTCACCTTAATTGTATATATATATATATTCCGGAAAAAAACATTTTATCAGAATTATATATATTCTTTTAAAAACATTTTCTAATAATAATAATAATAATAGTAATAATAACAATAATAATAACAATAATAAATTCAAATATTCTTTAGAAAAATAGATATAATATTAAAAAAAAAAAAAGGTCAAGAATATTAATATCATAAAAAAAATCTCTAGAAGGTCCATGGTGCAAATTTTATTAATATGATAATAAAAAATAATAATTTAAAAACAGTTTTTTTCTTAAAATTATATTTTAAAAAATTATTCAAAAATTTACAAAATAAAACAAAAGTTGAAATGAAAAATAGAATATTGTCTTATATATATTGAATATTATATTAAATATTGGTATCATTTTATTACAAAGACGTTGTTTTTTAAAATCTTTAAACAAGAGTAAAAAATGCTAACCTTAATTAAATTAAATAATTAAACCTTAATTTGTTTAAATCAGTTATATACTTTTAATCACTTTAATTTAATCATTTTAATTTAATTAATTCTTAATTTTATATAATTTTAAATTTTATTCAGGACACATACTGATAGCAATTGATTATAACTGAAATGTTTATTCTGTTAAAATACTCATTAAGTAAAAAAAAAATTAAAAAAAAAATATATATATATATAAATATATACTTGAACTCATCGTTAACTTATGTCTAAGAACTCGAATTTCTTTTTCTTTCTCTTCTACTTTTTCTTCTAAACTTTTTTGTAGCTCTTCTATTTTTCTTCCTCTTGCTTGATAAAGAATCTCCAACTGTTCTCTACTATTTTTAGGTAAGTACTCTGTACTAAAACTGTTAACATCAGCATAGCTCTCAGCATTATTATTTAATTCAGATATAAAAGGCTGTTGAAATGGGTACACACTTTTCCTTAATTGTAAATAGTCTTCACTTAATCCAAAACTGAATCCATTCTCTTTGATGTTAGTTTCTGTTGGAAAATCCGTATTCAACATTAATGAAGGAGAATCATTTTTTTCGATTTCATCTGAAGTTTGATTGAATGAGGCATCCTCAAGGAGATAATCATCATTTAATTGATCGTCAAGAAATGCTTTTAACTAAAAATGAAAATGTGGATCTAAATATTATAAATGAAACTTGTAATTAAGAAATAAAATAACAACATAAAAATAAAACTATAAACAAACTTCTTCTTGTTGGTGTGCATCTTCTATATCTAATTGCTCCTCATCATCCTCCTATAAAAATATTGACCAAGCAATATGTTACTTAACAAGTCAAATTCTGTAAACCAACAAGTAAAAATAAATTAAAATAAATAATGAATAAAAACCAATAAGTAAGAATGATGACTAACAGTATTTTTTTAATAATATATTAATTTTAGCTTGCCTGAGGGTTGAAATCAATGTGACTAAACATGACACTCATTTTAATTTCTCCACTCTTCAACTTTTCAGATCAAAATAAATGATCATTCAGCCAAGAAGCCATGTATGCATAGCAACCAAAACAATTTATTGATCATCTTTTTAGTTAAATAAACAAAAACAGTAACAAACAATAACAAACAAGGTTTTAAATATAACAAGTGTTTAAATGAACAAACTATTTAAAATAACACTAAATGTGATATGATACACATTTTATGTAAACACAATTCCCGGTAAGTCAAACAACAGCTAACTTGAACTGTTTTTTATAATCCTTTTAAACAAGAACAATTTTTTTACTTCGCTTAAATCATATTTTCGTATATTTGAACCGTTTTCATTGGTCCCTTGGAAGATCAAATTAGTGGAAATTTACAGTACATTTTAATTGTATTTTTAAATGTTGATCAACATTAATTTTATTTTCTTGAATAATATTTGTTTTGAAACTATTAACTATTTTCTATTAACTAAAATCTATATATGCTCTATCTCTGTAACCATAACATACTTTATAAATTTAGTATCTTTAACCAAGTAGGTTGAAGTTTTTAGGATTAAAAATTACAATGAGTTTAACCATAAGATATGGTACACAATTCCACAACTTTTATTCTATTAATTCAAGCTATAAAACCTCAATATATTCAAGAAATAAAACCTAAATTATGTAGTGCAATATTATCTTATGTTGCAATTGTTGTTAAAGCCATCATTAACAATTGTAATTTGCACAAATATTACTCATATGTCATAGCATTGAGACTAATATTTCTTCAGTTTTTGATTTCATTCTTATTCTTTATTTAATTTCATAAGTTCCATTACTTATTAAAACCATTTTTCAATATTAAATTTCAGTATTTTAAACTAAACCTAAAAATAAATAAGTTCTTTTTATATATATGTATAAATTCTTTTTATATATATAAATTATTTATATATATATATGTATAAATAAATTATTTATATATATATATATATTTTTTTTCAATATTCAAATAGCTTTTGATTGCTTAATTTAAATATTGTCAATATTTATTTGTCAATATATAATTTGGTAAAATATGTTTTTTGGATGAAATAGACTCCACTTATTTTTTTTTTTAATTTGTTGATGGTTTATTTAACTTTACCCAGTTTGAAATTTTTATTAGCTCTATGTTCATGTCATGAAAATGTTTTGAATATTTTAAAATAAAATAAATAAAGATAAATAAGATAAAAAGTGGACCAAGTATAGGCCCTAGTGTAAATAAGATAAATAAATTCTTTTTATATAAAATATATATTTTATATAAAAAGAATTTATTTATCTTAATTATAATTTTATATAAAATATATTTAGTCTTCATAATAGGGGGAATCAGGCTTTTAAAAAAATAAATATAAATGCTATCATAAGTGAATGGAGATAGCATTAACAATTGCATACTATAAAGTATGTTATGAATGTATCAAAAGCTAAAGATTTATAATACACAAAAGTATTTTTTAAATGCTCAGCTTCAAATTTTTAAAACAACTTTAGGTAAGTAGTATACCCCAGAACTGTTAATAATATTATGGCTCATAGAAAAATATGTGCGTGAAGTAAAGATGGCGAGGTTTTTTACATTTGCTTTGATTCTGTGCTGTTGTAATCATTTTTTGCAACTAATAGTATTTATGATAACTAAGTTTATTTATAACTATTATAATTATCATTCTTTATAATCAAGTATTTATCATTATTGTTAAATATAATTTTATTGATCTTTCTCGTTATTTAGGAACTCATTTATTATATTATTACCTTAATGTGTTGTCTACTTGATGTTTGTTGTTACTTTTATTCTCTTATTTTGTTATTTTACTATTTGTCTTTTATTACGATTAATCTCATTTACTTTATATTACTATTCACTTCATATAATTACTTTAATAATAATTAATAAAATATTATATATATATATATATATATATATATATATATATATATATATATATATATATATATATATATATATATATATATATATATATATACATATATACATTATTTATATAATTTTTATATATAATATTATATATACATTATTTATACAATTTTTATGATTTATATTATACTTAGAAATAGTCATTTCAACAACTACTTTCATAACTAGTTTCAAAATAGTGATTTCAACTTTTACTACATAATTAAATTAAAACTATTAGAACTTTTAATATATATAAATATAAATAGTCTAATAATATATTTTTAATATATATATAAATATAAATAGTTTAATAATATATTATTTAGCTGTAATCCATTTTCTGCTATCAGTTTAAATCTCTTTTATCTCAATATCATTTCTTTATAAATTACTTGATAGTCATAAAGAAACTATATGTAATTGTAGATCTTCTTGGGTGCATGCTAAATGCAACCATATCAACAAACACATCTATAGCTGCCAAAGATTCATCTTATTGCCAAAGATTCTACTTATTGGTACTGTAGTGATTGCATTATTAAAAATTTGCTATTTTATGCATTTTCGAAATTCAAGCTCTCTCTAACTTATCATTATACAACCAATAATTTGAAATCTTTAGAATCTTGCATCGAAAACTTATTTAGAAATATAAAATCTCCAACTAAAGTATACACTGACATTCTTAATAAAAAGTTAAACAACTATTTTGATCTGTATCTACATCTAAACATTGAATTGCTTCCCTATCACGTTGGCCATTTTCACAGTCTAATTAGTTCTCTTACCACTTAATTACCATTTTAATTATTTTTCTAATTATTTTTTTACTTTTCTAATAGTAATAGGTATCTCTGAATCAATATTGTGTAACAAATATTAGTAAATTAATATAACTAATACAAGTGATGTTAATATAAATTGTTTTATTACCAAGCATTATTCTACTGAGGCCAAATAAGACGCTTTTCTATAATTACATTCAAACTTAAACTATATTTTTTGCAGTGATTTTATAGTATATTCTCCTAAATACCTGGAACCTACCTTTGTTGAAATTGTCAATCTCCAGAATAGAAATACTATTGTTGGCTCTATATATCGACATCCATCAATGAACCCTAATGAATTCATTACTAACCATCTTAAGCCCTTACTTGAAAGGCCTATTTCTGAAAATAAACAAGTTGTTCTAATATGTGATTTCAATATTGACTTGATAAATTACAATGATTTGAAAGTTATCTCTAGATATTTTAGATACTATCCAAACTCTTGATCTAATTTCAGGCAAACTTATAATATCAATTTCTGATCATATGGCACAACTTATCTTCATTTCTTGCACTTCTCCCAAAATAACCAAGGTAATAACTTTCAAACAAACTTTCCAAAATTTTGATAAACAAAAATTTATTCAGGATATTTTGATTGCAGACTAGCAAACAAAAATCAAAAATAGTAGTAATGTCAATGAATCCTTGAACTTTTTATATAAACCTTTCAACAAAAATCTTAATCAACTTGCACCCGTTAAAAAAAAAATCAAGTTAAACTAAAAGTTAAATCAAGTTAAACTAAAAGCAAAACCTTGGATCACCGGCTGAATTCTTAAATCTACATAAAAACACACATAAAGAGTAAAAGCAAAATACTAAAACTCAAATTTTTGCGAAACTACTACTACTACTACTACTACTACTACTACTACTACTACTACTACTACTACTACTACTACTACTACTACTACTACTACTATATATATATACACGTACATACATTATAAACAACTTTCGAAAATTGCATCTAAATACCTCTAAAGGTATTCTATATAATAAAACAGGGAGAAAAAAACTATAACTATTTTTGAAATTTTTATATAATTTCACTTTATTTGATTTTTTTTTTTTTTTTTAAAAAACATCTTCGCTTCCAACAAGGCTGTAGGCAACCACTAATTAGTGTTGGAAGTTACTGGAAGAGAAAAGATGAAGATTGTAGAGCAAGATAACGATTGACAGACGACTTAAAAGCAAAATTATATGAATCAGGAAAGCAAGATGAAGGAAGCGAATTCCAAAGAACTGATGTTTGAGGAAAAAAACTAGACGAGTAAGAGTTTTTGGAGCACTTAGGAACAGTAACGGAAAAAGGATGAGACTTAATTGAATGACAAGTAACACAAGAATGAATTTTAGTAGATGCCACAAGAAACGCTAGCTCTTTAGAGCAGTCCCCATTATAGTATTTGTAGAAAAGAGAAAGAGAAGCAACATTATGACGATGTGACAGAGGTTGAAGGTTGGCTGCAAGAGCAGGTCCAACTATGTTTATAATGTGTTTTTGCACCTTGTCTAAAAGAGAAAGTTAAAAAAAACTCTTGAAGCAGTTAATAAGTATACCTCAAAGAGATTGAATGATTGTATCATTCTTGTTAGAATATTTTGGCAAAAGTTAGCCTCAGGACTACAAAAAGGAGAAAAGTATTATGTGTTTGGTTGATGATGGAATATGATTAGTATTAACTTTCTATTTAAGTTGTTGCAATTGAAAAGCTTTGGAAAAAACCCATTTAATTTCAACAGTAGATGTATACTTAATTATTTAAACCATATAAAAAATGAAGGTTCTCGTAGTTTAAAAATATTTTGGAAAATTATTGTCCAGTTATTTGTCCAAAAAGTTGAAACTATGGAATATAGTTGAAACCAGCTACAAAAACAAATGGATAACAATGGAAGAGCAGCAAACTTTACATCAGGTATGCAAGATGAGTTCTATTTTAGCTTGATTAAAATTACAAGGCAGCCCATTTAGCTGTGAACTAGACATTATTGAAGTAGATAAAGATGTTAAAATAAAAAAAAAGTTCGAAAAATGAGGTTCATTATTTTAGGGATACAATGTAGGTCATTGTTGCGGAGGTCTATTCTGTTTAAATACATGATTGTTGATATAAAAATACAAACCTTCATCTTATGTCTATCAAAGAACACCCTCATAACCTAGATGTTCTATAAGGTAAGTTCCCGCAGCAATCTCTATCACATATAATGACTTTTATAGTTATTTTCCATTTTCAATAGTAAATAACAAACTGCATGAATTATTTTCATATATAATGCTTAATTTTTTTTGTTACTTATATATCATAAGGTATATTATTGATAAATTAAACAGAAAAAGATTTCTACTTTTCTACTTTTCTTATATTTAATGATAATAATAATTTCATCTATTTTTAACAAAGCCTTTATTTGTCAATATATTCACTTTTATTAAATCGAAGTAGAAGGCTAAATAATTAAAATGAAAAAAAAAAATGATTATGATTTTCAGAATCAGCATGAAAAACTAAAAAAAATTGTTTAAACTATAAAAAATGTAAAAAAAAGACTATATATATATATATATATATATATATATATATATATATATATATATATATATATATATATATATATATATATATATATATATATATATATATATATATATGTACATATGTATATGTATATGTATATATATATATATATATATATATATATATATATATATATATATATATATATATATATATATATATATATATATATATATATATATGTATATATATATATACGTATATATATATATAATATATATATATATATATATATATATATATATATATGTATATATATATATATACGTATATATATATATATATATATATATATATATATATATATATATATATATATATATATATATATATATATATATATATATATATATAATGACATCGCAATGATATCGCAAATGGTAGACGATTTTTACTAATGGTTGAAAATAACTTTTTGAAAGGAAAAAAGAAAAAGGGAAATAAAAATACATTTATAAATTAAATGAAAAACAAAGTCAACAAAAAAGAAGAATAAATAAATGTTTTAAAAGGAGAAAAGAAAAAGAAATATTAAAAAGAAAATAAGTAAAAAAGAGAAAAGGAATTAAAAAAAAAAAAGTTAAAAAAACAACTTGTTAATGAATGAAATATATGAAAAAGAATACCTTATAAACCTTAATAAACCTCGCAAACCAGGATGTTTTTATTTTCTTTAGTTTTCTATCATATATTTTTTAGGATTATTTATTTTGTTATTTATTTATATTTCTTCAATTTTTTTTGGCGTATATTGCTTTACTTATTATTTTTTGTTAGTCATGTACTGTTTTTTTTTTTTATTTATTATTTAGTTTTTAAAAGTTTTTAAAATTTAAATTTTTTATACAGTTATATATTTTTTGCTTTTATTTTCATTTTAGCCAATTATTATGTTTTATTCTACAGTGTAATATTATTATGTTTTATTTTAGAGTGTAATATTATTATTATTTTTAATCCTAAATTGATTTTTTTGTTTTTGTTTTTTTTTTGTTTTTTTTTTGTTTTTTTTTGCCTAAGGTACTTAAGGTAATTTTTTGTTTTGTTTGTAATGTTTGCTGTAACTTTAGTTTTGTTTTGATTTTCTCAGCGCTTTTTTGTTTATATTTTATTTATTCATTTGGTCATAATATTTGCAATATATTTTGACTATTATATTTTATTACAACTATGATTTACTAAATCTTTATAACTTTTTAATTTTTAGTCATTTTTAGTTATTTTTAATTTTTAGTCATTTTTAGTTATTTTTGGTTATTTTTAGTTTTATGCTATCAGTTTTGTCAGTTTATTACTGTTTCTAACTGTAACTTTGTATGTATAAACGATTGTTGTATGCTAAGTAATACCGATTTTTATAAATTATTATAAATACTTTATTATTATTATTATTATTATTATTATTGCTGTTATTACTTGTTTTTGATTATTTTTACTATTATTATTACTAATATTATTATTTCTATTACTACAATTAATTGTATATATATAAATTATTTTTTTAAGGTATTTACTTGAGATTAGTATTTCAATACTATTTGTAAATAGTTGTGAAAATTTATTTTTAATATATATATATATATATATATATATATATATATATATATATATATATATATATATATATATATATATATATATATATATATATATATATGTATATATATATATATATATATATATATATATATATATATATATATATAAAATTATAAAATAATAACAATAAACAGATATGTCTAAATTACCTCATTTACAAGACAAAAGAAAAAAGAGTTTTTTTGATGTTGTTGTTTTGTTATTTTAATTATTCGTCACTGTAAAAATCTAAATAAAATAACATCTAAATAAAAATAACACTCCTCAAATACAAATAAGTATGATTTAGACGGGTTTCAAAAATCTAATTTTCTTAAATATGAAAATTATAGAATCAAAGGTCTTTTCAAGCTTTAAAACTGTTTTGCAGATAAATAATTTGCACTTCTTTTGAATGATAATCCTCCTAGTATGTGATATGTGATATGTGGAGGAATTAATATATCTGTCAAAATTTTCAAGGTCTTCTGATAATTAAATTAGAGTTTTTAACCGTTTTTTTTTTTTTCTTATGAATATTTTTCTATATTACAAGTTATTATTCTTCTTTACCACAGCAAACGATCTTTAACTACTCTAATTATAATAAATATTCAATATATTTTTATATTTTGAGGATTTTTTGAAAGATGTTATGACACAAAATATTTTAGTTTATTCTGAATATTATTTAATATAATTAAACTAAAATCTATCATCTTTTTAAATTTTGTATTAAACTCTTGGTTCTAATAATAAATAGAGAAAACATCTCTGTTGTTGTGTGCCTAAAAGTAGACCAGTCATTTCATTTCTCAAAACCTGGAAACTTTTTTCTTTTTTGAATGGGCAATGATATTTATTTAAACAGTTGAGTGTTTTGAAATTCTGAAAAAAACTAAAAGTTTAAAGAAATATCCAAAATTCCGGATATCACCTAAAAAAGATAATTTGTTTTTTCTTTAAACTTTAATTCATTTGTATTAATATACTATCACTTTATTTTGCTATACAAAAATTACAAAAAAAAAAATAAAAGTTTTGAATACAAACAGTGAAAAGCAATAATTAAAATATGTAAAAATGCAATCTTTAAATAGATAAAAACTAATCACTCATATAGCATTAAAATAGCTTTCATCTTTTTTTTTTTTAAAGCTTTTTGTTGTTTAATTTTTATACTTATATACAATCCCTTTATTTAGTGTTACAAAAAATTACAAAAAAAAAAAAGTTTTAAATACAAAAAGTGCAAAGCAATCATTGAAATATATAAAAATAAAAAAAATTATATCCAATCAATTTTGTTTAGTAATATTTGTGCAATATAATAAGATTGTAATAAATATTTATAAAAGAGTTTAAATTATACTAAGAATTAAACAGCCCAAAGAATAAATTTTGATTATAAACTTTTAAATAAACAAAAAAGTATTTAAATAAATATAAAAACTCTAAACTAATAACTTTTGTTTAAACATATTAAATATAAAATTAAGTATAACAGTGCTACAGAAAAATTAGTGAAAATGAACTTACAAAAACTCCAGCAAATTAAAAAAATCATATAAAGTTGTTTTTAATACTTTGGTAGCATGCGTTGTACAAATAAAAAACTATACACGCACTTTGACTGCGACCATAACATACTTCATGAACTTTAATATCTTTAACTGTAGAGTCATTATAATTTTTCCAGCAGTCAGACTTAAAATCATAAATATCACTTGTGTAGTGTCCAGTACTTGTGTGAGCTCCGTGGTGATTAACCACACCAACTAAATTATAAGAATATTTTAGAGAAACAGTTTCTTCATTAAGACCTTTCATGCTTGGTGATAATGGATTTATATCGGAGACATAGTCACATTTAAATAAACTTTCATATCTTAAGTCATCATCATGTTGTTTATTGTTAAAATCTTTCATGCTCAACTCAAGGGCTTTTTTTAAATCTTCTTCTTCGTCGTCTGACACTGTTGTAAATTCTTCAAATTTCTTATCAAGATCAGTATAAGTTCCAATAGACCCATTGTTACTATTTGTGTTGTATTTAGAATAAGGAGAGAAAACACCGTTATCATTTTTGGAATCAATATTTCTTAACTTTGTAAATGTGTCGTTAGTATTTTCTTTTGTTTTGCTTGAACTCATAAAAGATTCCTTTTTTAAATCATTTTCAGGAAACAATGACATTTTAGAAGTTTTATTCAGCGGCTCACAATCTAAGGTTTCACAAGTTTTTCGTTTTTCAGTGCTTGAGTTTTTAAGCAATGGCTTCTTTATCCAAAGCTTGGTTTTGTCAAAAATGTACTCTTTTGGTAGTGCTGTATTGCTTGTTGCAAGAAACTTCATATCAATCAATTTTGGAAGGACAACACGATCACATCTTTTACTTTCAGAAATATCATATCGTTTTATATGAAATATGAGTACACGTGGCAACTTTTTAAATTGATGAGACAAAACAGAAGTTGGAGACTTGCATTTTTCACAACTGTATTCAACAACTTCGTCAGAAAAATACATCTGTATTAATTGATTTAAATTTTGTTCTGAAGGATCAGAGTTTTCATCAAAATCAGGAATAACTAAAGAAAAATCATGACACACTTCAGTTTTAAACACTTTTTCATCACAATTTTTACAAACTACAGTATGCATTATCTTGCTTTCAAAATTTTGCTTAATAGGACATTTCTCTCTAGAGCTTTCATCTGAATCAGATGAGCTATTATGATCTATTAAATGGCTATCATCCTTATTGTTTAGTAAATCCTCTTTTAATTGGTCTAAACACTGACACAAAAATTCATGAGCTTCGTTCTGTGCACAGCCTGAAAATCTAACTGCAGCTTCAGAAATTACAGATTTTACTTGTTTTAATGCAAAAATTTGGTTTTCAAGTGTATCTAATGAGTACTTTAATACACCAAGATTATATAAAGAGTGATACAAACTTTTAGTTGGAACAATGTTAATGTTGCCTGGATCATTCATGTCTTGAAAAAAATTTGGTATATTGAGTAAACATTGTAAAATTGAATTCATATAACATGTGTTACCAAGATTAGAAAAACCGATTAAAGCTGTTTTTGATTCACTAATGTGATTGGATAAAGATTGTTTATTTCGAAAACGAAAAAGTTTTTTACTATGAAGCAATTTTGATGTTTGTAAATTTTTGTTTTCTTGGAGGTCATTTATTTTGTAAAACGATGAAGCTTTTTTTCCACCAATCGCTGTTGCACTAAAAAAATCATCATTATCTCTTTCATTTGAAAAAGATGGAAAAAGTCTTTGTTTGCATATGGATTTCGAAGGTGTATGATCGCGAATACTAGTATTGGATGGTGTTACTTTTGACATCCCCAAAGGTGTCAACGGAGTTCGATTTTTTGAGCTCGAGAGTATACTTGTTGAACAGTAAACAGAATTAGGACTACTATAAACTGAAGAAATATTCTCTTTAGAACTTAGTAATATGTTATTCAAATTTGAAATGTTTTTAATATTTTCAAAAATTTCTACTAACTTCACACAGTCACTTACATTACAAAACTTTCCAATGACCTGGGTCTTAGATTCGCCATTTAATACAATAGTGAATTGACAGTCTCTATGCTTTACAATAGGTTTAAAGTCGTGTTCTACTTTAAAATTGCATTTTCTACATTTCTTTTCATTTGTATAATCTTCAATAGAGTAAACAAACATTGATTGATTATTTTTTTCCTGTAAAAGTTTACAAATTCCCCCTTTATCAAGTAAGAATGGGGTAATTGTAGCAGATGTTATTTTAAGTTGTTCCGCATTAGCACTGAATATACAACGATGATGAGAAGACATCTATAATGAACTAAAATTTAAAAAAAGGCTTGGGCATGCAGAGTATGTGTGTGTATGTGTGTGTGTGTGTGTATATATATATATATATATATATATATATATATATATATATATATATATATATATATATATATATATATATATATATATATACATATATATATACATACATATATATATATATATATATATGATGCATGTACTGAAGCTCCCGGAAACAGACTATTTACCTAAGACAACAGAGTGCTTATCTAAACACGCATTCATAGTTTTGAATCATTAAATCGTGCTTGCATTCAAAATGCACGGACCTAGTGGCATGCATCAAATGCATCTTATTTTTTAAAAAAGATCTAATCCTATTCTAAAAACTCTTCATTAGTTCTCACAAGTAACTTTGTTTGCAAAAATATAATTGATTTTAGAGGGGACACCTTAAGTCTGAATTTTGCCATGTATATATATGCTGAGGGGTATATGCTGAGGTCTTTAGGTCTCAAAAGAGGTGATATTATACAAAAATTTTAAAAAGATTTATTTTATAAAAATTTATTATTTTGAACTTTACTTAATAAAAAATGACATTTTATAACTAAAAATAACAAAAGTGAATATTTGCAGGATTTTTTATTATTGTATTTTTTTTTTTTTTTTTTTTATGTTTTTTCATAATATGATTATTATATTTGAAAATTTTTACCTTTTTTGAGATACAACATGATATATTTAAAGAATGTTGTTTCTTTCAGAATTTAGGGTCATATTGCAAAGTTCAGATTTGAGGTGGTAACAAAAATTTACATAATTTATTCCTATAGCACATGCTTTGGAACTTGTGAAAATAGAATTCTATACAAACAAAATGAAATCACAATCAACCTACAAGCTTTGATGAACCTGAGGAACTTTTGCCATACATTTCTCAAATGTTAAGTTCTGGAATTACTACAAAAAGAGGAAAGAAAAACTTTTTCCCACATAAGTCAACTGCAGTTTCAAATAAATGTTAATTAAGCATAAAAGATTTTGTCTTAATACTTCAGGCTGTTATAGAAACACTAAATCTTAGTGATGATGACTATCCTGATAAAGAATTTGTTTATTCAAAGCATTCACACACAAATTAGAAAAGATAAAGCAGAATCTATGAACCTCTGATTTTCAGAATAGTATGTGATCCTTCATTGGAATGGGAAATAATTACCTGAATTGGACCTGAAAAGTTTTAAAGAAGAACAACTGCTAATTTTTTGTTTCATTTGAAGAAAAGGAACAACCTATGGCTATACCTAAACTGGAGAGCTCTTAGAGAACTGTAACTTTGATGACAAAGTACAAACAATGTGACACAACTGGATCTAATACAGGGCTATTGAAAGGAGCTTGTGTACTTAAAAGAGCAAAAAAAACAAGACAAGGGAATAACTACACTTTGTTTGAAAAAAAAAACCAAACCTCCTGAAGCAATGCATTAAGGTGAATGATTAAAGCTATTTACTTTTTGAAAATATATTTATTGCAGTTAAAAAATAGCACCACTAATAAACAAGAACATCAAGTCATTTGTTTATTCATTGTGGTTATATATGCAAAACAATGGCTTGGATATATTCTGGTGTGAAGACACCATATCAAAATATGTGCTTTTTAAAGAGGATTAAGTAATATAAAACTCTTAACAAAGTGATCTCCAAAGCAACCTTGCGCAAGTTTAGTCAACATCATTAGTACTTTTTAGAAGAAACTATCATTTTACCAATCTTTAATGATTAAATTCTGGGAAGAGATTCTATTGAAAGAAAATGTTTTATTACTTGTATGGTAAATAGGAATATATAGTATTATTTTTTATACAACATTCACTAGACCAATAATAATACTGTCTTATTTACACAGGTCAACAAAAAAAAATTTTTCTGGTGCCAAGCAAACAAGTTATTTTTTGTATAGCATTTTTCATTTTGTTATTATTCAAAAGTATGTAAACCTGGGTCTCAAATAAAGCATATTTTCATAGAGATTTTAAAAATATTATTTGTTTGTAATAAAAACAAGTACCTTTTGTATTATTGCAGAGAAACATAAAATTTTTTTAAAAGTCTTTAGCATTTTTTCAGATAATTTTTTTGTCAATAAATTTTAAGAAAAATTATTTATGTTTTCTATATTAGTTATTTTTCCCCAAATACTTAAAACTTGAACCCAAATATCTTTACAACATAACGTGATGGTGAACTCATGAAAATGAGTTGCATATTTAAAATCACAATAAGAAATGCTATACAAAAAACAAAATGTGTGCTCGACAAATTTTCGACAAAAAAATTTTTTTTTGCTGACCTGTGTTATTGTTGATTTTGAGTCAGTCAAGAAAACAAATTTATTTTTTCAAATAAAATTTGATGATAACTTTTTACAGAGACCCGTTTCTAAGAAGGACGAAGATGTTGTCTATATAAAGGCCAAAAGTAAAGTTCTTTTTTAAAAAGCAATTAATGATACAGATATTAATGAAAGAACTATAAAACTTATGCAAGACTTTCATAATTTGATCACTGCAAATAAAGAACAAAGGCAATTTTTACTACGTTGTCTGCAAGAGCATAGAAATCGGTATCCAGAATGGTCCTGAAAAGAAAATATCTTGCTTGCAGCTGTATTCACTTTTCTTCAGAAAAATTGAGTGACAGGTTAACAGCTGGTTCCAAAACAGAAGATTCTAATCCTACCGTTAAGCCTCTTTATATTAACCGCACCATTAATTTTTTCAGTTAAATTTCCTTCATTAGCCAGATCTGTTAACTAGTTTTCATGCTGTTTTTTTTATTGCATCTAAACATGGTAATGCCAACAGACAATGATAGTGTTTAATTGGTAAATCACAGCTGTTGATTATTGATTTAATTGGTAAATTAATTATTGGCTGTTAACACAATTACACAATTGGCTCTTAACGATCGCTGTGTAATTTTTTGAATTGATTTAAATCTGAATAATTTTATCATGAAATATTTCGAGAAATTGTGATCTTCTTTATAGCATCAAAGTGGAAGTTTGACTCTCCTAATGTTTAAACTATATATTAAATCCAAAATGAGTTATGTCACTGTGTACCTTGTATTGCGTCGTTTCTGTTTAAAAAATTTAAAACTAATTATTCAAAAAGTATTTTACTTATAAGAAAGCTTGAATAAACTTTTAAAATGAACTTTTTCCAAAAATGAGCCTTCAGTAGGAAGCATACAAGAAATGTTACCCAGCTTTTTAATTATAATATTTTAGTACTCTCTAAAAACCAAAAAAATCAACAATATTTCAAAAAACATCTAAATATAACTTAAAAAATATTTAATATAAAATGCTACACACAAAAATATGGCTATTTTTGTAAACATTTTTAACTAACTTTTTAATTATGCTTTGTATGGTTTCAACAGAGAAAGTTTCATGTAACCTCCACAGGCTTTGCCTTAAACCATATACAAAGCTTTTACAAATTAGTAGAAAGTTTAGAAATTAGTAGAAAGTTTAGAAATTAGTAGAATATACATCACGGCTGTTTCAAAGGGCATTTTTATAACTTGCGCACAGCTTGAAAATCAAATTGAACAGAAGTTTTACGCATATTTTTGTTGAACCTAAGATTTTTAATCTTTTATAAACAATATAAATAAATAAATAACTTTTTTTCAAATGAAATAACTTTCATTATTTTAACAATCAAAATCAATATTTTACTAGTAAAATAAAACTTTTTATAAAAAAGAAAATGAGCTATATACAAAAGCTTTTCGCCTTATAACTACAAAAGCTTTTGACAAATGTTTTTATGCGTTTTAAAGGCTTTGCAATATGTTTGTTGAAATCCGCTATTTAAATCGTTAAGAACATCACACAACATTTTTCAAATTCCCTATAACTTTTCAGTAGTGTAACACGCCGAATAGCGGATTCAAATACAAACTTATCAATAAGTTGTCTTGCATTATATTAAAAATTATATGTTTAAACTTTTTTTTTGCTTCTCGTTTTTTTTGGCGCCCATTTAAGCCTTTGCGCCCAGGGGCAATTTCCTATTTGAATAAACTATTTGTTTTTACCAACTCAGTAATGTAGCAGGGAGCCAAGTGGGAAATCGCCCCTGGGCGCAAAGGCTTAAATGGGCGCAAAGGCTTAAATGGGCGCGAAAAAAAATGAGAAGCAAAAAAAAAATTATTTTACTATAAAAAGCAATATTTTTTATTTTTATTGTAAAAAAGATGTTTTTTTACATTTTTGCCCTGGGTGCAAAAATTCTTGCTACACCCTTACATAGTAAATGTAACATTTCCTCATTACGTAAGCTGTTTAAGTGGGGTGCCACTGTAAGTTACAGTGACCTGCCACTGTATATTTTTTCATTAAGGCACAACATTTCCTCATTGTGTAAGTTGTTACAGTCTGTAACAACTTACACAAAGATTTAATATTGAGCTTTTTTAAAAAAATAAGCTGTTCAAAATTTAAAAAAAAAATTGAATTTACTTTTTCGAAAGTAATAGTTACGACTCGAGTAAAACTTTTTTTAATTACTCAATATAATATTTTTCTGTTTCTCTAAAGTATTGTTTATATAATACTTTTTACACAATAAAAAAAGTTGTATTATAAGTTGTATATCTTGAGAGATTGAGAGTAATACTTGAGAAAATATTCTGTTCAAAATTTTTTAAAAAAAACTTTTTGAAAATTTTTTTTCTAAACTAATAGGTAACTTTTTTTTTTATTTTAATTCACCTCCTCAAGGCCAAGAAGGCCACTACAGACGAGGAGGCTACTTATTTTGTGGCTATAACCCCCTCTCTCAACTCTATAACTCCGAAACACGAACCTTGACGAACAAGGTTGCTGCGCGGAGAAACAAGTTGAGCGCGGTACTACCAGGGACGTGGTGGGGATCGAACTCGGAACCACTCGTTTATGAAGCGAGCGCTCTACCACTACACCACTAAGGCAACTAT